TGGTCTAGACACTGATTAAAATCTAAGTCAGATGGACAAAGTAATAAAACTCCAGGGCACATTTAATAGAGTAATGTTGGAGCTTCAAGTGTCTCCTCCTCCTTTACATTATAATGACAGAGCACAACTTTAATTGTAGCTTCAATGTGCAGGGGTTTATCTAGGCCTGCCCAGAGACTTGTACTTCGATGAAACAGTTTTCAAAATATACACCGGCTCGGAAGCCTGTGGCTGCTTCATTTTCTATTGGGCAAGTGAAAATAGCATCAAGGAACCTTGACGGGCTACTGGTAACTGAACTTTCTACCTAGTATGCTACAAAATAGTTATCCAGTTGTCAAATATGATTGTCCAAAACAGGAATTTTCAGTAAAAATGGTCAGTAGCTAGATGTTAAATGGCTGATTTCTGTGTACTATCATGTTTGTCATGCTTATTATGAGCCCTTTCCACTTTGCAAAGTTGTGAGGTATTCGCTATTGACGTTGTAACCTTGATGAAGATCGAACAGTGTTTTATTCCTCTGCTACCACATTTCTCCTTTTGTCTGTTAGTGTAAAGTAAATCTGGCTACTCAGATCTGAAATTATCTAGATAGATTGGCTGGCTAGTACTGTTGTACAATGATTTTACATATCGATTTTGAATAGTTTAATGATTAAACATTAAAAATAAACATTCATTAGTTTTCTCAACAGTCCATTCTGGACACGTTATAGAGGATCAATCACTGCCGGTGAACCAGTCCCTTCATATCAAGGATTCAGCCTGACCTGGTACAGCAGGTCTTCAGCAACCCATGCTTCCTGTAAAAGGCAACTATGCTTGTTGTAAGATGTGACTAACAGGATTGGGTGGTCAGGCTCGCTGACTTGGTTGATGCATGTCATCGATCCAAATTGCATGGATCGATGCTCATTAAGTCACTCACTGGAAAGTCTGGTCCAGACTTTTATTTACAGACCGCCATCATCAAACTGGACTTAGGCAGAGTGAAACAACAAACAAATAAACAAACAAACATTATATATATTTATGGACAATGTTGTGCCAAACTGAAAGGCACCTGAAAAAAGGTTTAACTTAATAGCTAAGCTAGGCATCATTCACAACACCCAATTCCAAGACAATGACGTCATATGTGAACTGGAGAACAGTTCATAATAATCGAGCACTGACATATTTAGTTCAGATGTATGATCAGAAACTCAGCACTTCACAATTATGGTAATGGGGTGATGGCTGAGAGTGAATGTAATTAGCGAGCATGCAGCAGCTGCATCATTAATGTATAAAGCAGTGTAACACCCTCTGATAGGATCCCACCTGATTACTGCAGTAGGGAGCTTCTTAGATCTTCCACATATTTCCCTTCAACATCCCATTGCTTGAACAATCTCGGGGATTTCGTCTAATTTCAGTTAGTGTCAGGGGTCTCAGACAGCTTCATCTTATGTATGTAGTACACAGGTATTTGTACCTGTGTCTAATTACAGGTAATTGTTGCACTGACCCCACAGCAAAAAAAATGCAGTTTCCGGTATCATGATACCTGCCGGATACCACCGGACACTTACCCAAAACGCGTCCAGGTATCCGGTGGCAGATACCTTTCCGGATACCAGATCCGTGGTATCCGGCATGGACACCTCACCTGAAAGTATGCCACCTGGAATCCGGGTATCCAGCACCGGATACCTCAATCTGGGTGTCCAAGGATCCGGCACCATCTACCAAGGATCTGGCACCGGATACCTCATTCTGAGTTTCCAAAATAATGTCACAATTTGGTGGGTGCATTTTGTTCAATTAAGTGTGAAACACCTAAATATATATTGGAAACTAACCAAGAAAATTTAACATTTCTGAAGGTATCCGGAAGGTATCCGGCAGGTATCCGGATGCAATTTTTCTTATTTCTGGTAAATAATGTTAGCCTTAGCATATCAGATAGCTGTAGTAATATTCTGTGTCATTTTAGTTGTAAATATCCCCTTAAAGTTGAGATCTATGGGCATGTACTTTTGGAGAAGACACTTTTTTCAATTTCATCTATAATTCTTTTAAGATGTTAAGCTGTTTAATGAACAAACATCAGTTCTAATACATGTATGATGATATCCTTAAATTTCATGTTCAGACTTCCAGATTGTTCTGAGTGAAAGTATAAACTCATCCACTGTGTGCTCACTTGGGCCTTTGGTCCTAGTGAGATGATAATATGATTATTTGTAAAGGTACAAGTACTTGTTAGGAGCATACCAGCTTCATTTAAGTTTGAAACACAATATGCCTCACTCTGAGGGTGACATGAACCAGATTTCATCACACTACAGAGAGCTGTTCCTCGGTTACTGTGAACATTTTTACTGAAAGACAGTGAAAGCTAATTTGACCTTCAAAATCAGTTGCGACTATTTCAAAAACAATTGTAAAGTGCTTCATTCAGTGTAATATTGACAAACATATGACAATGATAGACAACTATATGTATAAGAGTTATTTAGACTTCTGCAGGAAAAGGCACATTAGAGAAAAAGTAAGTGTATGACCTTTTGTCAACTTCTATCCCTGCCCTAAGGAAGAGTTTGGCCATTAAACTTTTTGTCTGGCTATGACATTGACCTTTGACATAGCAGATCAATGTGTTATTCCAAAGATGTCCAAGCAATGCATGGTTTCATACGATAACTGTGGCTATCAAACTGAGGCAAAATATTGGAAAATCCCCATTTACGTAGCTGGCTAGTGAAACATAAACAACAAACAAATTATCAATTTCTTTTATTTATGCCTATATCACACATTGAACAGTGTTCACATGATGGTTCCTGATGCAGTATGCAATTTCCTCCTTTTCTTCAATACTCATAACAGAGTGGGATAACTGTTCGCTTGAAAGCACCAGCAGACCATGCTCAACAGTTCAGAGTTACTTGCCCTCAAACATCCTTTTCCTTCTATATTGCCATGGAAAAACAGGAACCAGGATGAGGGGAGGGCAGATGGGCTCTATCCCTGTTGCATTGTGTTAGTAGAATTGTGAACATTCTATTTGGTGTTTGGGTCCACATTTATAGACAAGTAGTAGCAAATATCATTCCTTTCAAGTGATTACCACATGGCCAAAAACAATAATTTCTTCAAAGTCCTTGAAGAGTCCCACTCCGACTTGGCATTGGTTGGTCTTCTCACATTAGCCTGACCAGCCTTTGAGAGTGCGTCCCAGTGTCAATAGGCATATAACTTCTCGGTAGGCCCCCATTGAAATAACAGGACTCTTCTCATCGCTGTCTGCCAATCATTTCGGAAATCTGGAAGGATCCTTCCAGACTGTCAATCTGTCATCCGTGTATCTCAAGCTGGACTTCAGTTTCTGCAGAATTATGTATAAAGATTGGAGCAATAGAAAAGAATTGTTGCAACATGTACTTACAGATAAAAGGCAGCAAATTCACTTAATTTATCATCTTGTTATATACCAAACATTTGAGATATATATTGTTCTGATGAGTTGAAACAATCATTAACTGACATCTCTTAAAAATGTTCCTAGCAACCTATGCTTGCCATACAAGCCAAAGTAATAGATGAGGTAGCAAGTGGCCTCATTGATTGCTCGTAATCGTACCCAATAACGTGGGATGTTGTCCATAACAGTCATCATCGGTGTGTCTGGATCGAGCTCATAACATTAATCACTGGTTTGTCTAGTTGAGATTTGATTATTTATAATCCTTGTCATTTAGCCGAACTATTGCTGGATGTGGTGTTAAATGAGTGAATTTGGTTTAACACCTCTTTGAACAGTATTCCAGTTATATCACGACATGTAAGCTTGATGTGGGAGGACCTGAAGTGATGCAGGTCTTACATGTTTATCACTTTGATGAAACCAACAAGCAAGTGTATGATGCTACCCTCGATTCAAACCCACGACCATCGGTTTCTGTCAAGCCCAAGAGATGCAACTATGCACAGCAAGTTGTGGTGCCTTTGATAATTAGGCCATCCATGCCAACAGGTGATAAAGAACAAGCAAACTGAAGAAATATTTGCAGAATAGCTACATGAACATGATGAACCAAACAGAATAATTTCAAATATTTACCACTCACTGCTACTCTTCTCTTGTTCCTCATTGCTTCTCTTTTTCCATTGATGCTGTGCAGATGACTGACTCATTCATTCATCCAGATATTCTGCAAACATAAGTAGCATTCACATTACAGAAATGTCCATACTGTACATGCTGTACATTGAATTCAATTGAAAAGATCCCAGTTGAGAGTCCTTATTAAAATATTTCATCCCAAACATTCAGAGATAAAACATAACCCCATATCTAACAACTGTCAAACAATTAATTGACAACAAAGCCAGGGTCATTCAACGCATGCGTGTGACAACACTGCCCGCTGTCCCATTCATCTTTTCTTGAAACCACACCCGCAATTGTTTATGTCAACATGACCGACCAATGGGATTAACTGGATTAACGCTTGAAAAGGTAAGAATTTATGGCTAACCCTTGCCCAAAGCCAGCTGACCCTAATGACCGAAAAGGGGTTTTGGATCGTAAAGACGTGTAAGTTTCCCTAAGACCGAAAACGGGTGTTGGATCGTAAAGACGTGTAAGTTTCCCTAAGACCGAAAAACGGGTGTTTGATCGTAAAGATGTGTAAGTTTCCCTAAGACCGAGAACGGGTGTTTGATTGTAAAGATACGTAAGTTTCCCTAAGACCGAAAACGGGTGTTGGATCGTGAAGCGAGAGTAACCAGAGCGTGAGGCACGGTAATGGTATAACGAGACAGCGGTGGCACTATAGCGCGGTAATTGAGCGGATGGTAGAGCTCGGGCTGCGCCCGGTAAACTGCATTGTTGCCCGATTTTGTTATTATACGCTCATTGACAAGCGCATTTCCGGCCGTAGATTGATCGAAAATACATTTCTACACATGTACAAGTCATCGACATTCGATTAATGTCCCTTACTTACCGAAATATCGACAGTTTATTGCGCTAGCTTGGAAAATGTTACCAACCCCGAGCGGAAGTAGATGTCAAACGCGGGCAGAATCGAGCGAGCCACCTGATTGGCTGAAAATACGCAGCGCTCTCATATTAAAGAAATTAGCGCGAAATTTGAAGACAGTTATCTGGAGTGACAGCAGCATCTAAAAAACGACATCAGATAATTTCTTCAATTGGTAAATATTTATTATGAATATGTTTTTCATTTTATAATAAACTTGTCATCTAAAGCTAATCTATTATTAGCTAGTGAATTTTATACAATACATCACTTTACTAATATAATAGGCACATTTTCATGTATATTGCCTGTGCCTGATCACATTATGAATGCTGGTCATGCTGATTGAAAATGAATAAAGTGAACATTTCAAGTTACTATTTATCATTAATGCGAAAGAAATAAATCTATTTGAGAATAATAAGTAAATTACAACATTAGATGATAATATGAATATCACAAACACACCCAAAGCTCATGATGTGCCATCATAATAACAATATGAAATTCTGAATTTTTACCAAGGGCAGCTCAATTGTGTTACAATAATTCAATTTTCAGTTATGTAAAGTTCTTGAAACATTCTTACAGGTTACATGAAAAGTATGTTGAAGATAGCAAAAGTACTATACCAGTTGAAGATATTTTCCAGAAATTTTGTTACAACTTTGGTCACAGATCAAAAGCGTTTGTCAGAAAATATATAAGAAATGCTTTTCCAAATATCACCACAACCTGGTGATTGGACAAAAAAACATCAGGGTTTACCGTGGCATCAAGGGGAGACCTGAACAGACACAAAACATTGAATTTGCTGCAATATCTGATAACATTCCAAAAGACTATTTGTACTGCAGCAAACTAAAGACTCTAAAACTGTTGGAAGGCAGACTGGAATATCCTGTAATGGGAACATGATATATTTACAAGTGAGATTTCCTACTGATGGGCATGTACATCCTGGTACAAGTCATTTGCATAGTGGGGGAAATTGAAAGAAATCCCAAACACACACAACCTGCGATCCTCCAAAATTCAAACTTGGGTCTCTAAAACTCCTGCATATGAATTCAAGCTGAAATTAAACAGTATACATTGTGTACATGGAGCATAAATAAGAAAATAATAGGAACCATGGGAATAGGCATGTATTAAATATTCCAAAAGAATATAACTCTTTGGGCATGGGTCTTGAGGAGATAAGTAAAAATAAGTAACAGTATTTAAAGTGTAATGACACACTCGAAAAAAACATTGTCTTAGCTACTATAATAAGTATATTAATATTGTGACTTGCCATATTCATGAGAATAATTCCTACATATTAACATGTTAAAAAAATACCCTTGTTATGGTATGTTTAGGATTACCTGTCCAGTTAAAAAATGTTAAAAAAATACCCTTGTTATGGTATGTTGAGGATTACATGTCTAGTTTTAAACTTTATTAATATTATGATTTGTGATAGAACTGTGAAGATGGTTAAGTTTGGAGTATATACATATAATACATGTCATATTTACCTGTTCAACAATGTTTCTACTGATCATGCTTATCTCATCAATGATCAGCACATCAGTCTCCTTACTCCTCCTGTAGACATTCTTCTTTTCATCACTAAGAAGTATCTTATATAAGTCAGGATCTTGTGTCTTCCATCACTCAGACCAGCCTAATCATGAAGAGTTCTCCCCTCAAGCTGTTTAGAAGCCATACCAATGCTAGCAGTAACAGACACCAGTTTTCTATTTCTCCCCAATCTCTCCGTAATTTCATTGATAAGAACCAACCTGGCCAATGATTAGAGTGTTGTGTCCATCTTTGATCAAATTCCATGCAAACACTTGTTCTTCTTACTTACTTACTTACTTACTTTGGAGATTTAACGTGCGCTTTCCGACTGATGCTTATTTCGCACACGGGCCCGGCCAGGCCATTTAATGTGTTTCCGAAAGGGGCGAAGGTGGTCTGTGCAACCCAAGAGGGGGCTTTAGGGGTTGCTTATATATAATTTGGGGATTTTGAGATTTGGAATAGATGCCGATGGGGTTGGGGAGGAGAACTAAGGGAGCTGGGTATGGTGGATGTTTGTTTGTTTATGTGATTTTGATTTGGTAGGTTATTATGTTTTTAGATGCGTTTTATTAGTTCCGTTTTGATTAAGAATACGCCCAAGGCCTTGAAGTTTTCTAGTTTATTTTGTGGGTTTAGTATTGCTTCTAGAGTGAGAGCCTTGTTTAGATTGAGGGTGGTTTGTAATGCGGTTCGATGTGTTAGGTAGTGTGTGCAGTGGATGAGTGAGTGTTCTGGGGTTTCTAGTTGTTTGCAGTGTGGGCAGCTACCTGTAGTGTGTTTTTTAATTTTTTTTAGGTGGTTATTTAGGTTGGTGTGTCCTGTTTGGAGTTTAGTGATTACTCTGTCGATTTTTTTTGATGGATGGAGATTTTTTGGTTTGGTAAGTAGTTTGCTGAGCACTTTTTTGATTTGGCTATTTGAGTTTAGATATAGGTTATACCATTTTTGTGTGATTTTTTGCTTGTTTACACTTTTAATTTCTGATTTTGAGATGGGTAAGTTTAAGCTTATTTCTGGGATTTTGAGGGATAGTTTAGCTGCTTTATCGGCGTTTTCATTACCGTATATTCCTACGTGGGCATGTATCCACAAGAAGGTTATTTGTTTGCCTGCCTTAGTTAGGCCGTTGGAGCTTTTAAGTATTTGATTTATTAATTTAGGTCGGTTTTTGGTATTTTTGTTTTGGAGGGCTTGCAGTCCACTTAGGGAGTCGGTAAGTATTAGGATTTCTTTGTGGTTTTTGGATTCTTGATTAGGGAGGGCTGAGGCCATGCCCATTAGTTCTGCCGTGAATATTGATTGGTTATTTGGGAGTCAGAAGGATTGTGTGGTTTTAGTTGGTTGTGTGGTATGGACACTGAAACCTGTGTGTTTGGAGGTCGGATCTGAGGATCCGTCCGTGTAAATGTGACGCCAATTTGGCCAATTTTCGTGTATGTATGCTAGTGTGGTAGTTTTAGCTATGTTTGGGTCGGTTTGTTTATTTATTTGGCTAGCTAGTGTTGTGTCTATTTTGGGTATTTTAAGTTTAGGGGTGAAGATATTTGATTGTTTGCAGTTTTGTTTAAGATTTTTAATTTGGTGTTCATTTAGGTAGTTTGTTATTCTTTGGGATATTGGGGTAAGTAAGGGGTGTTTACGAGCTAGAGCTTGGTTTTTAGGGCAGATGTTTTGGTTTATTAAGTTTTTGATGAGAGGGTTTGATTGGGACGAGGCCCAGAAATTTAAGCTTAGCTGTTCCCTGCGTAGACTTAGTGGCATTTCTCCTGTTAAGGCCTGAAGTGAGGTGTAGGAGGTGCCATGTTGGGTGCGTGTAATTAGTTTGAGAGCCTGATATTGTATTGAGTCAAGTTTTTTAGATAGAGAGTTGTTTAGGGTGTTGTATATGGCGCAGCCGTAGTCTAGTTTTGATCTAATTAGTGACATGTAGAGAGAGAGGAGAGTATCTTTGGAGGCTCCCCAGTTAGAGCCAGTTAGGCATCTTAGGGTGTTTAGGTCTTTACTGCATTTAGTTGTTAGGTTTTGGATGTGAGCATCGCAGGTGAGATGTTCATCGAAAATAAGTCCTAAGAATTTGGTTTGTTTTTTAAATTTGATTGTTTGATTGTTTAGCTGGAGGATTGGGGAGGCGGGTTTCATGTTTTTATGTTTGAATACTATTCCTGTTGTTTTTTCTGAGTTAAGGGAGAAGCCCCATTTGTCAGCCCATTGTTGTATTTTATTATGAGACTTTTGGAGTAAATTTTGGGCCATATTTATGCTTTTAGTGCGGATCCAGATGGCTCCATCATCCGCGAATTTTGATGTGTTTACTTTAGGGGATAGGCCCTCGAATAGATCGTTTATCATTATATTGAAGAGGGTGGGGCTGAGGATACTGCCCTGTGGAGTGCCATTTTCTAGGGGACATTGGTCCGATTGGTCTATACCCACAGTTATTTTACGATTGTTTAGGAAGTCCTGGATGTAGTTTATTATCTGACCTTTGAGTCCTATTTTTTAAAGTTTTTGTATTAGCCCATCGTGCCATACCATGTCGAAAGCTTTAGAGAAGTCTAAGAAGATGCCTGTGGTATATTGTTTATTTAGTTGTCCTGTCTTAATATCTTGTTCTAGTCGGGCGAGGTTATCTAGGGTTGAGCGGCCAGGAGTGAAACCGCTTTGATCTGTGTTTAGGATGTTATTTTCAGTTAAGTAATGTTGTAATCTATTTTTAGCCATTGATTCCATTACTTTACATAAGTTTGAAGTTAGGGATATTGGTCTATATGAGTTAGCTTGATTAGCTGGTTTATTAGGTTTAGGGATTGGTATGACTAGGGCCTGTTTCCAGGGAGTAGGAACCTGTCCGTTTAGGTAGATGAGATTGTATAGTTTGAGTAGTGCCTGGAGTAGTTTTAGGGGGAGTTTTTTAATTATTTGGTAAGAAGTTAGGTCTAATCCAGGGGCTGTGCCCTTTTTCCTGTTTTGGATTACGTAGAGGAGCTCCTCCATTGTGTAGGGTTGATTTATTTCTAGATTGTTATCTTCGTCATCGGTTAGATTAGGTTTAGCTGATTGAGTTTCCATGGGGGAGGCATGTGATGTGGAGGGTTGTGAAGGTGTTAGCGGGATGGGTGTAGCTGATGATTTCTTAGTGTTTGTGTTTTGTTGTTGTGCTTGCTTGTGGGAGAGTGTTGTTGCCATATGGGCTGTAGGGTGCTTGGATGAGGGTCATGTTGTGGTGGTCATTTTGAGGTTTGTTTTGCATGCGGGGGTTGATGTTTTGGCTATGTGAGATGTGGGAGGGTTCGTGGTTGGTTGAGTGGCTGCTTGTGTGTGAGGTGGGTGCGGTTTCTCGGTAGGGGGCCCAGACAGAGCTGTCGGTTATGGGTGTGGTGTTTGTTTGTGGGATGGTGTTTGGGTGTGGTGTAGGGAGGAGTGGTTTAGATGCAGGTGTAGCAAATTTTCGTGTTTGGATTTTAGCCGTGTCTATGTTTATGTGTTTGTTGGCCTGCTGGGTGAGTGCGTGTCTGTGTGGGCATTGGTTTGAAAGTGAAGTGTGTTGGGTGGATTTGCAGTGGATGCACAAGGGTGTGCATGTGCCTGGGCAGTCTGTTTGTGCGCATTTTTTACATTTAGTTTTAGGGTATCTGCATTGGGAAGCAGTGTGGTTGTATTTGAAGCACTTTGAACATTGCTTGACCTGCTTTATATAGGGTTTGACTTCTAAGTTGGTGTGGGCTCCGAAGGATATGTGTTTGGGGGCTTCAGGGAATTTAGCGGTTTTCTTGAAGTTGATTATGACAATGGAGGTTGGGACCGTTTTTCCGTTTCTAGCTGAGGTTATTCTGCGCGTGCTGGTGATTAGGGGTTAAGGGTTTTGGTCTTGGTTTATGTTAGCTTCTAGAGAGTATAATTGTAAGTCCTCAGTTGTTTCCCTTGGGTTAACCCTAATTACGCCTCATGTACGTGTATATTGTTGCCAATTAGGTGTTTGTTTGATTACCATGACGTGGAATACTTGAGTTATTTTATTTGCTGCATTGTAAGATTCTCGATTAGGAAAGATTATCTGGTATCCTTTGTTGGCCTTTTTAATATTGTTGTAATTTATTTTTTGTCTTTTAAACCAAAGTCCTATTTTATCTGCCGAAAGTTCTTGTGATAGAGTGGTGCCTGAGCCTGCTGAGAAGAAGCTTGTTCTTCTGTCAAAGTTATCATTTTGAACCCACGTGGCTTGCACAAGTGTTGTTGTTTTCACGTTGACTTGACATAAGTAGGTCAGCCAATCAGGTGGCTCGCTCGATTCTGCCCGCGTTTGACATCTACTTCCGCTCGGGGATGGTAACATTTTCCAAGCTAGCGCAATAAACTGTCAATATTTCGGTAAGTAAGTGACATTGATCGAATGTCGATGACTTGTACATGTGTAGAAATGTGTTATCGATCAATCTACGGCCAGAAATGCGCGTGTCAATGAGCGTATAATAAAAAAATTGCCTTGGATATCGAATGTAAACAAACCGGCATATAGGAGGTATATATTTTTATTTACTGACCAATAACGAGTTCCTGTGGACAAGTAGCCTGTCTATCATATGTTAGTATTTGCTTATGTATATAATGTAGAAATATGTTTACTTTAACTGGATACAGTGTATGCTAATGGGACTCACTGTCTTATTTCATCAACTCCCTTTACTCTGTGAGAATGATTAATAGCCTCAACATATTTTTCCAGATGTGAAGAATCAAGAACAGCTTTAATGACAGGGAAGTTTTGCATCAGAGATCATCGTGTGATGGAAGATAAGACATGTTAAGGGTATGAACATTTTCACTTGAACTAGTTGAACAATAACCATGATGACAACTTTATCATGGGGGAATTTTTGGTGGTGGGGTAGCCTAGTGGTTGAAGCGTTCACTCTTCGTGCTGAAGACCCAGGTTTGATTCCTGCCACATAGCTGTGATATTGCTGAGTGTGGCGTTAACCACCAAACAAAGCTAACAGCCGCATACTTACTCACGTGGGGATTCCAGGTTGAAGTTGGTCCCCATCAACATGATCAACCTATGCTAGTTGTAAGAGATAACTTATTGGATCGGGTGATCAGGCTCGCTGACTTGGTTGATCCATGTCATTGTATCCCAATTGTGTGGATCGATGCTCATGATGTCAAACACTGGATAGTCTGGTCCAGACTTGATTATTTACAGACCGCCGTCATATAGCTGGAATATGGCTGAGTGCAGAGTTAAACAATAAACACCAACATGATTCTACAACCTGCTCTTGTGGATACCATTTTGAGGATCCTACACATAACTTCTGTTCAGGTCGTAACTATTGCAATATGTTCTACTACATGTGTTTTAAACATTTTTTTTTTCATAGTGAACTTGATTTGCAAACAAGCTGATGGCTTATCTAAATGATGCTCAAATACAAAATAAGTATTAATAAAATACTTATTCTATACTATTGCAAACTATCAGTTGAGCAATAATGTAATCATCTGATTATAAGTAGATAATGAAGGAGAAGTCCATATTGATTAAATCTACCAGATTCTGAGATAAATGCATGTATTGATTGATTTATTTCATGTTTTCCTGTACATAATTTTCAACAATACCATATAAAGCTTTCTTATATCATATCCATGTGTATAATAATACCTATTATTTCTAATAATAGCATAATTTGGACACACAAATAAGTAATGAATGGTATTTTTATAACAGGTGCCACACATGCAGGATAGGTCATTTGACATGAATCAGTTTTATGTGAATATAAATCACAACAAGCTGATCTGAGTCATGAAAGGATATGACTTCGATTCTGTGAAAATGGAAATGCTAAAACATCTCCCAATATTAACCATGCTATTACAGAATCTGTTCACTTGTTATTGTATGTAAAGTATTTGTGAATGATTACATCCATCTAATGATTGTTTGTATGTGTGATATGCCAGTAGAGGTATATGTGTACAAGCATGTGCATACGCGTAAAAAAATATGTATGTTTGGCTAGGTACCAGTATATGAATGAGTGTTGTTTTGTGAGACTTGTATATTAGCATCATGATAGTTTCAACAGACTGTTTATGTAGATCAAATGTTAAATGTCTTTGTAGGGTGAATTGCATATCAGAACTGTCATTATTTTATAACTGATGAGTAGAACTTTTTAAGTATCTGGCATGATACATTTCCTTGGTCCACAGAAACATGTTACCAGTAAACTGACTTGATAAGTAGCATAGCAGTCAGTGTGGTTGGAAACTAGCTAAGCCGTCACTACTCAATTAAGTAATTAACAGACAATTGCAAGTGATAATACCCACCTGGCACTAATTGCCCTGTTAATCCCTAATCCACCATGAGTTGACATTGAGTTCATCTTGCTAATGAGCTGTTGTGAGTGTAACGAGATGATAAACATCGAAGGTGGGGCAGGCTTTGATCATGTGTTCTGTAGAAGAGATTATGTCACTTGTTTAATGTTTATTTAGGATTAGCAACATCCCTTGATGCCACCAAGACCATCCTTGAGATTATCAGACAGTTTGTCTGGATACAACCTGATGTCTCAACTGTACTTTTGGATTCTGCCTTGTAGCAAACTATGTGTGTGACAAGGACTTTGACCACTCTGTGCAGATGCATAACAATGCATAATGAACTTGGGTATGATTCAATTGTGTCACACAAGTCAAAGATGGGTTCCACTGTATTTAGAAACAGACGATAGATCCAATACTGTGTAACTTTATAACAATCAGATGAGTATTCAAATAGGAATACACATATATTTACAATTACCCTTGAAAAGTTCCAAAACCAAAAAGAACGACTTAAATTATGATTACACTTGACCAATATATTTGGCAGTTTTTCCCGTTATTGTTAATCTAAATTAAAGATAGGATAAATGATAAAAATATGATAATGATTTTACTCATGACTACTCATGGGTGGATACAGCTTTATTGAAAAGGTGGGGTGCACAATTAAGATCTATTTATTGTCTTTGGTGGTAATTTATACAGAAATAAAGATTTATAAACCCGCACACACACACACATCCTATCCCCCCCCCCCGACCCCCCCCCACCCCCCCACCCCCTCTGTATCCGCCCATACTGTTGCCAGTAGCCGAATTAAGGTCCCTTATATGTAATATACATAGTTTTTAGTCGATTGTTCAGGTGGTTCTTTTCACTTGATTTTTTGTATCAGTGTCTATTTTGGCCTACCAATTAATGGTAAAAATTAAATATCAATAATAAGTGAGATAATTTTTTTCAATGTGGCTCCCATTGCAACTAAAGCAAGGAATGATTCAAATTAAGCCTGATTCACCTGCTAACATTGAAATGTATTTGCTCCTCTAATCAGCAATTCATTCAGTTGTATAGTGACTTGATATTTGGCGAAAATATCTGTTGTATGAAATGCTAGTGTTACTTACTTTTGTATTTGGGATGATATTTGTATTTGGTAGCCTATTGGGTAATGCGATCTCCGAAGCACTGGGTTCTATTCCCCACATGAGTACTGTGTGAAAAGCCCATTTCTGGTGTCCCCGCAGATATATTGCTGGAATATTGCTAAAAGCTGTGTGAAACTATACAAACTTGCTCACTCATTATATTTTTATATACTCATTGTATTTTGAGATCGCTTACATGACTTGTGTGATTGAAAGTTTTGATAATTATGAATACCGTATGAATGACGTAATGAGTGCCCAGGGCGCTCTCAAAATTTCATAGTTTATGCTGGCAGCCTGAAATGTTTATGTACGACAAATATATTTTTCCAGAATTAAATTCCCCATAATTAAGGGTGCATATCACACACGAGTGTGTATTATACACAAATAAATAAGTCTTGTATACATTGATCAATTGGAAAGGGTGCTAATTGGGATTGTTCACTAGCCAATATATTAGCAAATATTCCCGTGGTACGTCAAATACGGTAGTTCTGTTTTTATGTATAAGAACCTATTTTATGCAATTTTGCATTGCCTTGTTTACCCTTCCTTATAGTTTGATGTAATGCAAACATTTGAGAAAAATTCAGGTGAGCCTCATGGCACTACAGGAATTGTTTTCAGAAGATCAATTACAATTTTGTATTTTCTGTAAAAAATACTGTTTGCTATGGCTTTTTTACATTGGTTAACATGGTTTGGTTAACAGTTGCTTGATAAATTGTCATTACCTTACTCATTGAGAAACCAACTTTTTACCCTTTGTCAATATATGTGTGTTTCTTATATTTTTAATAACAAGCTTTTAAAGATGTTATAAATTGTTTCAGGTACCTGGATTTCACAATGACACCAGATCAGACATGTCATAAGGACTCTCCGGATGATGAACAATCCTCCCCAGAACAACTAACAGGTTCACCTCAGAAAGTGATGATTCTGAATGAATAATGCCACATCAGTGTGATTCTGTGGGTTGTTTTATTACGACATTAATCAAGTCCAAAGGAATTAATACCACAGCAGTGAGACTATGTTTATTTGGTGTACACTGACGCTGACTATAGAAATCTTAATGACTTTTGTGGTTTACTGCACAAACATATTTGACTTTAGATATTCTTCTACCTTGAAATTCTTCTGAGATTTGACTAATTTGTTTATTTAGAAAATGGCATTGAAGCATCTGTTTCTGTTTTTGAAAGTTCTTGCAAATACCTCTGGTTACTGAACCTATGAAATGTCATAAAATCAATAAATATGATTTATTATCTTATCCATATTTTGGTTTTGCTTCTTTAAGAAATATGATATTGATCATTCATAACATAGGTGCTGAACATATATCAAATATACTAATGCCCTGAATGTTTTCCTGCAATTAATACAGCTCACTGAACGAAGTTTTTAGTTCCATGTCAGTAGAAAAATTACATTGATATTTTTATGTACCGGTACTTTATTAGGTGTTTTCTGTGGATGCCATCAGTCTTATGCACCAATTTGGGTTAATGATATTCTGTTTCAAACTTCAATGAAACTCGTCTCTCAAGATGTAACAAGTACTGATACAGTTCCAAAATAATCTTTTAATCTCACCAGGAACAAAGGCCCAAGTGAGCACATAGCCAATGACTTTCATTTTTTTGTCAGAGTGAGTATGGTGTTATGCCACTTTATGAGCAAAATTCCAACAATATCATGATGGGTGACACCAAGCAATGTACCGATGTGGTGAATCGAACGCTTCAACCACTAGGCTAGAACAAACTGGGAATATGAAGATGAAATGTAAGGATACCATCATACCAGGACTGAATGCTTTTCTTTCAATACGCTGAACATCTAAAATGAAATATATGAACTTGAAAAATGTTTTCACCAAAAGTACATGCCCATAGATCTCAACTTAAAGTGGACATTTACAACTAAAATAACACAGAATATTACTACAGCTATCTGCTATGCCCAGGCTAACATTATTTACTAGGAGAAAGACATCTCGAAAAATTGCATCCGGATACCTGTCGGATACCTTCAGCAATGTTCAATTGTCATGGTTTGTTTCCAATATATTTTTAGGTGTTTCACACTTAATTGAACAAAATGCACCCCCCAAATTGTGACATGTTTTTTGAAACTCAGAATTAGGTATCCGGTGCCGGATCCCTGGACACCCAGATTGAGGTATCCGGTGCCGGATACCCGGATTCCAGGTGACATACTTTCCGGTGAGGTGTCCATGCCAGATACCATGGATCTGGTATCCGGCAAGGTATCTGCCACCGGATACCTGGACGCGTTTTGGGTAAGTGTCTGGTGGTATCCTGCATTTTTTTTGCTGTGTGGGTGTGTCTAATTATAGGTAATTGTTACACTGTGTCCAGTATACATGTAATTGTGACACAGGGTGTGTCTAATTACAGGTACTTGTTACATTGTATCCAATACATAGGGAAGTGTTACACTATGTCCAGTATACAGGTAAGTGTTACACTGTGTCCAGTATACAGGTTAGTGTTACACTGTGTCCAGTATACAGGTAAGTGTTACACTGTGTCTAGTATACAGGTAAGTGTTACACTGTGTCCAGTATACAGGTAAGTGTTACACTGTGTCCAGTATACATGTAATTGTGACACAGGGTGTGTCTAATTACAGGTACTTGTTACACTGTGTCCAATACATAGGTAATTGTTACACTGTGTCCAGTATACAGGTAATTGCTACACTGTGTCCAGTATACAGGTTATTGTGACACAGGGTGTGTCTAATTACAGGTAATTGTTACACTGTGTCCAATACATAGGTAATTGTTACACTGTGTCCAGTATACAGGTAAGTGTTACACTGTGTCCAGTATACATGTAATTGTGACACAGGGTTTTTCTTATTACAGGTAATTGTTACACTGTGTCCAGTATACAGGTAATTGTTACACTGTGTCCAGTATACATGTAAGTGGTACACTGTGTCCAGTATACAGGTAAGTGTTACACTGTGTCCAGTATACAGCTAAGTGTTACACTGTGTCCAGTATACAGGTAAGTGTTACACTGTGTCCAGTATACAGGTAAGTGTTACACTGTGTCCAGTATACAGGTAAGTGTTACACTGTGTCCAGTATACAGGTAAGTGTTACACTGTGTCCAGTATACAGGGAAGTGTTACACTGTGTCCAGTATACAGGTAAGTGTTACACTGTGTCCAGTATACAGGTAAGTGTTACACTGTGTCCAGTATACAGGTAAGTGTTACACTGTGTCCAGTATACAGGTAAGTGTTACACTGTGTCCAGTATACAGGGAAGTGTTACACTGTGTCCAGTATACAGGTAAGTGTTACACTGTGTCCAGTTTACAGGTAAGTGTTACACTGTGTCCAGTATACAGGTAAGTGTTACACTGTGTCCAGTATACAGGTAAGTGTTACACTGTGTCCAGTATACAGCTAAGTGTTACACTGTGTCCAGTATACAGGTAAGTGTTACACTGTGTCCAGTATACAGGGAAGTGTTACACTGTGTCCAGTATACAGGGAAGTGTTACACTGTGTCCAGTATACAGGTAAGTGTTACACTGTGTCCAGTATACAGGTAAGTGGTACACTGTGTCCAGTATACAGGGAAGTGTTACACTGTGTCCAGTATACAGGTAAGTGTTACACTGTGTCCAGTATACAGGTAAGTGTTACACTGTGTCCAGTATACAGGGAAGTGTTACACTGTGTCCAGTATACAGGTAAGTGTTACACTGTGTCTAGTTTACAGGTCATTGTTACAGTGGGTGTATCTGGTATACAGGTGATTGTGATACTGGGTGTGTCCAGTACGTAGTAATTAGTTATATATAGTTATTCCCTGTGACTCGAAGGTCGTAGGTACAACAGGTGGGGCAGTGATAAAGGGAATAGCTTCACCGGGTGTGACAACTGAGCAGACAATATCTTCATCCATTAACCCGTATGTCAAGCATACACTCCGCAAAGTAAAACCATAGACTGTATCTCACCTGCCTAAAGCACACTGACTGAGTTAGTGATTATGGTTGTATGCCTCTTTTAGCAATATTCCAGCAATATCACGGTGTGGGACAACAGAAATGGGCTTCACACATTATACCAATGTGGAGAATTGAACCTTTCCTTGACGAACGAACGCTTTAACCACTAGGCTACCCCACCACCTTTAAAGAATGTTGTCATTAAACACATTCCTAAGTTTTTCGTTTATGGTGTCAAAAGCCACAATCCACAAAATGAGAAAATTGTAGTTGTTTGCTGGAAAGTTCTACTTTTTTGTTATTCTAGAAAAATGTAATTACAGGTCTTAATAACCTTTCAGCATTTGCATTTTATGTATAATCTCTCTCTATTGCAAACAAATGACAAAGAATCCAACGCTGCCTCGCACAGAAGTAAACACACAAATTTATAAACAGTACTGTGAAATCCTGCACTTTACACAGCTATAACATATTTTTTCCCACAAAACCAACCAAATCAAATAACATTTTGTAAAATAAAAGATTACAATTTTAACTGCACTAGTTCATGTTTAATCTTATTTCGAAATATTCAAGCTAAAATGTTTAGGAAATTATTTGTAAACCATATAAATCAAAAACAGTTTGTAACCAGTCACAATTTATCAACTTGGAGTTTATATGGTAAATCCAAATGATATTTTGCCGTTATGACTAAGAAAATCAGACGTATGCACATTATGGCACTTGTAACATGTCCTATTATTTGGCACATGTATGTGTGCAGCCTTCGAAATTCACACTAGTGTGCTAGTCTGAGACAACTAAATTGTGATGAGGACAAGTGAAATTAAATGATGGCAGTGTTCGAAATAATTTTAAAACCCAACAAGACAATCAGGCAAGTGATCCATAAGTTTTGTTTGCCTCATCCTTAAAGCTACCTGCCTGCTTTTGGGCATCATAAATATTGTAAAAAATCGCAAAAACTAGGAGACAAGTCATGTCTTGATTCAGCTGAAATAAAGCAAGCATTTACTGGAGAATCTTCAAGGAGTTATAATAAAACTGAATACGTAAGTAGTATATTATCTGCCAGATAGTTGGGCAGGTGGAGGAAAATTTCATGCAGCCCGTCAGAAAAGTTACCAGCCACGGGCAGGCGGCAGGCGGGCAGGCAATTATTTCGGACATTGAATAATGGTAGTCTTCTTTGACTATTTAGCAGTAACTTTTGAGGGCTATAACTCTGAACCAGTTCACAATGCTTCTATTTAGCTACAAATTGGAAATGACTAAAACTGCCAGAAAATATAAACACAGTAAACATTTTTGTCTTGTTCACTCAGGACTAGTTTTAAACTCTCGGGACCAGTGAAACAAGGTTTACACTAGTCCTCTGTACTAGTCTTAAAAAATACATTTCCTACGTCTGGGTGTGGATGGATGAACTATGTATACATAGCTAAGGATGATGCTGGCCGACATGGACACAACAGACTTGACAGAGGATGGAATGGAGTGTCTACCATGAGGCAACTGCAAGGCAAGCACTCACACAATGGAAGGTTGGGCTGTACCACCCAGTTGTCAAGGAGAAATACACAAACCTATCACTTCAAAAGATGCAAGAAAGATATTTACTATTTCTCCACACCAACCAATATCTCTAAACACTGATGAGGCTGAACATTGAGAGAGCTGCTTTGCATAAACAAATTGATTACAGTGACCCCTGTACCGACACTACCGTACAAGATCTGACACCATTGTGTCCAGTGGCACATTACTGCTTCACTGAGAGACAAGAACCCCAAATGATACAATAACTCCACCTCACACTCAGTGTGTGTGTGTGAGTTAATATTTAATATTTAAAGTCACAACGGCAATATTTCAGACATATCGTGACTCACACTCAGTGGAGCTGCAACAGTTGGCCCTGTTTCACAATGGCAATCATATTGGCTCCCGAGTGGGTCATTGTCGACTGTGTGAGGTTGATGTATTCTATTGATTAAAGACACAGACATATTTTCTGGCCATATTTCTGTGTAGGCAGATAACTTCATGTTAAAATCATGTAAATTCAGATTTCATGCAATAATGCTTCGATACCCATCACATAAATACCATAAATAATAAATTACAAACACTGCATCAATGTATAAAATAATTTATTTTACACATATGAAAACATAAGACCCGTTATATCAATGAAACACAAACAATGTGTTTATATATACCCAATATAGTAATCCTGACTCTGGGTGCTGACAAATAAGGAACATATTATCAGGGTGAATCGGGATTCGAAGCCACTCTACACACAGAGACGACCTAAGACGACCAGATCTGATTAGATTGAAAAAGCAGATATTATTAAGTTAGAACCGTTATAACAATCACAAGTATAAATTGCAATTTCAGGTAACAATATTATAATATATCTACCATTTCTTTCCGCACGAGCGTTTCTTGAGTATTTCATAAAGCATCATGTAATTTTCGAGAATTATTTGGGTTTACTTGATAGACAGAGATCACATAAAAAATGTCTTAAAATAGTGAAATACTCAGAGATGGCACGAGGGGTTATCTACCACTTGATATGCAGATGGATCATTCGTGAATGTATTGATAACATCACTATACAGAGGAGGAGCATCAGTTACGACTTCATTATAAGCAGGAGGTGGTGTATACACGGTCGGCTGACTGGGAGGAATAGCACGAGGAGGTGTATACATGAGTGACTGTGTTGTAGGATAGGTAAGCGATGGTGTATACATGACTCGCTGAGTGGATGCATGTCCAAGATGTCCAGTAGGAGATATCGAGTATATGCTGTTGGGGTACGACCCGTTATTAACCACGTTGCGATTCCTTAGTGACTGTGACTTCTTTCGGTTATATGAGGCACAGCAACAGATCAGGATAAACACCAACGTTATTGCACCAAAACCCCCCCCTACAATGCCTCCAACATTTGTGGCCTGACGATCTGCAATGCAAAGGCACACTTTTTGCGAGAATATGTCGACAGAACAAAAAGTTCATTAGCATATTCATCACACTATAAATCAAGTATTAGTAATATTAGATAGATTTCCTTTCAGGTAAATGTCCGTTGTAAAGAAAAACACCTTCTTAAATGCATCTTTGTAGATGATGAAGGTGAAGATGAATTAATGGAGTTGGAAACACCATAAAATGATTGCAGAGCTCAAGCTAACATTCTTCGTGACTTGCTGGTTTCCAGATTGTTGCAACGGAATGCATGCTATTCATGTATATATCAGATTCAAAGCTTATGTTAAACACTTACTCTTTGATGGTTTCTTAGCAGAGAAAGCTAACTTGAATCCACCGTAAGACTGTAAATTATCAGATTGGAACTTCACAAACATGCTCGCTCCAGAACTTTCTTTGATGGGACCCCTGGTACCACACCATCGGCCAAATGAAACTGCAGATGCATCCGAACCTTAACAAGTTCAAACGTTCTATCAGGAACTTTGTCGGATTGTAAACAGTAAATGATTCGTGATATAAACCAATCTTCATGATCAAAACTATTCCTTCTCTTTATGTATTAAATAAACAGAAAGAAGAATCTACATTACAACTGAAGTTTGTTTGATCAGTTGCTTTTGCCCTTTTTATCATGTTTGCCATAAATCAGGAATTGATAATTTAATAGTTGCTCCATTTCAGAACACTGGCTAGTTAGGAGCCACTGAATTTGCTTTCTACAATTTACGAAAATGCTGAATGACTATGTTCCGTTCATGCATTTAACAGTCCTTTTGCTAATTTTCGCTAAACAATTACCGTCGTAAAGTTGCACAAAGTCGAACATACAGCTGTCATCGTATTGAATGTTGAAATCTCTCGTTTCAAGAGAAATCACATATCCGTCAGAATTGGTGGAGATGGTCCATGTTTGCTCTGCATTGCTATGGTGGAGAGATGAACAACAACAGGGCATCGCAAGTTATCACGAGCAAGCATACACAATCTGATGAAATCTACTATTCAAACACACCAATATTTATTAAAAGTCTGAATGGTAATTACAGAGCCGAAAGAATTATATGTTATATGTCAATGATCTATTTGATATTACTTTCATGCCATCTTCATATCACGTAGTGTAAGTTGCATCTGATAACAAATATTGTCAGTACTTGTATGTGGTCTAATGTTTATCATAATTATCCATATATCCTTGAACAGCACCATGATATCTGAAGTAGTAAATAGGCTGCTCTTGCAAAATTTAAATTGTACTTACATTGGATAATTTAAGGGAAAATTCGGGGATTGTACATATGATGTTTCATAATAGTTGACAACTATACTTCTGTGTGGTCCTGAAATACAAGGAAAAGAGAATAATGCACTCGTTATAACCTGCCGCCGCACAGTGCGAGGGGCGATACGGGTTTGATGCTGTCTGTTAGCCCAAAGAAAAAGCGTCAGTAGTTAAGACAACACAACATTCACATGTTCTAAACTTTGTCCTTCAAATTCGATGAACAGCCTTATGTTCTTTGTCTTTTGAAATCCATGTTGCTAGTGGAGCTTTGGCTTATGTTCCACAGAAGGAAGCACGTTTATATCAAATATTCATGTGATCAGTAAGACATATCTCTGGAACTATAAAGGTAACATCTGACACATGCAGTCTGATATCTAAAGACTGCCAACACCAAAATGAGAGGCACAATCATCCCATAAATGTATTTAGCCAAATAATGTTTGTCTTTCAAAGTTATCTTACCTAAAGTATTTATTATTTACACACGTACGCGTGTGTTATGGTGGGTGTGTATTTATGTGTTGAAAGGATGTGTTGTTACTGTATATGTAGCCATTGATCTCATGTAAAAGAATAAAGTAGTATTTCCACACTCACGAGTATGTTCTGTGTGAGTGTGTGTGTGTCTCTCTCTCTTTCTGTGCGCGTGTGTGTGTGTATGTGTGCATGTGTGTGTTGAGGAGAAGGCTGGTAGCAACATGAAGTCACAATATGCGTACATGTCGTGAGCAAAATACCTGTCTTGATTAATTTCCCTAAAACACTGTCTGCCAACACACCACATACATACCAAAGGTACCAGCTGTATACAACAATCTGAACCCCTTGTCCCAAAGATTGATGTCTGTGTGAAATGAGATGGTCAAGTATCTACCGGAGCTGATGATGCTGTCAGAAATTTTGTGACATATTCTTTTAAGCCGACGAGCATTGGACGAAGTACCTAAAACAGAGTATCGAACGAACGTTTTGTGTTACCAATAATGAAAATGATCGAGTGTAACAACATGAGTATACCACACAAGTATTATTTCATTCTACTGGTATTGTTAAAAATAAAAAGAAAGATTCAGCTCCACTGCAAAGCACATTGCGTAAAGTAGTTGCTAAACCTGATACACAATCAACAACACCTACATTTAAAAAAGATCAGTCACGTCAAACTCTGTCAAAACTATGTATTCATCCAAATATGCATATACTCTCTTCAAAAAAAGAAACGCACATGTAGTATGTTGTTCATTGAACCTGACTGCACAAATAATCCGGTATATAAATTGGATATATGTTATTGGAAAATGTTGGTGGTGTGATATTCGACAAACAGTGCGTGAAAACGCAGCCATTCCCGATTTGCAATGTCTTAAATGACATTGTTTTCACACTCATGGAGGACAACAGTAAAGCAAAATGCACGTGCAAGTTATGGCAATCGTAACTCGTGGTAATGGCTATAAAAAGGCAAGCATAAGCCAATAATTTGTCGAAAATGCCGATCGGAATAGCGCCACACAATCTCATTAAAATCAGATCTTAGTTTTCGCTACCGCTAAACAAAGATCTGAGGACATCCCATTACGGGTCATGTCAGAACGACCTTTCGCGAATTTTGACCGACAAATGAAATATCTCGGTAACACGAGATACTGAGTTCAGCGCAACCTTGTGGCCTTATGTGACATGAAAATGAACAGTTTTCACTGCCTTTGTACAACGACAACATGTGACTATCAAAAAGTTCATATTTGTATCTATGAAATTGAATTAAAAATATCGACTTGTACAATAGATTTACTAAAAATCTACCTGTGCGTTTCTTTTTTTGAAGAGTGTATATGCAAGTATGTACATAAACTGCTACCTATATTACATTGCCCTGATTCCAATAATGAACTTACCATCATTGAACATAAGGTAATCATTTGAACATGACCTTGAACTTTCCATAGCAAGAAAGAGAACATCGACTTTGACATTTCGTCCGATCGGTGCCCTTAGTGTCCATTGGCAGTCTATGTTGCTAAAAACAAAAACATGTACAAACAAATCACTCCCCTGCAATATTTATGTGGACTGAGGAACGAAGGTGTTTCAACACAATGTGCTTGCCAAAACTTAACTTCAACAAAGAAAGCACATTTGAAAACAAATAGTCTTGCTGCTGTACTGAAGCAAACTGAGACGTTATGCCGGCCAAGAACAATCTGTGTGACATTTATAATCCTTGCTGTGTTAGCTGATACAAATTCACTTTTCATATAAGAGATTAAAGGACATATTTGTTTTTGGAAACTGCAGACATAGATGAAGTCTATAGGCCCGTTTCTCTTGATATGTATTCAATAGATACATGTTTCTGACCATTGTGACAATTTGTATATCTGTCTGAACAATTATTAAAACTGTAAAATGAACTAAAACGCTTTAGAATAATTATTGTTTCCGTAGGGCGTAAAAGGCAAAAAGGCAGTGATGACATTTTTTGGATCAAAACAATCAAGTGCCAGTGCAAGTGTGTAAGACTCCATGGGGAGATCAAATCATGGGATAGCATCGTGTATGTTGACAATTAACGTATTATATTAAGTTATTTTCTCTGAATGTCTACCATAACATTTCTGAAATGACTTAACGCGGCCTTTGATGGTTTAACCTTGATTAAAAACTCAGTTGTAGAATGTGTCTTTCCATGAAATATTAATGAAATGTACATGCTCTATATAATGTACCTAGGAAACCGAGAAAGGATAACGTCATAACCCGGAGCTGATAGTACATTGATCGACACTAAGAGGAAATTCATGATGGGAAAATCGAAATCATCTCTCATCTCTTTCAGGCTGGTACAGAGGCTGTCATCATTTTGAATTTCTATGCACATATCAAGATAAGATACCAAATATAATGTCTCCGATATTTCATCAGTCCCGACACTAAAGGACATCTATTTTTTTCAAACTGAGGTTTAACTTTTTGATGAAGTGTTTGTATTTTGTATTTAATAAAAGAAGTCAATGAATCTGATTCGAATACAACAAAAGATTAATTGATCATGACTTGCTCCATTACTTTCCTCCCTGGCCCACATTGATGTGTCTACTTACTTTGGATAATTTGAAGGATAGCCAGGAGAAGTCAAATTCTTCGGGATGATTGAGGAGGCACTTAGAGTACTTCCACAACTTTGGCTTACTGTTTGCCATAAAAAGATAGGAAAGGTAGTTTTAAGACTCACAGCAGGGTGCACAAGTGGCTTGAAACACTCTGTATTGCATTTTAATTTTAATATCGTAGACCTTGATAGTGTTTGGTCGACTTGAATGGTACCTTTACCTTTAAAACCAGGTTAAATATTTGTAAATCACGTGCATAATAGCATGTAAAGGTCTATAGTTACCAGCTGTGTACTTCAAACGAAACGCCCATTTTCTTTCTAAACCGTCAGTATGGAAGGTGATGGTCATGTAGTTACTGGTGCTGATAATGTACCTTGATGTAGGCCTGCATAATTTAGCTAACCGGGTTGAGTCAGTCGAGGAACCTAAAATATGTATATATAGTCCAAATATCATGGAATAGATCTAATATAATAGCCAAGGACACGTGAACAATAAAGTATGTATCCTCATGATCATACCCAAAAAACTTTTAGACTATGAATGTCAACGTATGCATTCTGCATGTCAACATTTAGTTCATTAGGAAGGCATGTGGGGATTGCTGATAGTCATTAATGATTAGTCACACGTTCATTGTGCATCAGTGTAGTGTAGTCCACGCAAAAGTGTACTTATGCGGTGTCTGAGAGTGATGTTACATTATGGTTAATAGGAACTGACATTATGGATCTAATTGCCTAATATATAGATCTCCATTTATTGACATAAAGTCACCATCAGTGAACAGAAAGAAGAAACAAACAAAACGAATGTTATCATATGAATTATTACTGTTAAAAGTTATGTTTTGTAGTGAGGTAGAAAAAATTGACCACACGCCGAGTTATGAATAATAGACTTACCATCGATGAACAGAAGATAGTCATATATGCAAAGACTTGAACTACTCGTGGACAGAAACATAACTTCAACTTTCACAAATGTTCCGATCGGCGCTGAAATTCTCCATTGGCAGTCGCTGGATGAAACGCTAGTAACATAAACAACCAAATATTGAAACGATTGTAACATAGCACACATTCAGAGCCATTAATTGTCCTTCGTGTGGTAAATCATTCTTCCGATGAATGAAGAGAGTACATTAATAGAGTATAGACAAAGCGAAATATCATTTCAAGTTGTATCTATCATCAATATATTGATAGAAATCATTCTCGTGATCAATACTCAATGTATTAAATCTCCTCATCAATCTTCTGTCACACCCGGAAGTGTTTCTTAGAAAATTTCTAGCATAGTGTGTTAGCTAAAGTATATAAAAACTGATTGTTCCCAACACACACAATTTCCAGAAACACAGTCCCATATATTTCATGCCTCTCTTGGTCGAACCCATTCTGTTGACATACGGATTTATTAAAATAATATTCTATGTTCATTCCTTTGATAGATGCTGCAAACTCCTACTCACCTTCGATAATTCATAGGATAGCCAGGAGAAGTCAGATAGTTCGCTCGGAGAGTAGTGGCACTCAGATTTTCAATATCGGGCACTTTAATTGAAAATAAGAACGGTGGTTCAGGTCCCATTGTGTAGTAGATTCATTCCACGAGTTTCTGGAGAATACTCATGTGTCCAATTTCAGTTTCAATTACATTTAAACTTCGTTTCACCCAATGATAGACACACATATGATGTGATACTCTCCAACTTACTAGTTAACCTAACAAAATCTTGGAGACGTTTCCATAATAAATCTGTTAACATTCCAGGTTACCACATCATGAAATTATTAAAACGTTGGCAAATGAAAGTACGCATTCGGTGCACAAAGGGTGTAGTTACCAGCTGTATACTGCAAACTAAACCCTCTGTCTGTTCCAGAACTGTCAGTGTGGAAAGTGAGGGTCATGTAGTTACTGGAGCTGACGATGACACTCAATCCGGGCTTGCAGATTTTAACCAACGTGGGAGCGTTAGATGAATGACCTAAAACGTGTGTACATACAACCGTAGGTCGTATATATATATCAATTATCTAATCAGTAAATGGCACATGAGTTTTTAATATGTGTGCGAGCTGATCTAATCTAATCAATGTGTGTATATATGTATATACCATATGGCACATTACTATATATATATACATAACACGTTAATTGAGTAATGTGCCATTTAAATACATACCCCTCCAATGATTCTTTGATGGCAATGATAACCATGTGTTGTTACAACAATCACAGTAACTCTTGTCTTTGTTCTTTGCGACTGCGTCAAAGGCCGACATGTAAGGTTGGATTAAGGTGAGGATTTTCCTTTTGTTTTGTTTTAGATATAAATTCAATGATGCTTGAGAGGAGGGGGATGTCGCATTCATATTGTGTATTTTAATCTCATTTCTATCCTATGTTTTGATTACAGTTAAGACTAAAAGGTATTTGTTGTCATGTCAAATAAATTTATTTTCTGATATATCAAAATGAGGAGAGTAAAGTTACAAGCATCTGAAAAATATAAATGGAAATACAAATGTGATTTCAAAGTCTAAAACACCTGCAAAAACGTGATTCAATGTTGATGGGATTATATAATTGTAAAGTTGTAGGATTAATGTTACAACATTCATGGCCTCAGTAAAGTTTTCAAAACGCTTTATGGGAGCCATGTGGAGGACATTTCCAAATTTGACGCTACAGTGACAAACATGATGTTCGATTCAATTTTTTAGTTTGACGTGTACCATATGTTCCTGTGTTATTGCAGGTGACGAATTTACTTGCTTTTGCGTGTGTTTGTGACGGGTGCCATCGGATGGGCAGGATACGTTCACCTGTTCGCGAACACCTTGTATCATCGCTATTTGTGACTCCTGAACACATGCTCACGAAATAGTCGGAATCGTAAAATCGACTATGCTTTATGCAGAAATATCTTATGAATATGGAAAGGGTTATGTCGCTTGCATTTATTAATACAATGATCTTTTACCAAAAAGCGAAACGCAAGGTGTACGTATATTAGATTGTATTGTGCATATTACAATGTCATGTTAACTCGAGAAACTGTTAATTGAAATACATGCTAGATTTAAATTTACCAGGTAAATCGTCTCTGATTGTACATTAGGCATTTCAATTATAGTGTGTTCGCGATATGTACAGGTATATATATATATATATATATATATATATATATATATATATATATATATATATATATATATATATATATATATATATATATATATATCTCTGTTGATAAATGGCAAGGAGGCTATATATATATAGCCTCCTTGCCATTTATCAACAGAGATGTCATATGTTATTATTTGTTGATATATACTTTTGGGCACATATTTAACCTATATGACGGTGGCTTGTAAATAGTCGAATATGGACTGATATTCAAGCTACGCCATCGGAGTACGATGACACGCCATCAACCAAGTCAACGTATATGGCCAGCTAATACACCAAGGCACCTCTTACGACTTGGATCCTGACGGGCGTGATTTGTAAGAGTAATTAACAAATACAAGCGACAAAGCCCTTTCAATATTCATAAGAACTTTACATTCTTCTTTTTATTTACATGTGTAAGTCGTATTAGTAAGTTAGCAATTAGCTCCAGAAAATAACCAAAAGAATCAAAATAAATGCCTCTCCTCCCCGAACGTGGATGTGACAGAACTTGAACCAAAATATCACGGTAACTGACACTGTCAATGGCCGACGATGTTGTTTACGTTCTCTGTGCCTCAGACAGGTTACAAGAAGCATGATGACAGTCCTGATTTATGATGTGGTTTACAATAACCTGTCGATTACCTGGGAAAGAGCCTGCTGGTACAATGTGATTACCATTGGAACTGGGGTATGACTGAACAGCCGATTTTTATGCTGCAGACGAGTCGGCATATTACGACAAGAGGGATTGCGTGTTTGTGACCTGTCGGTTTCAAGATTTCACGGTAATTCGACGCCAGCATGTGAAAGGACATGTGAAATGTTTTTCTTAAATGCTTATTCTGAAATGAAAGATTGATAAGTTGGTGATCAAATGCATGTGCTGTGACTTAATAACATTTGCATTGTGTTTATTAGTTTTCGCCACCAAACATGTCCCTAACAGTTTCATAAACGTTGTCATTTGTATGCAAAAGATACGCCTGGGTTAAAACGCTTAGTCGCTATATCTGAATCTCATCATCGAAGCAGTCGGGGTTACCGCCACTGCCTAGAAATCGTCACCAAACACATGCGACATCACACGTTCCGTACTTCCTGTATTAAACGAATAAATGTTGGCAGTCCCTAAACCTGAACCTGGTCGAATTTAGATTGTATCGCTTTTATATGTTACAGGAAGAGAAGCTGTCTTCGTAAACAATATGTTCGTTTTCAATTAAGTTGAAATGTGTATTACCTGTTGGGTATTATATGTTACCTCAAAGTTATACTTTTGCAAAAAAATATGAATCGAAAAGGATTGGTGATACTAATAACTTTGTGACACAATTTAAGCATAATCAATTACAAATAAAAAATTTATTTCGAAATGTTAAACTTCATAATAGTATTACCTGATAAGGCTTGTATGATTTCTTAACTGGTAATATAAAATTGACAACACAGATGTTTGTGGTTTTTGCTTATGACCTCAGTTATTATATCTAAAATGGATAGAATTATCATTAAACCGCTCGCATGTTATCAGAAATCAGCGGGCCACTGTAACTTGATAATGCCCTCATATTGCTTGACGACGGGCCATTATCACGCCTGTTGTTAGGTGACTTCATAGGATAGGGATAGGTGACGTCACGTTCAATAGTGACGTCATCTGGTTTGTTCTATGACGTTTCCATATTTGTAAAAGTGGGTCAGTGACATTGGTGTTGATTGCGGTAATTTTTTTCAAAACCGATATTGTTTGTTTTTTATTTGATAACAAATTCCATCCATTTACCTATAATAACAGTAATGCTCTTTCTCGGGGCATTATCATTTGCAGAAGCCCTCGGTCTTTTCAACTGCCCTCCTTTTTCGGGCTTCTGCGAATGATAATGCCCTGAAAAATAGCGTTACCCTTATAATAGTATGATGAATGATGTTGGTAAAAGGTTCAATGATAAAGAGTAGTCCGAATTCCGTTTCTGTCTGGAATGTCTAGTCGATGATAAATTGAGGAAATGTATTTTACCAAAGTGTTATCCTAGCTTTTCCCACAAGCCAAACTAGTCCACTTGTGTACATCTCAGAATATTCATGTTGTCGAGGCTATTGTCAAGTTGGTATTTCTGTCTTTAAAACACGTGTACACTTCAGTATAGCATCATCTGTGCGTATTTAATCACGCTTAGTTTAGGACTGGCATTCAGTACATCGTATTATATCAGAAGTTGTGACTTTTTAAGAAATAAACGATTAGTGTGAGTTGTTTATCTTATTATAAAACACTGCAGGGAGGATGAAACAGGAAAGGCGGAGCCCCGAGTTGTTGATTCTCCCTGCAGTGTTTTATTTTACGCGAAACAACAACCATTCATTCGTTCATTTCTTATTTGAGATATTAACGTTATGTTCGGTGTCTTTAAGGATGAAGAAAAAATATACAATCTTTAAAAATATTTACCCGTATTTAAAGAATGCTGACTCGCTCAAAAGAATCCGTTTTATGCACATTTGGGTATTTCCCACATATTCCCACAACCCTCATGTCGATTACCTAGATGTTTTCTCCCTGAACCGATTGTCGCTGTTGATGGAAAACAATGTTTTATCTTGAAATAAACCACACTTCGTTCTTCACTACACACACACATATATATATATATATATATATATATATATATATATATATATATATATATACTGGGCCGGTAGCTCCTTTGCTTAAATATTCAGTCTCTCTAGATCTCTCAGCTCCTTCCAACAAACGATCAAATAGGCGTCCCCTTGCAATCAATACATTGATTTTATAGTAATGGTAGTAAAATGTTTATTAAAGTTTCACACGCACAACATGTACAATAAAATCAATGCACATATGACAAAAGGTGTATGGAGTGCGTCCAGCCAGACATTGGCTTATATTATGAGACACTATACACAATATAAACAAAATATATACATAATATATATAATATGAGAGGTTAAGTTTCGCAAAGCAAACAAGAATGCGACACCTTCTTCGTGCTCCTCACAAACTTGGTGTTGGATAAAGTAAATATATCGACTGTCATATGGTCTGTACAAAAGACCGGATGTGTACTCATGATGCAGACGACCACCCTGTGGGACAAGTCAATAATAGCCCCAAAGTCGAATAAATAAGAACGTCTTCAGCTTGTACATGTTCAATGAGATGAGATCACATGAGATCAATCCTTATGAACACACGACTGTTCAACATTTGCTGTTGAACTCTTTACAAAATAGTTGTAGATTTATACTCGGAATTTATATTTAAGTCAGAACCTGAGTTGTATGTCATAGATTCTTCACTTGTGTGATACCTGATGCATCACTGTTGTTACACCATGTTTTTCGTGTATATAGGCCATTCGCCTCGCGTGCAGAAATAAATTAAGCTGATTTAAATTGAATGTTATTATTTACGTGCATATTTATCTGTATTTAACTAGCGCCTTGGGGTATCCCAGTGGTTAAAGCGTCTGCCAGTCGCGCCTAATTCTCGGTTTCGATTTCCCACATGGGGAAAATGTGCAAAGCCTGTGTCACTCGCCATGATATTGATGTAATATTGCAAAAAGCGGCTTAAGACCACACTCACTCACTCACTAATTCTCGGGTTCGATTTCCCACATGGGAAAAAGGTGTGAAGCCTATTTCTTGTGTCACTCACCATGATATTGATGTAATGTTGCAGCGGCGTAAGACCACAATCACTCACTCACTCACTAACTAATTTTCGGGTTCTATTTTCCACAGCCTATGTGTAAAGCCTATTTCTTGTGTCACTCGCCATTATATTGATGTAATATTGCAAAAAACGGTGTAAGACCTCACTCACTCATACACTATTCACGGTAGATGTGGACAGTGAGAATTTGTGATAGGTGTCAGCAAATATGAACAATCCACAACACAATCTGTGAAATCATCTTATGAAGTGAATATATTCCTATATAGAGCCTTTCCCGTGTTAATATATTTATATTACATTATGTTAATAACCACACTTTGTAATTAGACTATCCACAACCAACAAACGTGTAACCACGTTTTATGGTGTTAAGATGAATATATGTTGACATGGAAATTCCAAGCTTCAACGCCATAGAAAAATCAGTATCGACTACCGTCCGAGACAGATTCCACTAGGCGCTAAAGCCAATTAGCTGTAAAACTTATATGAATGGATGACAGAAAAACAGTGAGAACACCAGATTTTCGCGAAAAGGGAAATCAATTCGCACCCTATCAGTAGCACCCACCACACTCACATACTTTTCCATAAAAACGTAAATCTTTGTTTGTTGTCTGACACAGCACTCAGTGAAACAATTCGCCCCTTGAAACCATTTCAGATTAATTATTCATGCTCATTTGATGCACGAATACCACTTAAGCGATAACATCACTAACACAACCCGGATCCTGACCTGTCGTTATTTACATGCGTATCTTTAAACCTAAAATATTTTACAGATATATACATATCACAGTATATACCAATGTTACATACCTGATCCTTTGACCAGAGGTCCAAACAGTATAACACATAATCCAAGCAAAACGTGTTCCTTCATATTTGTCAATATCGTTCCCGATGTCCTCGTCCCTATCTTCATGATATCGTCACTGTACACCTTACGTACAGGTAAGCTGGGACTATGGCTGTTGACGTGACCATGACGTGAATCCTATTTGAACGAAGTAAGGGCTTTGTCAACACGATACACATGTCAATCTGACATAGCTATTCAAATACAGTTGCTATGGGATACACATAGTCGTGCTGTGTCATAGCACAGATATTACAACATACCTCACCTTTTCAATCTCTCACTTGATGCAATCGGTTCACTTTACATTCGAGCGTTTTGTTGTAATGCAAAATTCAATTATATTTTTTTTTTTCAAATCACATTGACGCTTACCTAACCATAGCATATTGATATTTTGCCTCGTGGTCTACTGAATGTATGAATAGGTTGACAAAAGTAATATTGACATCACGATCAATGAAATCCGGTTATGATGTAGATTAAAACGCTAATCGTTAAGTGGTTAAATCGTTCGCCCGTCATGCCGAATACTCATGAGTAGAATGTGTCACCCTCTTTGGTGATATGGCTAGAATATTGTCACAGGCGGCGTAAAACTCAACTCACTCGTTTAGTTACAAACATCAAATGTCCCAATTTGACACCACACAATATAACTGATCATGATTTGTGTGTAAGCAATAATTATTCACTTGAGACATGATTTTGTAAGGAGATTTCACCAATGCTACGTCATTGATTTCATTGACATAATATGCCAGTTTAAGCTATAATTCTTTTCCACGATAAACACAATTACAGTCCGTTTGACTCCAAATGAGAACGATGAATTGCAAAATAACTCGAAATCCAGAAAAGTGTATGAAACATCAATACGGTACTTGACCATGAATACCCTGTACCCAACAAAATCTAAATTTTGTTTAATTTAAGACCCATGACGGATGAAGTTCCTTAAGAAATTATCATGTAATTGTGTATAGAAATGTGTACATGACACGAAGGGGGGACAAACCGTGGAAGGCACCACTCCTCTTTTAGGCTGTGCCGCTCTTTCTCCTGTTACCAGGTGTAGGTTTTGTCAATGAAATTGTTAAAATGAAGCATTGATCAGACGAATGACCAAAATATCATGTTGTTAATTTCAATAACATATCATTTAACCAATTTATGTGAAGCACAGTTACTTTGTAATATATATCATATGCAAATTAACTTAAAAGTAATTGCTATTATTGGTCAAACTATGCCTATATATTAATTAATGAAACGAATTTACATTTTAAGGTAATATAACATTTATGATGTATGCCATATGTTTGTATACTTATTGTTTCTGGAAGTTCTTGATTGAAAAGACTGCTTTTCTCTCTTGAGTTTCTAAATAATTTTGAGCCTTGCATTGTCGATGTCAATTTAGGTGAAAAAACAATGCCAGGATATATGTACATTTTGACAATTTCTATTCCTTTTTCATTTAGGAAAATGTAGTTTTACGGAGAAGAGTGAGTGAGTGAGTGAGTGAGTTGGGTTTAACGCCGCTTTTAACAATATTCCAGTTATATCACGGCGCGTCAGCTTAATGTGGGAGGAAATCCCGAAGTGATGCAGGTCTCAGACGTTTACCATTTCGGTGAAACCCACGAGCACGGGTATGGTGCTGACAAACCTTGAAACATAATTGGGGCGAACCGGGATTCGAACCCACAATAATAGGTTTCTGGCGTGCCCAAGGGACGCAATTCGCTGTCTTCCCATCAGATTGAGCCAAAAAGGATAATTGTGTCACTCCACAAGAAAGGTAGTATAAAGTGTGTTAACAATTATAGAGGTATTTAACTTATGGATATTTATGGAAAAGTATTCATTAAAATTATCAGTGAACGTCTTCAACTTAGAAGTAGATATGAATAGATCCTGGTAGCTTAAGCAGAATTTAGAAAAGGTTATTGTACAGATGACAATATATTCACATTGCAATGCTTCATTCAGAAATATTTATCAAAGAGTGGTTCTCGTTTTTATTGTCTCTTTGTTGATTTTAGGAATGCCTTTGACTATTTATAGAAAATTCCTCTGGCATGCATTAATGAAAACTGATATTCAACGATTAGTTAATGTGATGAAGGATACTAGTATCTCTAAGATCCTGTCTGATGTGAGGACAATCGGGGATTTGATACATGATACATGAATCGGGGAATCTAAGTGGAGTCAGGCAAGGATGTGTACTAAGACCTTTTCTCTGAGTTTCAAATTACGTTACCATACGCCGATTCGAGGCGTATATTTGTTGGAGCTGACATTGTAGAATTACTATTATTATTGTATGCAGATTAACTATGTATACATGCCGATTCTGTCATCGGAAAATAGACGTTTTACATAACTACAGTACCACATGGGGATTGCAGGTTAACATGGATAAAAGGGAGATACTAGTTGTCCGGATCAGCGGTTATCTACGGAGTTCATGGATGGAAAAAAAGATAAGAACATCATTCCATTTGCCCATTGCTATTTCCATTCTGTCACCTATCAGTGCTAATTACCCCCGGCCCCCCGTTTGTCCATTGCCTATTGCCATTGCCTATTATTGCTAATTACTGTAAAGTGTTGGCTTCCATTGTCTAATCACCTATCAGCACCAATCATCTGTTGGCTTCCATTGCTAATTTCCACCTTTTGTTATCTTATTAATTTTGTTGTCCTTCTATGTACACTTATATGCTCTCTGCCTCATGGCATTCATTGTGTTCCTCATAATAAAGAAGTTGACATCCATAAATTCCCTTCATTATCAATTTTTACAACTATCTAGGAGTCATTTTCTCCACACGATTGTCATGGACGAAATGTACAGAGACCTTATCAGCAAAAGCAAAAAAAAGCACTACTTTCTGTAAAGATATTACAATATGAATTCACAAATACGCCTGCAAGTGTTCCTATTAAATTGTCTGACAGTAAGGTAAAACTAATATTACTTTCTGGGGCTGAAATTTGGGGATTCCGGGATAGACTAGTGATTAACATATTCCATACTAACTTCTGTAAGTTTGCACTAGATATAGGTAAACATGTCTCCAAGAAAGCAACTCCAGCCGAGTGTGGCAGACACGGTATTAATGTTGAATATTATATTAAATGCAAACGGTACAATGTATTGGTGTTAGCTACCTCATATGCCCGACGAAAGCAGTGTTATATTCCACTGATTCTTCTGGCAGATGTGCCTAGGCATCACATGTAGAGTCGTTAGTAAATATGCACGGTTTTGGTTTTGTATGGTTTGGTAAGGATGTTGGTGACCTTTCGCAGTTTATTGGGGTGTTTAACCAGATGCTTGTATAGTGGGAAATGCAATGTATACTAAGTAAAATAACTGATTCGTCTCATTTATTGTATTATATATGCATAAAATCGTTGTTGGATATTTAGCGAGCCTTGGCGAGCTAAATACATAGTGTTTATTCCTTATACAGGATATTTACCTCTTTAATATATAATGTCATTCTTGAATTCTGTGCTTCAAAATCGCTTTCCCTCTCTCAAAAACATTACCGAAACATTACGAGTTTTCCTGGAATGCGGGCATTAATATTTATTACGTCACAGGGTAAGTAATGTGTCAGTCGGACAGTGACAGTAGCCAATATACATGTAGTTCCAACTGAAATATGTTTCTTAAACATTGGCGAAGCAACATATACGCAAAACAACAATTTCGCGGCAATCCATCGGTCTGTCCGCTAGAAGAACTGCACTTTGTCAAAGGGAAGCTACTCTAACCCTAGTCTATGAGACGTCACGGCCACGGTCAGACGTTGTTGACAGTCGGCCTGTCCTGTCATAACGTTAGGAAGTGTAGTCAGATGTATACACAGCGACAAAACGAAACAAGGTAACAATTCAAACATATTTCGGCCAAATCCAACGATTTTAATTTGTGGAGAAGGTTTCAAGCTTCAGAGGTCTACAAGCACAGATATGGCTTATGATCCCGCTTTGCTAGACCTAGTGCCCTCGCAAAATTGTTTCGAAATTTATATCTCCAAAGTTGACAAAACTTATAAAATGCCTCAGCTACGTCACAGTTAGACACTGATTTCCAGTATATTAGACTGTTCTTTTGATAATGATAGCAACTATCCCTGTAGTTTCTCAAGATTACCGATGGTTAATTCTGACTCGATCGCCGAATGACGAGGGCGACGCCAAGTTTGTTTATAAATACTGAAAGAGGTCTCTACTTGACCTTTGATATTTGCAGCTCTATCCGCACATGACCCCAACGGATATCGTTTTTATCCGTTGGTTTTATCCTGCCTAAAAACCTACCCATTTTATGATAAAATACATTATGTGGAATGTGTAACAGCAATATCGCTGAAGTTAAATTGCATGTTCTCTCTGACTGCAGTGATTATATTACTAGTATATACAGAGAACGATACACCAAAATATGATGGTTCATCTACAATAACAAATTACGAAAAGCTACTCATCAGCAATGACAAGCTTGTGCTAAACTTATTAAACAGGCTTTTTTGTCTAAGAACTCCCTGTAATACCTTATCATCTTCTCTTGCATATATTTATGTATATTTATATACATGTATTCATACTTACATAAACACAATCACAGAAATTCACATTCCTATCTCTGCACATCAATCAAAGCAGACAGAAATGTAATCATGTTTATTTCACACCGAGATAAGTGATAGGGAATATGAATACGAAATGTGTTGTACTCTGTTTTGATAAACTCATGAACAATATGTAGAATCATGCATTATACATGTTATGCTGTAAACAGTGCTCTAGGGGATTCTAATGTTACCTACTGTCGGTAGTGAAATTGTTCTTGCTCATCAAGTTCAATTCAAATAGATTTAATCGACATTATGTGATTGCAGGTCATTGAGCAGTGTCCTTATCCAACTCCAACGTAACGAGCATGTATATATAGCGTATGTCTCGGAGAGCTAATCAATTTCATTGAAATGGACATTCACTCTGAACTTGAAACATGGAAACTGTTAAAAATGTTTACAGATAAAACTACTGCATATAAATTCTTGCAACTTAAATCTCCATACTGGACTCATTATCATATTTTCAAAATGAACGATTGAAATAAGTTTATATATACAATGCAAAATATGACTTGACACAGGTTCCAAACTGCGATCGCTCTCTGTATGGCAACCTGTTTTGTCAATGGGAAGACTGAAGACTGGGGAATGTTGTTGTGTCCATAGTGGCTTCTATAGTTTTTTGGTTATTAGTGGTTGTTTGTTTCGCCTGGCTCGTTCCCGCCTACGACCGACGAATATCAGTGTGAGGGCTATTAGCCCACCTGCGGCCCCAGCTGAACTCGCAATAATAGCCGCAGTTTGCGAGAAGCCCGTATCTGTAGACATAATCACATGAACATGGGGTGAACTATGGCATTAAAATGTATCTTGAAGTAGTTAAAGTGATTAATCTCCACATTTACACAATCGCAACAAGTAACTAGAATTAGTACACGTTAATACTCAACACTTTGGAATGGACATTAACAGTGTCATATTTAAAAAGTATCGAAAACATCCCACAAATCAAATTATAAATAACATCAATTACAAAGAAATAATTTTAAGAATAGACATTAATCACCCCTACTCAATTGCTAAAACATTAATTTAGTAGAACAGTTATTCCAGTCAGGATCATTAACGGAATTTGTTTGGCATGTTACCCATGTGAGTTACGCCTGTTCATATAGTAAATGTTTAATGTCTGGATGATTATACACTGTAAGCTTACCAATTTCTCTCGTTTGCAAAATATACAATATCTTGAACCCCCTGCCGACATTGAGACTTGAATTCGACTTGAATTTCAGGAACATTGTAGAACTAGAACCTGTTTTCGTTGGTTTATCTTTCCCGCACCAGCGACCAAGGGATGGAGCATTGGTGTCGGAGCCTACAGAAATAGAACCACACAACAATTAGTTTTCTGAGCTTCTGTTTAATGCAACTTTGAACATTACTTCAGTTATATCACAGCATGTCAGTTTCATGAAAGTTTTACGTGTACAGGTTTACAGAAACAGATGTTTCTGGCTCACCTAAGTGACTCAACGCAAAAATGCAAAGTGCGGAACCTTTCTCCAAAAGATTGCTAACAATTGTAATAATTCGTTCATGTACGCCTAAGCATATAACGCATGTAGTGTTAGCCATGGACAGATGTTGAGGTGGAGGTAGTAAGTCCATGGGATGGAGTGTCCCAGTGTCATGATCAGTGATCATTGGTAGGGTCGTTAGCAGTAATTAATCACACAGATGAAACTCATCAACATCACAATATCAGGAGTTGACGTTAGCTTTAAATCTGCTTCGTATTTCAGTTACATCACAGCATGTCAGCCGAATTTGATCATCAGGACTGGTGAAGCAGATAGTACAGGTATGCACAATCGTCTGAGGGAAATACAAGAGCACGCATATTATACTGGCGTAACAGCATCACGGAGGGTCATCCTGTCTGTTGGTAAGCAACATGCCTGCTTTTAGCTAGAGTCTATAAGTGAGTGAGTGAGTTGGATTTAACACCGCTTTTAACAGTATTCCAGTTATATCACGGCGTTTCAGCTTAATGTGGGAGGAAAGCCCGAGGTCTCAGACATTACGACATCGGTGAAACCCACGAGCACGGGTATGGTGCTAACAAACCTAGAAACATAATCGGGGCGAACCGGGATTCGAACCCACAGTCATAGGTTTCTGGCGTGCCCAAGGGACGCAACTCTGCACAGCGAATCGCGGCGCCTTAGACGACTGGGCCATCCGTGCCCCCAGAGTCTATAAGTAGGCACTTATACTTACCTTTTTCAAGACACAGTTGTTAGTTAATCCTTTCAAATGAGAATTGCTTTCGTCGTAATGTAATGGAAGTATGACATACAAATTTCATTTGACATTGATGATGTTAGTTCTGTATGATGGGTATGGTGGGCATGAAAACACGTTTATGGCAGTTTTGCGTGCTACACAAAAAGACTTCCCAATCCCTTGAGACAGTTATGGTGGTCACATTTCATGTGACGTGGTTGAATATGTGTCATCGTTCCCCGACTTCGTGCTTAGCTGGTTTGCCGTGCCCACGCGCTAATACATAGATACAAGTTGAACTAGTCGACTTCAGCCCTAAGACATTATCATACTATGACGGAGAACGAAAATGTTTTAATCGTAACTATCATGTAACTAAGAAACATATATTCCGAGGGCATTCATAAAACGATAGCTACGATATCGGTTGACAAAAAAGTGTATGCACACATATTTGCAGCAATTCAAAATCAGTAAATATACATACGTACACGTGTAAATATGAATGTTTAATCATACCATCAAACGCTTCCACGTAGTCATTTTGACAACCATCAGAAAGGTCTAGGCTTGAGTTTTTAACTACGATGTTGATCTGGAAAATATTATCACCTCCTTCAATCTTCCACGAGGATTCCGTGATTCTAGAACAAATACTTACAATGTACTCATTGTTTCATGCAAAGTTCAGAGTGTGGAATTAGAAAGGATTACAGTAAACTACGGTTATAACGAACTCAAAGGGGCCACTAATTTTCGTTCGAAATAACCGTAGTTCGTTGTAAGCATATACACAGCATATATGCAACTAATGGCCGGGACTAAAAAATAAGTTCGTTATGTCCGTAAGTTCGTTATAAGCGTGTTCGTTATAAACGTAGTTTACTGTACAAGGAGTAAGTACGTACACCAAATTACCTAACACTGTAAGCTGATCATGGATGATTTTGGATCACCTCCAAATTAAGCAAGAATGGTTGGAATGAGGCTTGGAATCTTTGAATTTTCCCTAATGTGAGAATGCCTTTTTTTGACAGATCAAATGGCAATGACGTTATATTAATTTCCATAGAGAGTTTTTAGATGACATTATAATTAACACAGAAACAAGACTTTACATCAGAGCATATAAAGTGGACCACCACTCATGTATATGTGCTCCGGAACTATGATATTCGTAGCTATACAATGCACAAATCAATTTAGGTATGCGATAGAATTAAAATAATATAGTTGTGCAATTATCAGATTACGTGATTTACTTTTTAAATTGCCGACCAAAAGAAAGTAGTAGCGATTATATTTTAATACCTAGACTAGAGGAAACGATTGATGAAACGCAATCAACATCATCTGACTGCAAGAAGTTCGTGAATTTTGTACAAAACATTTTTTATGATAGAACGGGATGGAAATGCGTATAATGCAAGCGTTTGGATCCCAAAACACCACAGCTAATACATGCTAAGAAAGATTCTTAGGTTATCAGCAGAACAGTGGGCGAGGGTTCTTGGAATGACACTGATGAGGTCTACGCAGGTCAAAACACCAACCACACTAGGGTGTCCTTCCGAATTCCCCAAAGGTAATGGATAATGGACAATGCCAGGTCAGACACTGTTCGAATAATTAAGAATTGACTTTCGCTTTAGTTCATTTGGAGTATGAACCTTCACAGGATCGTCGTGAACAATCATGCAGTCAAACTCTCTGACGTTTCTCAATGTATACTAAAACGCTAAGCTCAAGATTAAAAAGTTTAAATGATCAGAAAGAATGGTTGTGTATATATTCCTGCCAGGGAATTCACAGGGGTTCCCCTAGGAATATGGACTAGTTCGTCAGCGTTTACATCATCTCAAGAACACGGTCTCGTGAAAAACATATGAACGTAGAACTGTGTCGTTCATACACTAATGGACGTCAATTTCGCGGTCATGTGACCGACCTCTCGTCCAATAGAAAAGCCGCATATCGTGTTAACTTCAAATTAACAGAATTATTCCAGGATGACCTCAGCATCAACAATGTACCGTGATGCCTTCTAACGGATAGAATATATCAGGCATCATCTTTAGCAACAAATAAGACAACGTCCAAATCAGCAACTAACGTGTGTATGTGTGTGGAGGGGTTAGACCGTATACCAAATAACGTCTTCAGGAGGCGTACGTCATCGATGACACGTCATGTCCAGACCTATCTGGACGCCCAAGGAGGTCACACAATACATTGATGTCGTTACGGAGGTGCTATGAGACCGTTCAGAAGCTTTGTTATATTACTTTCATCATCTGTCCTTTGTGACAAGGACAGTTATGACCCCGATGTGTGGTTGCATTTTGTTAATTTATGCCAAGTGCCATCAAAGTGGCTTTTGACATGCTGTAAAATACATGATTGAACTTTCAAATACATCTTAAAGTTATGGTGTACATTTTCTTGTCTTCTTTTTATCATTGGTCCCAGTCGACGTATACTTTCTTTTGGTCAATAGTTGATATAAGTACGTGACGAGTTTGAGGGGGGGCATGATCTCTTCAGCTTCTTCAACTGTTTTTGAAGCTCATATTTTTATGTCAACGTTGGTGACAAATCACCATTGTATACATACCTCGGGCAATCAAACGGATAATTTGGAGACGTAATATATTGATCAACAACCGCAGCAGAAAGAATCGTGTTCGTTGATCCTGAAATATGAAAAATAACTGAAACTAAAATAATGAAAAATAACCAGTGTCTGCATAGCTCTCATGGTATCCGGCTGATTAACCACTTTCTTCTCAACAATCGTTCCGCGGAACAACATGGCGTCAAAACAACATATTACCTCACAGAATTGAAAGTACAGTACAAAGAAAATATAAATGTGGAGACAATGAATGATACATGTCAATTTAAGTTCACGAACTAATAAAGTGCAGGTTCTGGGAGCACGGTTGGCCCAGTGATCTTAGACTCCATAGTTCGTATATGTGGAGTTGCTTCCCTTAGCTTCAAGGCTCCGCTGATCATAGTTTCAAATCACTGATCCATCCGATTATACCTTTGCTAGTCTGTATCACCAACGTGTCAAACATCCACCGTGTGCTTCACAGTAGTCTCCTTTCGTACCATAAGCCGATACGCTGACATTAAGTGAAAGGTTCAAAGAATCGTTAAACCTACTGAGATGATATGGTTTTCAGTTTCCAGCATTTCACATTACCATCGAAGTGTCCAGCCTGAAGATACATTTGTAATCCTCTATATCTGTTGGTTGCGCCGGAGTTCAGTCTGGCTGTGAGGATATTTCCGGAACTGATGTAGTCAGCGTCGTGTTTACCGCACCACCTCCTTGGAGTACTTAAGCCAGTATTGGTACCTAGGTGCATGAACGTATCAGTAAAAATAATAATAATGACATCATGGCCAAATAAAACTAAATGTCATTCGTTGCGTTTCTGAAATTTTTGAAGTTTAGTATTTTCATTATTACGAAGTTGCTATCATTTACAGGAACACAAAAAATCCTACAAAAAGTATGCACGTTAATTACCAGTAGGCGTAAGACAATTCTCAAGGCATGGTGCACATTATCAGTTCGAAGTTCGATTCTGGGCATTACTGATATATACCACCCTTGAAGATCCGGGGTAGAATAGGACTTCAGCAACCCATACTTGCCGTAAAAAGGGACTATGCTTGTCGTAAGAGTCGACGAACGGGATCGGGTGGTCAGGCTCGCTGACTTGGTTGAAGCATGTCATTGTATCCCAATTGCGTGGATCGAGGCTCATGATGTCAATCACGGGATAGTCTGGCCCAAACTCGATTATTTACAGACCGCCGTCATATAGCTGGAATATTTCTGAGTGCGGCGTTAAACAACAAACAAACAAACAAACAAAAAGTGATATATTCCGATACAATTTAGTTGTTTTGTCATCTGCACCAGTACACTGACATCACAATGAAGACAAAGAAATGTGTCGATGTTAAATGGTATTTATCAAAAATCAAAACTTTGAATACGAAGAATCTACAATCTTTGAAAAGTGTACGGTACGTTAGGGCAGTGATTACTTGTAAATATGAGCGTCAGTCTCACAGATAAACCTCACCATCGTAAAGCTCCAAGTAACCCAAATCACATGTTGGTGATGGTGGCGTAAAAACTACTTCCACGTTTGTGACGTTAATTTGGATGTTTGTGTTTGCTGGAGCATGTATAGTCCAGTGGCAATCTTGTGAACTGGAAGTTTAGAAATTCAATTATAGACATTTTACACAATGCGTAGTACGGTATATATCTGAAAAGATGTAAGTTTAGCATAAAAATATTTTTGACAGAGATTTCTTATGATTATGGAAATGTTATTGTGGCCTAAATATGCCTTTAGCAGATATTTTTTTTATGATTATGAAACTGATGTTAGCGCCTTCTATTTTCTGTTTAAAATGGAAATGTTCTTGTAAAGGAAACATTTAATTTTGTAAAATACTCTATAAAAAACTAGGCGATACGCGGAAATAGCTTAAAATTTCCAAATTGTAAGATACATACGTTTCCGGTAATAGTTGTATGATAATAAAGAATGGGAACACAAGACAACTGGGAGTGAAGTATGAAAGTAGATGTTATGACCGCCAACGATGGGGTTAAGATGGGAAATTTCAAAGTTGACGCTTTTGGATCAGTATTGTCACGATTCGTCAATAATTCCTTAACTCGACGAGTCTCCAAGTGCCGATTTGAGGGACTCTTCTGGCAGCTCCTGACCAAATTCATCTACGTGGTCGCCGGCCTATGACGTTGACGCACACGTCTCCCTATCATGTCTCAGACGTTTTCCGTGGGGAAAAGGATCTGGGCTCGTTGATGACCATGACATTCTATGGATATTGTGCTGCTCAGGGTGAGCTGTGGGTGGCGATTAATGCACGGTGAGCACGGGCGTTGCTGTCGAGTGACCCTTTCTTGCACAATATGGACAAAGGTTCGCTTAGTCATAGTGATACCACCCCGTCCTGGAAAAAGATTCTGAAGAAAGTAAGCCCCCAGACATAACACTGTGACAGTCATGAAGCATGTGGCATCGGACAGAACGTGCAATGGGTGGTATGCGAGATTTACAATTATTACTCAGACTCGGTTGTGAGCAGACGCATATTGGAACTAAACGATCAAAGACATTTTGTTGAACACTATTAATCATTAATGTTGCAACAGAATTGATCATACGACGTTTCCAACGTGCTGAACGTGTACGTGCCATTGGCATGTTGCAGGTGGGCACACATCAGAATGTTGTTGCCCAATATATCATTAGTAGATTGTTAGCCCGAACATACACATATGTCGATGATCGACGCCGCTCTAGACGCCCAATGGTAAGAACTGCCACACAGATAATTAATGGACCGGTTTCAACAGGCAACTGGCGAAAAGGTACATGCCCAGAAATTTTCTGCACAAATGGCGTCAGACGCGCCAGTGGTGAAGGAAATGTTAGCACTGGGATAATCGACGTTGGGCAAATCGGTTCACTCCCGACTTTCCTAACCGAAGGAAAGGAGTTTTGAGACGCCCTTAATGAACGTTGAATGGACGATAACACGTACAGCATGATCGTTTTAGGGTAAGTCCATTATGGTAAGGGGTGGTACCACAATGCCAGGCCGAAATTCACTCCATTTTACCCATGGTGGAGTGAATAGGTCAGGTCAATACCATCTGGACAACATGATTGTTCTCGTGGTGCCATTTACACAATGGGTTGGGAAACGTTTCATCTTTCAAGATGAAGCTGCTGGTGCTCATCGGCCCTGACTCCTAATTCCTCCAACAGCAAAACATCCATGTCATGTCATGACCAGCACTCGGTCCTGACCCTTCCCCAATGCACATGTCTGGGACGTCATTGGCAGACGTCGACAACGTCAAAATCCATCCACCACACTCAAGGAACTCGACGTTGCTCTCTCTAATGAGTGGGACAACATCAGTCGACTGACCAGAAGCATATCTCAATGAATAGGTGCATGTCTGACCAACAGAGGTGGTTTTACCGACATCAGTGACGTACCTCGTATAGATAAGAAGATAATCTTGATGAATCCTCCTATCCCCTACATGTACATATTTGGTTGCATATGTTCTTACTTTAGATACGGCCCTGTCAAGATTGTAGCCCTGCTTGTAGTAACATTGACTGTTCCACCGCACCTGTATGTCTCTGAAAGAAATTCACAACACATTTTTCATGGTTATAACCATTTGACTATGAATCGTAAATCATGATTAGAACACAATTATCAATGTATGCGCATGTCAAATGTATTGAATATTGTAATTAATACTGCGTACCCACTGGTACACACATTCGATAAAGATAATGATTTATTGAAATAATATATATCATTTTTTGCTTACTGAATAATGTTTTAATGTCGTCCATACATTATCTAATTGAAAAAGATGTTTCATCTCTGACAAATGTATGACACAAGGACACGTTCATTACCATTAGTTTCAAAATATTTGAGTTTGAAGCCTCTTTTATCGTTTGAGAGCTTAGTCTGGAATTGAACTGTCATAGCTGGTCCAGTACTCTGGAGAGTCGGTCTTGATACGCCGCACCAGAATAAAATAGTGGCGTTGAAGATGGATGGTCCTGGAAAAGTCAAGGTGGTGGCATAAGCAGAGAAAATGCGAGAATCGGTAAGGAAATATATTGCTTATATGCTGGTAGTGAGAAGGTTGAAAATAAAAGAGGACATTGCAAGGGTGATTCAACCAGGAGTACTCTGATAATGTTTAAATACATACATACATACATACATACATACATACATACATACATACATACATACATACATACATACATACATACATACATACCGACAGACAGACAGACAGACCGACAGACATACATATATATGTGTGTGTGTATGTGTGTGTGTGTGTATATATATATATATATATATATATATATATATATATACATGAAAGCGATATGACATCTTGTACATTAGTACTATCTTATGAATACATATTGTATTTTATATGCAAAAAGGTACAAAAACTAGCCAATAGCGCGTATGCATATGCTCGGGTCACAAGACGGATGCGCTACAGAGTTATTTCTATTGTCTCTGCGAGTCATCTATGTTTTATATACTGTTTTTCTTTTTGAGTGTTAGTTGAAGTAAATCAGTTGTATGAGAAGTGAGTAAGGTAATTAAAATATAATAATATGTTCAGTTTGAGGCCAAGTGATATTTAAGCATTGGCTGCAATCACTAACCATTGTAAGCTGTGACGCGGCTATACTTGCAGCTGAGATAATCTATTGACGTCTGAACGTCCGAATCGATGACGTCGATGCGCACCATCATTTTTGGATCAGAGGCCGTCATTGTCCAAACACAGTCTAAATTGCTGCAACCAAGAATTGTCAAATGAACTGTCATCCTGTACATCCAATGCCATGTCGTCAAAGGCGCAGCAATTCGCTGTGCAGAGTTGCGTTCCTTTATTATGCCAGAAAGCTATTATCCTGTTACAGGTTAGTCATCCCCACGTCCGTGACCGTGGGATTCACCAGTGTACATGTTAAATGTTGGAGACCTGCACCACTTTGGGTTTATATGACATGCCGTCATGGAATGAAAATACTGTTCAAAGAAGCGTTAACTAAGCACACGCGCTCACTTTAATTATAATGCAGTATCAATGGGCATCTTGTCTTTTAATAATTAAATTGAATTATGTTTATTCTAATGCAAATCATGTTATAGATGTAAAGGCTTCCGAACTATACTTTAAACTACTACCCTTGTAAGCACTTTAAGCGCTTTATATTAAATGAGATAGCTTATGGTGTATCGAAATATGTCTAAAGTGTTAAAAACGTTGATACCGTTATGTCTAATATATGTAGTATAAAATAAAGGAAGCAATGCCAATGGAATACGATCCTTTTTTAGTTTGTTTAACGCCGTTTTGAAAATGTATTTCAGTACACGAACAACAACTGATATGAAAGAACTCAATTACTTTGTGATGTTTTGTTTATTTTCTGAATGCATTTTGAGCCCGGACGACATAGATACAATAGAGTATACATGTACTTACTTCTGAGAAATCACAGGATATCCGGGAGACTGAAGGAATTTTGGATATGTGGATGCATTGAGAAATCGTGGACCACAAACATGAGTAGGATGGGGAATCACTGAAACATTAAAATGTTTATGAATTGTAAGTATTAAGGTTTTCCTCGTTGCCTAGAAAACAATAGAACGCAAATCTCACTTTATTGTTAGATTACTGTATTAATATAATGCACTATTTCAGTGAAGGTCAGCCCATCTCACTAACAAGGATTTACGAAATTTTCCTCATATTTTCCAGCTTGAAATTAAAGGTACATACCTGGACGTGAACTTTGAGATACCTGGAGCCGGAAGCCCTTTCCGCTGGTATCACTGCCGGTTTTGAATACCAATTTCATAATCATTCCATTAGAATAGTAGGGCCCAACTGGGGATATTGATGAATTTCCACAAAATTCACCGATAGTGTCTTCATCATCATTACCATACACTGAGAGAGGCAAATGGAAATATGGTGTAATGTTTCAGTGATAAATACAAGTGACCTGCATACATCTAAAACACACGTGTCACATAAATCACGCAAACATTATACAGATATTTTCATAAAGGACAAAGGAACACTTGGTATCACATGGAAAAGCTAGAAACATTTAGTAAGACAGCGGTTGCGACACAGAAGTTTGGACAGTAGATCGACATGCATACGTCACAGGGCCTGAGTGCATGCCCCTGTGTGCTGTGGAAATATGCGCAATGTAAATGGCCTATTATTATTATAATTATTTTTATTATTTACAGATTAAAATAAAACACGTAGCAAAGAGGGTTTGGGTGATCGTTACACAGTCAGGCTGGTTAGGCTCATTATCAGCTCAGGGCCCTTGCCCCCTTTACACTCAGCCCAGACAGCGAATCACCCAGGAAGCGCTGCCTAGTCAAACCCACCCAGAACTTTTCGGAGAATGTGACGTCTCCCCAACACTGCAGCCTTCTGCATTACCAAGATTGTCAGAAGGGCTGTATTCCTGGTAACAAACCCGGGCACTCTCCCAATGTCAGTCAACAGATTGGGAGGAACCAAACCTAAGGCACCGAGAACAATGGGGAGTCGGACCACTGGGTACTTGGGATGCGTGACATTTCGAGAGCGAGGTCCGCATATTTGCCATGTATTTCCTCAATCTTGTCAATCACAATGGTGTCAACAGGGACAGAAAATTCAATAATATAAATGATTTCATTGGATTTATCAAAAAGGACAAGATCAAGTTTGTTGCTCTGGATAGGTCTGAACCCGTAAACGGGCCTATTCCAAAGATCGTTTTATGATAAGAAATATATATGCTATAACATTGACATCACATACCTGAAAACAGAGTTACAGAGTCATTATCACATCGGGGGTAGTTTCCCTCCATCTCAGAAGATAGGACGTCAAGTCTCATGTTCTCTGGTACTAGCACTTCTGCTATCATTATGACGCATTCCAGATCGCTGAAACAGGTATGAGGCGTATTGGACACATACTCGGACTTTCAAGCCTAAACATGAATCGGAAATGAATTGGGAATAAGAATATAAGAAGCAAGTATTAATGTTCAGCTGGCGATCTCGTAACATTCTTCAAATTACAGGTACACAACATCAAGAATATACGTCTAGCTGATTAGCTGAACTGTAGAATTTATTAATTGTCAACCCCAAAGTAATACCATAGTAATAAGTAGGTATCCAATGTTGGGACCGGAATGTGACATATACACTGTACTTGCAATTTTGAGTGATTTGAGTGATTAATTTCGGCACTTGATGTATTGACATTACAATACATTGCACTCAAATATGTACCCTGTGTGCATTGTAAGGTACCAAACGTTCTGCTAGACCACTGAACACATATTATGTAAGTAACATTGACAGCATCAGGCTTTGATTTCATCGATTTGGGACGCTGTTACTTACATAATGATTGATATGTTGCACTTACTATTATATTGAGATATTACTGACATGAATGATGGGATAATTTCCAGAACTATACCACGAAGGGTGGTAAGTACATACCTCTAGATGAAACATATTTTGTAAATACTAGCACTGTATAGTGAAAAATTGACCAATTACCTAAGTAGCACGCACACAAATAAAGACGACCCACATGTAGACGATATAGTAAGTTATATAATACTACCTATGTAAAATGCATTGTATACTGTCATGATCCCATTCTCTATAGCTCCATGAAATGCATTTGGTTAAACCAACACTAATCCCTGGATCCATAACGGACCAACCAGAACGCGAGTTACAAACCAGCCTCAGTGTTGAGTTACGATACAGTTTGCTAGGAATTTAACATTAAAACACGGACTGACACGCAAAAGAAAGCCCTCAAATATCTTTTTGATGGAAAGGATGTCTTCATGTCCACATTAGTATCTGTCAGTATAATGACTATGAGCATCAATGGCGGGTAATGGATCAAGCGGTCAGTGTAGGTTCACCGAAATACGAACCCTGGTGATACAGAGGAAGTCATGAGCCGCAACTTACCTTTGATAAGAATCGGGGTATCCCGGTGATAGAACGTATGCAGGTGTATTGTATATCATATACGTCCCATTACAGTTGCCCTCTGTATCAGCACGGACATTTCATAATTCAATTATCATGATACATCTCAACACATGTAGTAATCTTGATATAGGACAGTGAAAGACACTGTCATTGTACATGCACATGTTCAAAAACGAAATCATCTGAAAAGCACATTGGTATATTTTGTTGAGCTCACAACTGAACATTGTGTATCATCCCTTAATGCTGAGTAGACTTTAAGATAAACTGGTTATGAGGCTAAACGTATCAGATAATTACCACATTCGTTATGTCGAGTGACGTGACAACGTTCATATGTACATGAGCAGGCGTAACCACAAATGGAAATAAAAACTTTATCAGATGAAACGAGATAGATATGCTTTGTGAAAGGAATTGCCAGATGTATTATACACAACATACGAATTGTATCAGTGATTGTAGTCTGAAAACCGTTGTGTTATATCACTGGCAAGAACAATTGACTTTATATAAATATAATAGTGCATAAAGGACTTCATGAAACGTTTTCGTTTCGATACTGGAAACGCCGTTGTCCCGAAATTATCCTCGCAGTGGCCAGTCTCAAACGATGGTATTGTGACAATGTATGCTCCTTTACAAATCATAAATATTTTTAAATATATCAAAATATTTAGAAAAGTAATACCTATTCATGCTGAAAGAAATATATTACCGACAGGTTAGGGTAAATACCAAATGATGGACAGGTATGGGTATAAACTATGGTTCAGAATACCTGGTCTCGCGGTATATTGCATCCAGAAGCCTTCTGTAGTTGTGGCACCTTCAGTTGTAAACTCTATCAATAGTGAATCCTTTGAACTGTAATACGCAGGCGTGTAGAATGAATTGAATGCCCCAAGAAATTGGTCCGCTGAAGTACAAAGTCAGACGGTTAAACAGTTTGCAGTATATATATATTACAAGTGACTTATCATGGGAGATATATGCCAAGTGAACAAACAATGCCATTTAGAAAGTGCTTAAATGTAACATATGTTACATTTTTGATAACACTTCCTTAGTAAAGTACAGATTCCCATCCAGGATTCCAACCCACACTGCGTGAGTGAGGCACCTAACTGCCAGCACACAAAGTCAGCGATCTAACCAACCTGCTGAGCCACCGAGGCTTCCACAAAAGTGGAAGTCTGACAACTGGTAGTATAGATCTCGCACTTTGTGTACCCATCAGAATAGTGTAGATTGGCACGGCTCCCATGGCCGAAAGCGATGAACACACAATGCTAGGGATGCGACTCAACTAAAAACAGTACGAGAATCTGTACTTTACTGAGAAAGTGTTATACCAAATATAACATTTGTTATATATGCAAAGTATTCGGAGATAGGCATATAGTGTCAGTGACAGTATCTATGAAACTTCCATGTCTTTGTAATTATTATGTATATAATTCGTGTATTTCTAGATTGATTGATTCAATAAAACATGAGTTTACCGTCAGTCAAGTAAAGGGTGGTTAAATGACTTGCGCAAGTCCCGTGGGACTATTAATCTACTTGCAAATTAAGTTTTCCTTGACAGACATGAATAAATTATGAAACGAAAAGAAAAAGGTGTGCTCTTTAACACGTCCCCATGAACACTTCAAATAATTTTAAAATTCAAATATGAAGGACGTGTAGACGCCCCTGGAAACACGTTATGGCAGGCAGTCCTTTGTACTGTACACAGGTAACAAATCCTTGAAACACGTGCCCATATTACATTTTTTTACTCCTAGTGAAGACACTTTGTACGAAATATGACCCTAGATCTGTTCGTCCAGCAGTGAATCCGCACCCGTTAGGATGACACAGTAATGTGACTGTACATTGTGGCTCAGGCGCATTATAAATGGACGTATTATTATGATTATTATTATACCCTTTTATCAACAAGTCATTTAAACGTTTGTATAGTTTGCTTATTGTCTCGTACCACTTGCTGCTGTGGCATACAATGTAGAAATGTACTGTCGAATATCATAATTTGCATTTGGTGTAAAAATGACAGGAAATTACCTTCAGTTGTGTTTCCGTTAAAAACACGAACCATATCGCCATCCCACTTATTCCCAGACTCCGTATTTGGGTTTATATTTGAGCTTTTAGTTATCAAAGCAATTGTCTCGTTTTCATTTTCTGCTGTTATAATCCATATGCACCTCAGATTACTGAAAAAGAAGAAACATGACATAGTCACATACCCTGCAAGATACTATCTTGCCATGGAAATAGCAGTAAGTTAATCTAATTGCGAAAGCCAGTATGAAACAAATTTGTTTAAGTGGGAGGTTAGGCACCCTACCACAATTCAGTGGATTTGCCCCCCTTCCACCAGTGTGTGGGTAATGGCAAACCGATCACGTGACGCACGTGAATGCAATAAGCCTCTTTACGCGTACACCAGCAAGAAGCCGATCGCATATCTCAAGGCAACATATTATTTATGATCTTAGGGTAATGTCTTGTCCGTACGTTTGGTAAGAAGAACGATGCCAGGTCGGAGATTGAGGAAGCGTAAGATCCAAGCACCCAGTTACGGGAGATCATCCCGTCGACACAAGGAATGGATCAGGTGATGTATTACCTCATGTTTTCGATAATGATGCACGATCTCATTAAGTGATAGGCTTAGATACCCCAAATATCCCACTAGTACAGTCAGTAAATCACAACACACACGTTCTTGCATCTGTTGCCATTGACAACGATACGCCTATCATGCCTAATGCTAAGATTGCATGCAATGCTGACAAAATGGTGGCTTTGTCAACTGACAATGTTGGTACGTTCATCCCACAACCAATAAGGGATAAAATACACAATGGAGAATATGTAGATTTGGCCACCCTCGTTAAGGGATTTGATAAGGAACAAGGCATGGATAGCACTATCAGAGTAAACTCAATGGGTCAATTGGAAATGTCACGCCAGTGAAAGGACATACAGTCAGTTGAAGAGTGGACAACAGCCTTTATCATATATGTCAGCATATGCCTGGAGAAATTCCCCGAAAGCCAGTAAATGCTTATTTCACACAATCAGATTGGCCGCCAGCAGGGGCCAGGGATGGCAAAATTATTACAAGCAGTATAGGTTGCGCATGGGTAGATCAACGGACAGGTCATGGGGCACAATCAACGAGTTGTGGATGCTATACATGAATGTCACTCCTCAACCTGTGAACCGCAGTTTCACCACTTTCAAGCAGCCTTCACAATCTCCAACTGCAAACACCTTAAAAGTTGTTTTTTGCCGGGATTTCAATGACCTTGGTAAAGTTTGTCCCAGGCAACATTGCCGCTTTCCTCATGTTTGTTATCAGTGTGGTGGGAGCCACCCAATTCCAAAAGTGCCGATTTTAACCAACGAGTTGCAGGAAATCAACCAAACCCTCAGATGTTAATACATTTCAGTTTCGCAACAGAAACTACCCAAAACATGCAAGCATTGGGCCACACACCTATCAAAGTGAAAGCTATTAGCATGCCTTGAGTCCTACCCATTGTTAACTGACGCCAGTATTCTTCGTTGTGGTTTCACGGAAGGACTTCATTTACATTACACAGGTCCCAGAGAGGTCAGTCCAGCTCAAGATCCCAATATGGAACAAATTGTACTTGGGAAACTATCAAATTATAACTCTTGAGCATCTGTTATTCATATAAATATCCGTTACGTCTTTATATAGTACAGCATTTTGTGCTCAGAACTAAATTCCCTTCCCAGGCTTATCACCGTTGTTGTTATTTTTACAGCTTAATACCTTCATCTTGTGCGTCTGCGTGCTGGTTTGCATTGTGCCATCGTGTCTGGCCTAGATCCACTCTTGGCACGTCCGGTCTAGGAGCGTTTGTTTATATTTACCATGTCATCTTGTGGTGTGGCATCGGCTCACGCGGCACTCGCTCTCCACCTTTCATCCACCCAACACGCATTGTATATTCTTGCATTCATCTGCCGTTCGTTGCAATTGTTGTCCTTAGTTACTAGTTATTCAGCTTTGCAGTTGTCAATTTGGCGGAATGACATTGGGGCATTAAGTTTGTACATAATGTCATCATGAATAAAGCGTGGGGTGCTGGTGGACTGTATTACAAGTTACATTTTACATCCCAAATTATAAAGGATAGGATAGAGTTGTCCGCTTTACATGTAGATGGTCAGCTTGGCAACAATAGTTGCCCTCGCTCAATATTTGGCAACAATACTTGCCTGGCAGGGCTAACTGCACAGCAACATGGGTTGCGTGGTAACCGCAGTGGCAGGGCATCGGTCGCTGCATTGGTATCAGTTTTCACTTATGTGTGTTCGACTAGCGTACCATACATGTAAGCTCACATTCTGTACCCGTCAAGAAGGATATAATACAAGTATGACCATGTGACACATATTATTCAAATAATGAAAACAACAAACTCTTTGTTTGACTTACTTAAAGTAGGTGTAAGGATATCCCGGGGAGGTGAGGTTCGCTTTCTCCGATGTTGCTGTTAACCTTCCACCGCATCCTGCAAAAGGAGTTAAATTCATTGATGTGAAACCAAATATGACAGAATGAAAGAGCGAATAATGTTTTATTATATACTTCAGTGTGAAAGATTGAGTTTTCTGAAGTTGAGAAAAGTGATATTTTCATTGGAGTGAGCAAAACACTTGATATTTCACTGCAGTGAACATAACACTTGACGTAACTATTGTCCTACAAGAGTTACCTCCCCGCCAAAGATCTTCCCTTTTTATCGTAAGTGTTCAGCCGGTACAGAAACCGTTGACATCCTTTTTACGTTAGTTCCACATTGACAAGGCAAAATAATGGCAGATGGTCATTTGTGGAGTAATCTCTTGAACATATGTCGTTAGAAATTGTAAAATTCTCCAATATCTCGTCAATCGAGACTGTTCGTTTCGCAAAGTGACATATTTGTTACTTGACCAGTCTGTAAACTTTCGCTTCAAACAGCGGTCTCGTAGATTTCAAGACTATTTTCTCTTGAAGTTGATTTTGTAATATAATGATATCCATATGTATGAAAAGGAATTTTATTGACCTCATATATTATTTGTTACTTTTGTTTATATTTTTTTATATTTTGAAAACAGGGATCAACTTTTTAAGTCAGCAATTACAAAGGATGAAACGCCCATGTGTGTTAAGTAGGGAGAAAATACGTTTCGAGGTTTTACATTTTGTAATGAAATAATTTAATGTTCCTGTAGAAAACTACACCAAAAGGGTAATAAATAGGATATTCAATGTTTCTCTCATCGAATGACGGTGGTAAAGGAGATATTTTCACTAGTGATTACTACGCCACTCGTGAAAATATCTCCTTTCCCCAGCCACTCGATGAGAGAAACGTGAAATTTCACGAGACGAATGGAATATCCTATATCTACATGTATCTGACATTTTAAAGTTACTATCTGATACGCAAATAACGACTGTGGTCACATTCAGCCGCTATTGCTGACAGACAAAGGGTCATAATTAAAGCTAATCTAGAAATTGAACCCATGGCAGAGTAAGAAGGTGATGTATCAAACTATTTTATTTATTTTGCATCTTAGTCTGACATTGGTGACACTTGGCAAACATGTACGGGTGGAGATAATCATGTATTTGAATATCTATATAAGCTATTTGACAGTATGATTGTGGATGACTTCAGTTATACTAGTATGCTTACTTTCAATGTCCATGACTGTAAGAACAAATCCTTTGCCATTAGAGACAGCACCGGAAATAAACTGTAGGTACATAGTATCTCCGCTGCTGAGGATACTGCTTTGAGTTGCTTCGTTGCCACACAATTGCAACAGTAGTCGACTTGAATTGTCTGACCCTGAAATGAAAGAACATTCAAGTAAATATGTAATAACTGTGAAACAAAGTCACACACACACGCACGCACACACACACACACACACACACTCACACTCACACTCACACTCACAAACTCACACTTACAAACACACACCAGCTGTATCAATGTGAGTGTACAACATGGTCTTTAATTACCTGTCGATGTGAAACACTGAAAAATGATTGATGACTTGAATCTAAATAAGTCTTTGTTATACAGTGTATCGATCTGACCGTCACTATTATGTAAATCTCCCTAAATGACACTGTTCAGAATATTGCCTGTCTATAAAACTAGAAACGGTGATCATCAGAGGCAGATATACCAACAGTTACCTCGACCTTAACATGAGTAACAAATGTCTGGCACGGGATAAAAAAATGGACATTTGCATTGTAATGACCTTTACCTTACATTTTGTATTGGATACAACGATGGGAACAGATATTGCACCTTACTTCAGTTAATATTTTAAATATCATTCTGTATATTTCCCTGTCGACATTTAGCGTTCGTGTAAAGCGTTCTTATTTATATTGCATGAACTCTTTTCCGTAAACATCCCTGCATGTAAGCGCCTGATCGCGACAGACTGAATTTGTCCTTCCACACGATTCAACATGTGTTAGTATAGTCTTCATTGATTATGTATTGTAGGCCAAAGGCCCATTATACATTACATAGGATACAGTGGGAGAGAAACATTATAATACAAAGATAAATTTTAGGTGATTTACACAAGACGTAGTTTCATTGCTTTATAGATGAATACGGATATATTTTTATAATTAATACATTATTTGATGCCATAATGATATTTAACGTATGTATGGAGGGATACAGGTAAAACTTTTTCGGTATATATTTTCGTCTTAAATGTACAAATTATTATAAAATGAAATTCATCTTCAATTTGATTTTGATTACAAGCCAGACACAACCTTCCAGATTTTAACTCTTTTTTTATACCTCCTAGTCTCAATTCGGAGCTGGCGGGAACAGCATCTAAATTGCGCAAGGGCACGTCTATATTTAAAAATTGATCATTCTTTTAAATATGTTTCTAAGCCGAAATTTGTTTTGAATAAACTGTAAAGAGTTGATTTTGAGCTTGATGAAAGAGCTGCGCGCCAATTGTGTTCATTAAATAATTTTTGACGGAGTATAAATTCCGACAGAAAGCTGGCGATATTACTTATAAATTGTTGTTCCCATATGAAACCCAAACCAGTAGAGAATAGGATGTGTTTTACTTTTGATGCCCAGTTAGCTTTACCATTACTACAGTCTAACAATAATAAGTTATAACATTTCTTTACCAAACGTGATTCAGGCATATCAATTATTTTCCACCAATACTTAACAACACGTTTAATGCAAATATGTACATTGTGTATCTTCCGCATTTCCCTCTAACACAGTGTTTTGCGGATGACTGCTTAACACATAAAAATCTCTTACAAGCAAACATTTGTACAACTTCTTTTTCTTCGTAATTATGAACACCCCAACCTTCAGAGCCATACAATAGAATTGGGCTGATTTTAGAATCAACGATTTAAAAAAATAGATCATGAGGTAATGGATTTAACATACATAATGATTTAATAATTCCACACAAAACCTATGTGAGTTCGTTAAAATACCACTTTTCGACTCTTGATAAATTTCCACCAATTTTAAAAACAACGATTTTAGTTTTAGCTAAGTTGACAGACAGGTGGTATTTATCACGAAACAACTTAAAACATTAATTCGTTTTTGTAGCCCATAGACAGTATCTGAAAAAAGGACGATATCATTTGCAAATAACAACAAAAATACCTCAGCTGTATGATATCAGGATGCAGTTGCACCCCTGGCGCACACGAAGATTCTTTTTGTTCAGCAAGCACATTTATAAAAATAGAAAATAAGATGGGGCTGAACATGCAGCCTTGCCTGAGGCCTGAAGGACAATCAAAACTTTAAGATAATATGTTATTTGATTTAACACATCCCTTCACACAACTATAAATAGATTAAAATGCATTTAACTTCTTGGGTGAAACTTCCCTGTATTTTGATATAAACCACAATTTGAATCTGTTAACAAAGTCGAAAGCTTTTTTGAAGTCCACAAAAAGCGCATAAAACTTACCACGCTTTTTTGAAAGGTAGTGTTGAATAATAGTTTGTAAAATGAAAATATTATCTATTGTGCTATATCCTTTTCGAAATTCCGCTTGCGACTCGCTAATGTTGTCGAACGAATTTTCCCAAAATACTAATCTTGCATTAAGAGCTGATGTATAAAGTTTACTTAAAGTGCTTAAAAGGGAAATACCTCTGTAATTATTAGGATCAGATTTATCACCTGACGTATACAAAGTGATTATGATCGCTGTACTCCATGATTCAGGGAAATAAGATGATTCAAAATATACATTTAAACAACAATTCCATGTATGGCAACAATATATCGGAGGAGGATTTTAAAAAAAATCTGAGATAAGGTTATCCTGGAGATTTAGAATTGTTTAGTTTATAGATTGCTTCTTGTATCCCTTCTTGAGTGATCGGAGAATCCAGTATACAGGCGGCCGTATCATCAGCATTATAGTCAATATATTGTCTGTTCTGACAAATTAGCATCACATTCTTCAAATAGGTTCTTGAAATACGAAAACCATTCTGATATATTTACATTGTTTTTTTGACGACTTGGTTGTATATTTCTTTAGAACAGTCCAAACCTCTTTTGAGTTAGCTAGTAAAATGTCTCTGACAGATGCATTATATAGTCTCTTTTTGCTCCTTATTAGGTCATTATATTTATTGCGTTGAGTAATATATAAATGTAGTGATTCACTGTACTTTAATCTTCTAAAATATTTCAGTAGCCTCAGCGTTTCTGATCGATTGAAATCACATTCTGAGTCAAACCATGCTTGATCTGATTTTCAGGATGAGTTTTCTTCTTTTTCTTCATGAAGTCCGCAGCCTGGTGAATAGCATCAGTAAAAACCTTAACAGCTTGGTCGATATCGGTCAAGGCAAGAGTGTAACAGTCATTAAGCATAGATGATATATCGGATGATAGGATATTGTCTCTTAATGTTTCACCAAAATTATTATCCCATAAAAATTTGAAACCTTCCCCGTCTAGGTCGGTATCAGCTGACGAACTTGTGTGGATTTCATAGTCACGTGATTGAAATGTACAACTGACTGGCATATGCGGTGACTCGGTCCTAGATCCGATATCAAAATCTGAGCACATGGCAAACAAATCACTTGACACAATGACATATCTAATACACTCGCTCCTGTTGAAATGTACAGTCACCAACGAACGCATCTGAACCAGCTCGACCATTCACAATATTCTTATCTAAGACAGAACACAGATTAAGAAGTAGTTTCCCATACTTATTAACAGATTTATCAGTTGAAGAACGTTTCATCTGTAGACTGTCACATAAAAAATCACAATTCACTTTTCAAAGTTTTCATAATATCGTCTTCAACGAAATTCTTATCCGTACCAGTGCGACCACTGAAGTCACACCCTAGTACAATAGAAACGTCACCAAGTTGTTGCAAAACATCCATAAGAGAATCTTGAAAAATAGAAATTCAACAATTAATGTATTTATCACGATACCACGGTGAATTCTCTGGGATGTTATATACAGAGCCTAACGGTATATCTTTGGGAGTACTAAGAAGTGACTAATAAAACAAATATACAATTATCTCAGACTTTGGAAAACTTAATGAAGTTTGATAATCTTTTCCTTATCAGTAATGAAATTCCTCCCGAAAGTCTACCATACGAAGCAGTTTTATATACCTGAACAGTGCGCGATACATAGTCTTGGTATATTGTAGCTAAATCACAACAATTTGTCCATTTTTCACTAGGCGAGACAACATCAAACATGTTTACAAAATCAATAAAGTCATTGTCACATATTTTTGCCATTAAACCATTTTTATTCCAGAATAAAAAGTCACACAGCTGATGCCTGAGCCCTGACCACACCCCTATTTCTTCTTTCCTGGTTTATCCCTCGAGCGAAGGTCGGGTCCATCCGTGTCCGAGGTTGTGACGCAATTATCACCCCTCGTTACACTGCTGGCGTTTTTGGTGTTGCCTTGGCTACTGACGGGCTGGGATGGGCGTCTGTCAATAATGACCTGTTTGCCATACTTATAATAGCCAAACTTGTTCTGTTTTTTAGTCAACATGTGGTATGTGTACAAACACAGCTGTAGACAATTACTTCTACCAGTATACCTTGATGTTAATGAATATTACTGAAATGCAGATTTTAAACAATGTGAAAAATGGCAACTGTCAAAAGGAGTGCCAGTTGACTGTCTATGCTGCAAACTCCATTGTTTGATTCCCTTAGTTGGCCCATTCAGCGCAGATCATACGTGGTACCTCATGTAGAGAAGCTTTAAGGGGGTGTTGTCAAATATATATTTGAAAATATTAGACTTACCATCATAGAAGGACAAACTGTCATGTTGGCAATTACTGGACTCTTCCAAATCAAAGTATGCAACATAAATGCCCACAAGATGTTCCTTTGACGATGCAAGTATCTTCCATCCGCATGTTCCAAATCTAGAAATAACCAATCATATGAATAACCACCAACGAGTAATTACGATTTTGCTCCAAATTCTCAAAGAATTTACATTTAATGTATATAATTATTGATTGCTATTAACAGTTGGGTTCATTTGACGTCTTTTCTAGCGGGTGCTACCGGTTGGACAGGACATGCTTACGATTTTGCGAACACCTGGTGTCATCACTGATTTTTAGTGATCCATTCATACAGTTTTCCCCCCAATTTTGCCCTTGAGGCTCAACGGAATCTGTGTCGGAAACTGGTTATTTTCTGGCGTTGACGTTTTATATTTCATTGTTATTTAAGCAGACACAAAATGTGTATTATGCGGGTTTTTAATTCTAATTTTATTTTAAAAATATAACCATGTCTTTGAGTGCTGACTAAGGTCCAGTACAATTCATTTTTGTTTTAAAATCGCCAACTTAAAATATTTTCAATTGAAATCAAACATATGATAATGTCAACTTATCATATGTGTATGTATCGTTTCTTTTGTCCCTCAGTTTAGTAGTTACTTACGATCCATGCGGCAGCGGGTATCCTGGGGATGTTATGTTTTGCACACCATTATTAGAGAGTTGGATGTCCTTGAAGCATGCATCTGGAAATAATATAAGTAACGCATACATGAACAAAGTTGAACACGTTGAAAGAGTTCAGAGTTCAACGCCCACAATGTGTCAGTATAGCATGTAGGGTCATTGGCGGAACAGGTAATACTATAATATACGGGTACATTTTAGGTATTGTAGCTGAAGGGTGCACAGGTTGAGGTGTGCCCTTATCGGCGTCACAGAAATCAGCAAATGAGTTCGAATCACATTATTATATGTCTAGGTCTTTCGGTACCATATCCGTGCTAGTGGCGACACTCAAGAGCATGCATCATTGTTTGGAACGTTAAAAGCAAAGGGAACAATTCTGGTTCCAGTTTCAAGTGTATGTACGCATCGCGCCAACATAACTTCATAAGTAAGGATAAGAATGTATGGATGAACAACTTCTTTAATACAATATAGAGCGACGTTTCGGTGTAGGTTCTAACACCGTTATCAAGCAAGTGTAGCTCTTAATTGTAATAAAGAAGTTGTTCATCCATAACTTCTTATCCTCACTTCGTACTCCAACTTCTAAATGCCTGTCAAAGAAGAAAAATAACTTCAATCGCAGTTTTACGTCACTATGTCGCAATCAAGACCTTGTATAGCAGTACAGCCGCGTGATACACTGGGCATAGCTGTTCATGGATCCTTGGACGGCTGTGGAGTTACTTTGCATAGTGAAATTGAAACCTCTGATTCAAAACAGGGTCTATGGCCACTTAAATGTCTAAACACGTTTGATTCAAGTATAAAGTCACATTATTTGTCCGCTCTCTCACATATATATTTTGTGATGTTGATCAAACCAGTGCATTATGATTACGCTCATTGTTATGATCGTCCCAACCTATATTAGCGCTTTGCGATATCACAAGTTAAACTGTTACAATGGGAATGAAAACAAATCCTCTACAAATTTCCGTATTACGAAATCTGTTATATTCTATTTAAACAATGGGTAAACATCAAATATTCATATGATCAAAATAAGGATTTGTCCATCTACATCCAGACAATGTTATATATTGTCTGCCTGACCTCGATGCGGAATATCAACCATTATCATCTTCAAAACATGTACACATGTATTTACCTGTATTTGCGGCTAGCCCGTGAGAGAATATAACCAACAGGACGGTTGAGGTTATTATGAGTAATGCCATTGTATGTCTCATGAACAACTGTGCCCAGTGTATCACACGATTGTACTGTGATTCAAGGTCTTGATTGCGACATCGTGACGTAAAGAGCCAGTAACTGAGATGTCAGCTTATCTGCGCGATTGCAGTTGTGTTTGCGCGATGCGTACACACACTGGAAACTGGAACCAGAATTGTTCCCTTTGCCTTTAACTTTTCAAACAAAGATGCATGTATACCAGTATCTACTCATATATGGTTCGCCTTTCCTCGATCTTTTCGTGACAATATCAGAAGTTGACTCGAATATATGATACATGTATGGCCGACTGAAGCACTGTTCACACCTCCACTTGTCTCGAGCGTAAGCTGTAAGTAATGTGTCAGTGACTTTTGGCGACGATCCCAATCATGTGTGAACATCATCATCGTCCACTCCTACAGGGTGAGTGAGTGAGTGAGTGAGTGGTGAGTAGTGAGTGAGCGACTGACTGACTGACTGACTGACTGACTGACTGACTGAGTGTGGTTTGTGCGCCACTGTTAGCAATATTCAAGCAATATCACAGAGCGTGACACCAGAAATGGGCTTTACTTATTTTACAGGGAGGATCTCTAGCCACACGGTTAACAGAGAATTCATGGAATATCACTACTCCATTGCTGTTCAAGGTATTATGATATCAGTCTTCTATAAAAACAGCCAGGCAAAATAATATATGAAGCAAAGAAGAAATGGTTATTCGATGGTGATTTTTTTTATACTGGTATCACAGGCGATATTACATGCATCATATCAATGCGTATCTCACAGCATGATACTGTTTTCAGCCTTGTAACGTTTGTAATTCTTTGGTTATGTCACATAACCTTGTCACAGACATTTGTGTGATTCGTTATATCCAAGATGTGTGTTGGTACTGTCAACATTGAAGGGTTATTGTTTGCCCCAAAGTGTGTTCGTCTCAGTTTATATATATATATATATATATAAAGCTACTTTCCAACATGGCCGGAGACATTTCAAACAGAAAGTTTGTTTCAAAGACGTGTGTATATTCTCTCAAATCATGAGCCTTCCATTACCGGTAAAGGCGATCGAATATAATTAGTTCCATTGCATGAGGACTGGAAGGGAACACGAGCTATATACATGTCACATAATTATTAATTATAATTATATATGTGTCATAAAAATTGATATAACACATGCCAAACAGGTCTAGAAGACAATACAAACTGGTAGCTGCTAATTGAAAAACCAACGCTGACAAATAAAAATAAACAGACTGGCGTATCATTGTCCTGTTGGTAACACCTGGTGTTATCCCTGATTTTCAGTGATCCATTTGATTTGCAACGATATTTTGCCTTTTACATCATATAGAATCTGTTTCGGTGGATACTTGTAATTGAGACTTATTATTCACTGGCGTTGACGTGATATAGTGCACACGTGGTAGCCAATAGCATTATCAACCCGTAGGATCCAACAAAACAATAGATTCTGATGCCACCACTACATATATCACTCTCTTACCTTTGTTTTTTTCAACTCGTTGAAATAAGCAAGGTAAATGATAGGTAATATTTAAGATCATGGTATTATGGTGATATGGCATAATAACGAATCGCCGACAAAACTTGTTAGAATGTCGTTAAGACTAGCCCCCATGCTCCGAACAGAATCTGCCTCAATTTGACTGGGATAAGACGGCGTGTTTTACACGTCCCTGGCATCTAAATTCAGAGTTGAAGTCAACAACGTCTTGTCAAAATGTTTGCTCCTGACTTGGTATGCGCAAGTCTGATATTAATAACGATAGACCGATGGTCATTGTGTGGTACACACCGCCGAGTTTATAATTGTTTACACTTGCGATTATGTATCCATGCATGAAACAAAGATGTCCTAAAGGTGACATGCAATACGAATCTACATGTGACACCCTCAGACACTGATTAGAGGTAGACCCACGGCCTTGATATCGCTTTTTGCTTCACATGCCAGTGTATGTCAGTGAGTAAAGTCCGATCGGAGACTTGCAGTGAGATGTGATGATAACATGGGAATGCATATAGCCATATCTCTGATAGTTACACTTGACGCTTACTTAACTGAAGCTTTGTCAGTATTGTCAAATATACGTTGTTTCAACACGGGAGGCAGCTCGTGTTCCCTTTCAGTCCTCATGCAATGGAACTAATTATATTCGATCGCCTTTACCGGTAATGGGAGGCTCATGATTTAAGAGAATATACACACGTCTTTGAAACAAACTTTCTGTTTGAAATGTCTCCGGCCATGTTGGAAAGTAGCTTGGAACTAAATGCTGCCTACACTCATGATGGACTTAAAGCAGGCATGTCAAGCATACAAAATTCGTCACCTGGTGCAGATGGGATATGGTATGAAATGTTGAAACATGTGCCAGATTCTGCGCAAGATGTTATTCGGAAAACTTTGAATTTTATTTCGTGTTCTGGTTTCTTTCCCAAGACGTGTAGACATCCCTTGACAGTTTCAGAGAATAGTAACTATTCGGCCGAACCATCACCTTGGACGAAATTAGCTTCATATCCAAATCCAGTCATGATTTATTGCAGAAAAAGACGTTCATGTATAGATCAACATGTTGGTCTGTAAACTGAAACACAGAAAGCTATTGTCAATCAAGAGTACATGCTGTGTTTCTTTTTTGATATCCAAATGTCTTTTGACATGATTTGGAGAAAGGGCTTGTTTTTCAAATTGTGGACACATATTTAGTGGTAACATGTACAAGTGGATATGGTCTAATGTTCCGAAAGAACCATTCAAGTTTTCTGAGGCGAAGAACTGTCAGGCATGTACTATGTGATTATAAATGGTACCGCACAAGAGAGTGGTATATGTCCAATTCTATTCAATCTGATGATCAAGGACTTTCTCTAGGACCTGCCACAAAAACTCAATGCTGCACACTTTGCAGATGATGGTTCGTTTTTGGAGACAGTTGAAATAGTTTCAGCGTGTCTTGGAATCTATCCAATAATGCGTTAGGTATAATCAGTATCCGGTGTTCAAAGTGAGGGTTTAAGATTTCCCAATCAAGATCAGTGGCGATGATGATCACAAGACGAAAAGTTCCTTATGATATCAAATCCAACTCTCGGCCACCATTAATTCGAAATGGTATCGCTGTTCAGATTTCTTGGTTTTCATTTTTGACAGATTAACATGGTCACATGTCTGTATAACACGTCTAATAAGATCATCAATCTATTAAAGTCTATTAAAAATATATAGTGAGTGAGTGAGTATGGTTTTACGCCGCTTTTAGCAATATTCCAGCAATATCACGGCGGGGGACACCAGTAATGGCCTTCACACATTGTACCCATGTCGGGAATCGAACCCGGGTCTTCGGCGTGACGAACGAAGGCTTTAACCAATAGACTACCCGACCGCCCCCTAAAAATATATAGAGTTTTGCTATATCAACCTTATCTGGACTTGACTATGGTTGCCAGGTATTTAGGTCTGCGGCTATATGTTATGTTAATAAGCTTGACCACATTGGTGAGTGAGTGAGTTTGGTTTTACGCCGTTTTTCACAATATTCCAGCAATATCACGGCGGGGGACACCAGAAATGGGCTTCACACATTGTATCCATGTGGAGAGACGAACTCGGGCCTTCGGCGCGACGAGCGAACGCTTCAACCACAAGGCTACCCGACCGCCCCTTTTGACCACATGGAGTCTAAAGCATTTAGAATATGCACAAGGCATACGTGGATTCATACAGTTCGCACATCTGTTTTTCGATTCATACCTTAATGAACCACAAAGAATATACAGTCAATCCTTAAATCAACATTAGGAAGAGGATCCTGTAATTTTATAGTATGACTATATTAATTATATTATATTATCGCGGGATTAGTACATTTCGTAATCCACATCCGCTGTAGACCGTTTACCTTTGCAACTCTAAGCAAGATATTTCATCACTTGACCTATTCAGGACTCGTTGCGTTATGTCTCGTCTACTCGTAAGTATGCACGTTTACTTGTTTATGACAGTTTCTGGAATGTTTTTGAAGTGGAATAACGCCTCTCTCCATTCGAAATATTTTAGAAAGAACCCATTTGTTTTGCATAATCTAAAACAGGAAGTGATATAAGCCACATATTCCACACGTATCACACCATAAAATAAATACCGCGATAATATAGCGTACCATGCTAATAGAGTAAATATGTACAATGTCATACATTTTTATACATGGTAAAGGTCTTTGGAGCAGGAATCTACTTATATTTATGTTTAGTTAAATTATTATAGCATTTGATGTGTTTGGCGCAAATATACCTTTTTTGATGCTATCCATCACTGGTTTGCTAGCCAATACTGTGCACAACGCACAGGACACAAAAGGTGAAGTTAAGCAACATTGGGTCCTTGGATTGGGTGACCGTGTTCGGCAGCTTGGCAGCTGGGAGTTTCTAGGGCTTAGACACTGCCCCACACTGAAGCACATGCAACACGTGTGGTGTCTCCTTGGGCAAGTGACATGAGTGGAAATGTGCCTCTGTTCACCAACCTTCTAGCTTGGGTTGTATACACCCTGGGGAGCTGGGAATGATTTTTGAGTGCACAGTGATCAATTATAAATTAACCGTGGGAACAGTGTGGCGCGTTGAGCATGCCCCTGTGGTGTGGATATAGTACAATATAAAATGACCCATTATATTAATATTATTTACAGATTAAATTGTTTAAAAAGGGAGCAAAGAGGGATTTTGCATGATCCCTGCACAGTCAGGCTGGTGAGTCAGTTTAGGGCCCTTGCCCTCTCTATACGCAGCCAAGACAGCGAATGGGACTTCTCCTAGCTATAGGAAGCGCTGCCGAGTCAAACCCACCAGAACTTTTCGGAGAATGTGACGTCTCCCAAACACTGTAGCCTTCTGCATTACCGAGATTGTCAGAAGGGCTGCATTCCTGGTAACAAACCCGGGTACTTTCCCAATGTCAGTCATTAGATTGGGAAATACCAAACCTAAGGCACCAAGAACAATGGAGAGTCGGACAACTTGGTGCTTGGGATGCAAGCGTGACATTTCGAAAGAGAGGTCAGCATATTTGCTATCACGTTTTCCCAAAATCTTGTCAATCACATAAAGGGGACTGTCAAAGGGGACAGAAAATTCAATGATATAAATGATTTCATTGGATTTATCAAAAAGGACAAGATCAGGGTAGTGGCCTGGATACGCCTAAGGCTGTAAATGGGCCTATTCCAAAGAATTTTGAATTTATCATTTTCTATGACGCCCTCTACATATTCCGGGTCGTACCATGGGTGGACCTCTGTGTCAAAACCACAAGCATGGCGAAGACGGTAAAAAGATGATCGAGCTACACCATCATGTCGTTTAAGATACAGTGTTTGTGCCAAAGCTGGGAATCCACTGACAATGTGTTGGACAGTCACATTAAATTCATTACATTATCTACACTTCATATTTACATTTTGATGCAAAATCAAACATTGACGGTTTCGAGTGGGAAGTGACTGGCCCTGAGCAGCGAACAGAAAGCCTTCAGTTTCACTTTTCAGGCCAGACGACTTCATCCAAGCGAAGGACTCTGCAGGATTGCTGATCTTCCCAACACACTGCACATTAACTCGAAGCAGTGGTCGTTCAGAAAGCCTCTCCTTGCAGAACTGAGTCTTGGCCGAGTTGATATGGCACTTATTATCATTATTATTACCATATGTTATACTGTCCATTGAAATATAGGTTGAATATTTCTGACTGCTGTCGGACCGCATTCGCTAAACCATGTATACTCATAAAATGACTATTTATATTTTAAATAATTTTGTGTGAAAGAACGATGTAAGTGTTAAGTGTTAGTGATAAGGATATTATGTTCCTAACAATAAGACAAAACATGTCTGAAATACTTGTGATAAGCGGATGTCCCTAAACGTTTAAGTGACACACATGTATTAATAACTGCCATTCCTGGGTAAAATAGATACCATGTTAACTATATTTGTCGTACGAAGCCATGTAATGGATCGGCTGGTCAGGCTAATCGTAGATGACTGGCAGAAACTCGGCTATTACAAACTGTTGTCTTTAGGCGGGAGTTCGGCGTTCAACAACAACAAAACGAACAAATATTTGGAACTTTATGTGAGCAAATTCATACAAAACAGTCTGATAATTGTAACCGTTAATGTGTACATTAATAATTAAAACTGGCAAAGCAAAACATAAATACTGGATCCCATGTATTACTCTAGATTGGTTGATGACCATATGAACAAACGGCACATTCGTGCAAATGTCTATACTTGCTCTAAATACGAACTCCTGAAAATGGCTCAAAGGTAGATCAACTGTCCCTTGAAAAGTTTTATCATCATTTTGCAGATCAATGGGTATTGTCTTCATGCAACACTAATATCATTTTGGTATATGAACGTAATACATTCTCGTCATTCTTTTGCTAAATTACGGAACTGAGACAAGATAAAATCCAACTACATGACTTTACATGTAGAATTAGGTAAAAAGTCAGTTCATTCTCAGAATCATTTCACAACAGGCTGCAATTGATACATTTTTACATTTTCGAAACATTGGAGTAAACGGATTCTTATAAACTGCCGGACAAAAGAAAGTATATACATGTACTTGAAAGTTGATTTGACCAATATATTACAAACGTTCTGAAACATTGCAAACATTGGAAAGGTTCAAAACATTACCCGTTGGTTCGGAAGATGAAACAGTGAAACATTGCTAAACACCGTTTTTCAGTTAACCGTAAAAGTGCACATACAGGAATTGCAAAATGCAATGGATTTTTAGCAATATACCATAGGTAAGGAATAACACATACGGTATGTCCTGCGTAACTGCACAACCTTGAAAGAGATGCATCAGCTTAAGCACTGCGCAATGACTTATCCGTGTCGTAGGTATTCGAGCGAAGCGCCCTTTCCCTTGGAATGGCCTGAACATTAACGTCGACGTCGCCACTGGGCAAGGACAGTACAATACTGGCACATCCAGTGCTTATACTGACAAAAGCAGATCCTGTTTAGTGTAAAATGATGGTCGTGCTCCGGTTTTTAGTCGTAAAGGAAATTATTGGTGCTTGGCTGCATTCAGGATGTGCTTCCATATGATGGCCGGTTTGGTGAGGATTTCGTGGCTACCAACGGACGGGACTTGTCATCATCCGTTACAACCTCAACAACCAACGGGATGACGTTCTTTAACATGTGGTGTCACCATTCCTTCGTCAACACCAAGAACAGGGACCACTCTCACAACACGACAACGCTAGATTTCGTTGCAGCGCACAACGTTGCCGTTCTGTCATGGTCAACTCGCTCACCGGATGGGTGTATACTTTCTTCGTCCCGGCATTTTATATACAACGCCTCCCTTCCTCACCCCTACGAAGTATGTTCATAATCTACTTGACGTACGTTCCATATTGAACGTTTCTGGACTGGAGAACGTTGCTGGGGGAATGATAGCGTCTATAGGTCTCTGGTCTGTAGTCCTCACATTGTTCCTGGCGTCCTGTGTTCTGGAGGCAGTGTTTCTCCCTACAGTTCTGCATATTGCGGCTATCACGGTTAATATCAGACTTACACCCGCAGTGGAACTTCCGATAATAGCCCCAACTCTCGAAACACTTGAACCACTTGAGAGATCTAGTAATAGAGGTAACATTGAAACTATCACGTAACATAATTACAGTTATTCCTATCGTGATTTTTTTGTTATATTACTCTGCAAGAAAAGAAACGCAAAAGTGGTTTTAGATGTATATTTTATATATCAAAAATCAAATCATCAACAGATGGTAATCGATTGTTCAAACTTGGACACATGGAACAGTAGATTTTCAAGGTGAATATCATCTGTTCTCAATATTTTGTATGGCCAGCATAAGAGTCCAAAACTGACTGGTATCGCCATCCCATGGAAGTAATGTTGAAGCCTGGGGAATGTTCACCCACTCTGCCTGCAGTGCTTGTGCAGTTGTTGATCCAGTGCATCCCATAAATGTTCGAATGAGTTGAAATCTGGAGACCTGGATTTAGGTCCTGCCATGGCCCACCAGGGCCCACTTGCACAAAGCGATTTTAGCGCTGAGACGATCGTAAGCCTATGTTAATGTGTGGGAGTTACGATCATCTTAGCCCTAAGATCGCTTTGTGCAAGTGGGCCCTGGTGGGCCATGGCAGGACCTAAATGTTATGATTCCTGATAATTATAAAATGCTACTGAGGCAGGTTGTTGCACAATTGGAGGGACGTGTGACTGAAGAATCTGCCGTAAAATTCCCCAGACCTTGCACTATGTATGTTCTGCCAGTGTAGAAGATGGCAGCCCAGATGATCACACCAAATCTGCACACTTCCTCTATACACTTCGTGCATAATGTTCGTTCCGATGCGTGTAAACACGACGTCTACCATCAGCACGGCCAAGCATAATACATGACTCGTCACTGAACCAAACTTGTCTCCATCGCACTTGTGGCCACACCCAGTGACCTTAACACCATTGACGTCTAAGCCGATGCAAGTCCATCAAAACGACGCCTCGAAATAGTGGTCATGCGCGAATATGAATGGTTCCTCACTGTCTTGTTAGCAGTCTTTCGATGGCATTGTTGCGTTGGCCTTCCGTCAGACGTGGCATGGATTTAGCTGTTCACTTGCTGTAAGAGTGTGATGGCATGGAAATGAAAACCCAACGTTTTTATAGCTCACCAGGTGATGTTATACGTTCATGTCATGTTTGTGTGTTTAGGCGTCAGGCTCTCGCGTGGTTGTGTTTTTTGCGATTTTCCGATCTGATTTTCATTACCTCATTCCTACCACGCAAATTAATCCAAAGTATGCAGAAATGACCTATTCGTATTTGGTATTAATATGGTATGGATGTCAGCAACCCTCTGTCAGATATTTGGGATATTACTACTTTTGCGTTTCTTTTTTTTGCAGAGTATGTCTATTTGTAAGCTTTGTGTATAAACACCTGCTCAGGTAGACTTTAATGAGAACTTACCAATATCATTAATCTGCGCCGTGTACGAGATCTTGAAACCTCTGTCCACTGTATGGGAATTCGTTTTGAATTTCAGGAACATCACAGTGCCTGAACCGCTTTTGGTTGGTTGATTGACTCCACACCAGCGTCCTAGAGACTGGGCATCGGAATCCGATCCTACGGAATTCGAATTCGAATTACTTAATTATATAATAATGCACTGCGATCATTCCTTTCGGCTACTCATTACATTAATTATAGAACATGTTACTAATTGCTGCTGCCACCTATTGGACCCATCATATTGCTGCTGCAACCTATTGGACCCATCATATTGCTGCTGCCACCTATTTGACCCATCATATTGCTGCTGCCACCTATTTGACCCATCATATTGTTGCTGCCACCTATTTGACCCATCATATTGCTGCTGCCACCTACTGAACCCATCATATTGCTGCTGCCACCTATTTGACCCATCATATTGCTGCTGCCACCTATTTGACCCATCATATTGCTACTGCCACCTATTGGACCCATTATATTGCTGCTGCCACCTATTGGACCCATCATATTGCTGCTGCCACCTATTTGACCCATCATATTGCTGCTGCCACCTATTTGACCCATCACATTGCTGTTGCCACCTATTGGACCCATCATGTTGCTGCTGCCACCTATTGGACCAATCATATTGCTGCTGCCACCTATTTGACCCATCATATTGCAGCTGCCACCTATTTGACCCATCATATTGCTGCTGCCACCTATTTGACCCATCATATTGCTGCTGCCACCTATTTGACCCATCATATTGCTACTGCCACCTATTGGACCCATCATATTGCTGCTGCCACCTATTTGACCCATCATATTGCAGCTGCCACCTATTTGACCCATCATATTGCTGCTGCCACCTATTTGACCCATCATATTGCTACTGCCACCTATTGGACCCATCATATTGCTACTGCCACCTATTTGACCAATCGTATTGCTTGTTCCCTTTGTAGACAAAGTAACTTTCTACAACCCCCGATGTGGGCGAAAAGGACAAAATTCGTTCTGATTCGGGCTCTTTGTTTCATTAATAAGTATTTCACAATGTCTTAATTACATAGGTTGTAACTATTCACACACAGGGAAGAAACACTTACGTCATACTTACTGTGTACATATAGCACTTCGGGCATCTTAACTGTTTATACGTACACACGTAGATGCGAATGTTATTCATACCATCAAACGCTTCCATGTAGTCATTTTGACAACCAGAAGAACTCTCCAGTCTTGAATAGATAACAACGATCTCGACGTGATGGCCTTCACCCGCGTCAATCTTCCACGTGGACTCGATATTACTTGAAGAAAGTACGTCAATTTCGGTCATTAAATTCATTACCAAATTAGACTTGTAGAGAAATTGAATTTTTCTGAAAACAATGGGTCCATTTTGTTTCCAAAATGTCCTCGGATTGACATTTTTGTATGGTAATAAACATGTAACAATAAACTATGAAGATAAATATGATACATGGCACGTCCAACTGAGCCACACCTGTAGGTGTGCTCTGCAAGTAGGATACATGCGAGTCATTAATAGAGTATAGCTTTGCATTTGTTTTTTTAATTTTGTATCATTTATATGTTAGCATCTTCGTCTTTGTTTTGAACTCGTACGGTTCAGCGGTAGTAGCATAGTATACATGAATACATACCTCGGGTAATTAAATGGATAATTTGGTGACGTAATGTAATGGTATAAAAAATCAGCTGAAAGATTCTTCTGCCGTGAAGCTGAAATATGGAAATATAATTTCAGTTATCTGCAGTATCCTGATGAATAATTTAAATGGTCGCGAGGAACAACATGGTTATTTTGGCGTCAAAGCAACAGAACTTCTTACTTTCACTGAATGTATCACTACCATCTCTTTTCATAACCTACACATATTCAAAGTATGAAGCTGGTATTGCACTATTGATGTTTCTGAAGCTATGGTACTACTACGGACATGAGTTGAATATGGAGGCACGGGAACCAACTGGTTTAACATTTTGCAATTCACTTTACAGAGATACGTCCCTCAATTGTTCCAGACTCTTATTGTCCTTATTATTATTCCTGGTTTGTCATCATCATATCCAGCTCGAATGTTTCACCAAAGTTGTAAACCTCTCCTGCCTGCGGCAATCCTTTGATAATCTGACATTAATCAGAATACTGTTCAAAGCGTTGTCAAGCCCAACTCACTCACTAACTCACTGCACATTGACGTACCCTTAAAGTGACCCGCCTTGAGAATCATTTTTAGTCCTCTATATCTGTTGAATATGCCGGGGTAGAACCTGGCGGTGATAATATTTCCCGAACTGATGAAACCAGCGTTGTCTTGACCACACCACTTCCCGGGGGTTGTTGAAGTAGTGTTGTCATAATTACCTTAGATACAGACAGGAATAAATACAAATAACAATTATTGTCAAAGTGGTATAAGTATCATTCGCCCCGTTTTCAAAGTCTCCACAGATGGAACTTATGACAAGATGAGAAGATAGCGTTGACATTCAACTTCGGATATTTGACTCTCTCTCTCTCTCTCTCTCTCTCTCTCTCTCTCTCTCTCTGTCCCTCGATCGAATTCACAATCTGTTTGATACGTATATATATATATATACATGGAAGATGAGTCTTACCATCGTAAATTTCCAGGTAACCGTAGATGTTCAAACATTCGGTGAATATACCCACATTCCGATTTGAACTGCTAAAATTAACCTGGATATTCGTATTAACGGGGGCATGTATAGTCCAGTGGCAGCCTTGGGAACTGGAAAATAAAACATGCACCATCAACACGTTAATACATGCATCCAAATATCTGACAGAGTATGGTCACCTCACTGAAATTCCGGACTTAATCCGGACGTAAATTACCGGACGGAAGCCGGTATTACAAGTGCACCAAAAAACACACGCACGCGTGCATACACCTGTACAACACTGTAATTTGAGTATGATACAGAGAATTGTCCCTCAGATGTATTTGGAATGTAAAGGGTTGAGTGAACTGTGGATAAACAAAATGGAATGTGTTTAAAAGATATAAAGGTAACAAGACAGCATTGGGTATGGGGAAACATTTTATCACGGTATCTCCATATCAGTGTGGCAAGAAAAGCACGGAACTATACAGGGATGGGGGATACATGTCTGTTACACTGTGACAAAAATAAACGGCCATCTTTCAGACCAGTTTTTTTTTAATCCAATACAACTTTGATTTAGTTGCTTGAACCACAGTCGGTGGAATCTTATTGACCTTGTAGTATTCAAGACATTTGCTTGTTTGGTCGTTGTTTAACGCCACACTCAGCAATTGTCCAGCTGTATGACGGCGGTATATGAATAACCGAGTCTGGACCAGACAATCAAGTGATTGAAATTATGTTCATCGATCCACAAAATACGATGACATGCATTAACCAAGTCAGCGAGCCTGACCACTCGATCAGGTTGGTCGCCTCAGACAAGTACAGTCGCCTTGTACGGCAAGCATGAGTTGCTGAAGACCTATTCTACCCCGGATCTTCACGGGTTAGTATTCCAAAGAAGACTGGGCATCCATGGTAGTATCTGATAAGTTTGAGATGTCACGAAGAGAAGAGAGAAACGTATGAGAGATGTATCTTCAGATTAATGGGTATCATAGAGTTTTCGATGCCCTGACATGTAAACGAACTGAACAAATTATGGGTGGATTGTATCCCAAATAACAGCAAAATACACTCCAGCTCCAACATTCATCTACATTATTATGGGTGGGATTATTGTTGGACAGATGTCATTATTTCCTTCATTCCCAGTGAACCTGACGTTATTATTATCTTCATCAATTCTATAATATAAACTCTATATTTCCTCACTTGTCATATGTCTCTGTCAAAGTTGTTTCCTCATCCGTCGTAATATTGACTGTTCCTCCACATATATATGCCTCTGAAAGGAATTTAAAATACAACTTCTGTTGCATAGTGAATATTGAAATGTACATAATGTCATGACTCATATGAACATTTGTAACACATATTGAATCTTTCAATGTCTCTAATGCATTTCTCACTGCAAGTTATTTTTCATATTCTTTATGAATAATAGACACTTGCTTACCATTAGTTGCAAAATATTTGAGGTTGAAGCCTGTCATATTGTTTGCATGACGGTTATAGAATTGAACTGTCATAGCTGGTCCAGAACTCTGCAGAGTCGGTGATGAATGGCCGCACCCGGAGAAAAGCGTGTTATTAAAGATCGAAGGTCCTGGAAACATATTGAGATAAGAAGAAAATAAAAAAAGAAGTATGATGATAATCTGTATTACTTGTAAGGGATATGGAGATTATTATATTATATGTTGAGCATTAACCGTGAACCGCTTCTTTGGAAGAAATATATCGGGAGAGCTATGCAATGCATTGAATAAACAAAAATATGGGGCACTAAATATTTCGGCGTTATCTTGCCTATTTTTAAGAGATGGTGACACTTCAGAGACCCAGTTTATGATGAAATACTATCGCGCCACTTTACAGCCACTAGATGAGTCAATTTACATTCAAAGGTTACAGAACTAAATCACAATCATTTGTAGGTCAAGGAGACCATCAGCATGTTCAGAGTAAAAATTCTGTTTTTGAAGAAATATATCGGCAGGTATATGACAACAGAGATATCAATCAACATGCGCATATCACATGACAATAATATTATTATTCAAGATGGTCATGTCCTGTCTTGTCTTGTTTTTCATTTGATTTTTTGTTTGAATCCTGGTTTGATTAAGGTTAAGCTATGTGGAAGTTATATGAGACAATTCAATGGTATAAGAAGTAGGAAAATCAAACATTGTTCTGCAAAGTCTGTGTGTTTTATGGTGGCAGCAAATACTTACCATCGTAAACAGTGACACGATTTCTTTCGCAGAAATAGTGAAAGAAAGACGTAGTTTGAATATCCGAGTCATTTACGACGATCCGCACCATCATATTAGGATCAGGGGCCGTCAGTATCCAAATACAATCGGCATTGCTACAAGGAGTGAATAAATGAGTCACAGCGTGGCAGCGTAATAAGGGGACTTAATTTGCTCAACGTTTGCAATTATATAGGTGTACCTTTGTGAAACACAAGGACGGGTATGGTGCTGACAAGACAAGAATCGTTATCGGAGAGGATCGCAGATTGATGGGATTCTGACACTCAACATTCATAGCTGATTGTGGCGCCTCAGACGTTAAAGCTTCCTGGCCAATGCATATTGTTGTCAAAGTACCCGCAGTAATGGGGACTTTAAACATGTTTATAGTTTGTGATCCCTCCAAGCATGTCCGACACGTTACAAAACAATATGCGGTTTCTTGGATAGAAAGTGAAAGACAACGACATACGATGCTAAAGTGAAGGTAAAGTACAATAAGATGAGGTGAAATGGTGTGCGTGCGTGTGTGCTTGGACTAGACCAGTCTAATGCCGATTTTATAGTGCTAGCCCACTGAGATGGCATGCCGAAGTTTTCACACGAATACCCCATTCAGATACAATAAACCCCTAGCCCACCAATCCTTGCTTTATCCCCTTAGTGCCGAACGTCTTTTGGTATGGCGCTGAAGGTATCGAGCCCCGGACCATCCGCACTCTGGGCAGACGCTCTTCCACAAGTACAATAAATAGTAATGTTGAACACAATAAAATTACATTCGACATATGTAATTTATGTTCAAAGTACAATGCAATTTGCACACAATGTTTTGTGTCAGCGTCGCACATTTTAATGCGTTCGAAACAGGAAAAGGGACTGAAAAAAAACTTACCTTAGAGGATGCAAAGGATATCCAGGGGAATGTAGGGATTTAGGATATGTGGTTGCATTCAGAAATCGGGGTCCACAATTCTCTGATTGATAAGGTATCACTGAAACATAAATGTATATGCTTGTGCTTATGAAAACATGATTGTCTAGATAACTATTAATTTGACTTTAATTTGACATGGATATGTCAAAGGTATCATTTATGTACTTTCAACGCCAACAAAGAACATAGCAGTTCAGAAAAAAATAGTTGAAACGTATCACTTCAGATAACACGTCTGTACTTACCTTTCCGTGAACTACGAGACACAACAACTTGGAATCCCTTCCCGCTTGTATCACTGTTGGATTTGAATACCAGTTTCATACTCATTCCGTTCGAATAGTAGGGACCAACCGGGGAAATTGATGAATTCCCACAAAACTCTCCAATAGGATGATAAGCTCTATAATCCCCTAAGGCCGAATGATTCATATGAAAATAAAATGTTTCGGTGATTTGTACAAATAGATGCATATATAACACAAAACGTCAACACCAAATAATTATTAATGAGTCTCGTTTATCTGCCGAAACATATTCCCTTGGGAGTAGCAGACAAAATAATGGTGAAAGGTATTTGAAAGAATCACTGAAAATCAGTGACGACACTGGGTCTTAGTGAACATCAGAGTTACAGTCATAAAGAATGGAGAAAGATCATGGTATGACATTTCACTGAAGAGAATCTTGTTTACCCATTATAACTGTATTTGTGATAATTCTATGTGACACAAGCAGTGATCTACACATTACGTACACATGTAAAACCCAGTCTGCTAACGACCAGATATAGAAAGGGGTTATTAATCTTCCACATGACACATCATGGTCAAGGATGAATAGTTGGTTATTACGTACACTGATGGTAGGTCACACACGTATGTTCAATAAACCTACCACTTAGAGTAAATAGCGTATAGTACGTTAACATCGCATACCTCCAAAAAGAGTTACAGCGTCAGTATCGCATTGTGGGTAGTCTCCCTCTATATCAGCAGTGAGGACGTCAAGCTTTATGTTGGGCGTGCGCCTCGCGTCGAATATTATCATGACGCATTCAAGGTCGCTGAAACAATATAGATACACAGAAGGCTTAAATGTACACACAACTCAATAGGTATAGAAGTGGGAAATCAAATATAAGAAATTAGTGGTAATGTTATGCTCTCAGTAATTCTAACATATACCTAGTATAACCTGGTATCACATGAGTTGTATATATTAATATGATAATCATTCATCTGATAAATATTTTATCATAACAAATTCATTGACAAAACAAATACCAGGCAGCGGGAGACAGAGAAACACGCCCCCAAAGAAAGATCGTGTCACAATACAGTTAACAATGTCCATATTGAGTGTGATAAAGTCGAGGCAGCGGCGGCGCACTGAAGACACGAGATGGTTGAAAACAGCCTGAGGGGTGTTCTTCCAAATGACCCAACTGAGCTAGAATTACCGACTGGTTCCTGTCCTGTCGTAGGTGTCGGCATCTCATCCCACCCTATGTAGGGGAGAGGAGAAACAACCGGCCATGACAGTACTGCATTGTTAACTTACATCACATGCAACAGGTGGACGGGCATTATCCTGCTCTAACATACGGTCACATCATGTGCACAAAGGGTAAACCAAGATCTCGAACGACATCGTCCGGCTAGCGTACGCTATTCAAATTGCCATTCAAGTTGTGTTCTCCCATCAGATGTGATGCCAACCAATACCACCTCAAATCTGACGACGTTGAGTAACGCAAGCTTCGATAAAACGTTTTCCGGTAGACCTTTGGACGACCGTCAGAACTGTCAAGGCAAAACCTGGACTCATCTGTGAACAGTATACTGTCCCAGTCATGTCTTCTGAGAAAATGCTGTCTTCGCAAAGCGAGGCGTGCCTTGGTTTTTTTTCTTGGAAGCAAAATTGGGCGTATCGCTGGATGCTGTGTTCCCCCAACCGATTGCGTACGGTTCTGTCACTAATTGGTCTCAACCCAGGAATTTTCCGAGCTGTTAATGTGGCAGATTGGTATCGATTCCGTAGATTCCGACCGAATATGGTCGTCTTGTTTGACGTGACGTCACACGTGAACCGGTACTTGGGAAGTCATGAGTGCTGCTCGCTGCAGATAACCTCTCCAAAGAGATGATATTGTGTTTCGCTGAACATTAAAATGTCTGGCAGCTTCGTGTTGCGCCATTCCCACGGCCCGTACATGTTGATTTTCAGCAAGCCGTGGCACTGCGTAAGCATTTTTACGGTTAAAGTTGTTCACATTCGACAACCACGTATCATGCTCCCAACAAACACGCAGACATCAAAATTGTGCGCCATGCACGAACATGCCAAAGGAAATTGTGAACCACGACCATAAAGTCGAGGAGATATCTTCATTAATATGAAATGAAAGATGTACTACTTCATTTCATTTGTATATTTTCATTGAACTTTATTTGAAACAGTTATGAACATGGGGGCAGGCAGATCACAGTTCACTGGAATGATCAGAGTCAACCAGGTACTGTCTTGATAAGGTTGTGGTCTTTAACGGATACCTAATACGCTCAGTAACGAGTATGACCACCGTGAGCACCAATGCACGCGCAGACTCGCCGCCTCATTTGATGCTGTCAGCCACCTGATGACGTAATCGGGAATCCGATTCCATTAAGTTGTTAAAGCTTCGACAAGCTGTTGCTGGTTTGCTGGTGGATGTGGACGTCTTCGGATCTGACGCTTCAGATGATCCCACAAGTGTTCAATTGGGATCAAGTCAGGTGAGAATGCTGGCCACGGAAGGTTGACGTTGTTCGTATTCAAGAGGTCCTGGACGAACCTTGCAGTGTGTGGTCTAGCGTTGTCATGCTGCAGGAGTTTTCCCTGCTGCTGTCGGCGACGGAATAGAAGCTCCACGGGTTGAAGAACATCATCTCTGTATTGCTGTCAAGTCTCATCCTTTGGTTGCCACAAATGCCACCCCAAACAATCACAAACACCTCAAGGGATGAACTTCTTGAATGCAGACCTGCACCAAACGTTCCCCCCTGCGAAGGTATACTCGAGCTCGACCATCATTGTGAAACAGCTGAAACCTACTTTCGTCAGGGAAAAGCTCTCTCTGTCAATCACGGACATGCCAACGTCCTACTGTCCTTGCCAATTGCAGTCTTCGACGTCGGTGTTCCTGGATCACTGCTATTCCACGGAAGGGACGGCGAGCTCTAATACCTGATCTTGGCCTCTCTCTCTCTCTCTCTCTCTCTTGTTCCGCAGTAAACCGTGACATATATTTGGTGTATTTTATTCTATATGACGTCTTAGCAACGGTTCAATGCCTTCTTATACAAATTGAGCAAGTGCAATTTTACGAATACCTGGAAAAGCTGTTTGGTGACTTTTGACCACTGCACGTGCATCTCTACGACCAACGCGTTGCGTTTTGGAGATTGATTTCATTTGCAGTTCTTGGGTTACTGTCTTATACAATTTTGCTCACTTTGATAGTTTGGGCGGTAAAGCAATTTAAAAGTGTATACTTTCTTTTGCCCATGCGTTTAGTAAGATTCAAATATCTTTGTTCATGCACAATGTGATGTATAACTTGTCTGTTCTCGATACACCATAGGACACTATTGATGCCCACCATCTAATCATACACAAAAGTTATACCACTCTTGCAACCCTCGTATCACAAGTATTGTAATCCCCTCCTTCCCGATAAAGAAAGACAACCCTTATGTATACCGTATGTGTGAAAGAACGTTTTCATGCTTCAGCTTACCTGTCATATGAATCAGGGTATCCAGGTGATTGAATATAAATAGGTGTGTCATATATGTAATATGTCCTATTACAGTCGCCTTCTGTAACAACAAAAACATGTCCATTTTAAAACATTCACATTCATTAAGTCTTCCTTGAAGAACAAAATTGTCAAAGAATGTGAAACTGACAGATTCCAACGTACATGTTGTGGAAGTTGTACAAAGGTGGGTTAAGAAGTCATGTGGCCTTGTCGTCCAGGTAGTCGTAATTTTGAGTGCCAGAATAATGCGATTGTGGGTTCGAACCTCACATTTGCATTGATACATGTAATTTGTTCGTTTCGTCAGTAACATAACCCGTTTTACCAAACTCCTACGACTTGTATCACTGTGGGCTTTTATCTCTTTCCAACTATTGTATCCAAAGGAACGAATCTAACAAAGTGTTATACATTACTTTGAACTATATTGGATATCATTTATTGTTAACTAGAAGACCCGTGAAGATCCGGGTTAGAAATATCAATAGGTCTTTTTAGTAACCAATCCTTGTCGTAAGAGAGACCAGTGGTTGATGTATCCCAATTGCGTGAATTGATGCTCATGATTCAATAACTGGAATTTCTGGTCCAGACTATATTATTTTTATACCGCCGTCATATAGCGCCATTGAACGGCGTTAAATAACAAACAAATGAATAAAATGAAAATGACTGGAAGTACGCAGCCCACATAACTCAACCTCTCAGTCAATGTTTATTTTAGGGAAATGCAACATATTTAACGTTAACATTCACATTATTTGCCTTTCATTTTTTTATTTATTTAAAAAAACAATTCAGCGAATTAACTTTAAATCATGCAAAGCAAAAATACATTACTGAAATGTACCCTACTACTGGGTAGGACACTTACAGGAAACCTATAACCTCTAGGTCAACATACCTGGTATCGCAGTATAGTGCAACTGAAAATCCTTGCTTGTCACAGCCTCAGTGATTGTAAACTCAAGCAGCATTGCGTTATTGGAACTGTAGTATATCCGCTTCTGGGATGGACATAATTCACCAAGAAATTGGGCAGCTAAAATATAACTCGGTTGTTATGTTTATTCATCAAATGTTGATTTTAACGTACAGTGTATAATATAAAGGTAACGCTATTTTTCGGGGCATTATCATTTGCAGAAGCCCGAGGTCTTCCATTAACTGCCCGACGAAGGAGGGTATTTGAAAAGACCTCGGGCTTCTGGAAATGATAATCCCCTGAAAAATAGCGTCACCGTTATTATAGCTAAAGTGGATGGAAGTTGTTATCAAATAAAAGGAAACAACAATACCGGTTTTGAAACATGCATTGCAATCAACACGAATGTCACTGACCCACTTTTACAAATATGGAAACGTCAGAGAATAAACCAGATGACGTTACTATTGAACGTGACGTCACCTATCCCTGTCCCTATGACGTCAGCTAACAATGGGCGTGATAATGGCCCGTCGTCAAGCAATATAAGGGCAGTATCAAGTTACAGTGGCCCGTTCATTTCTGATAACATACGGGCGGTTTAATGATAACTCTATCCATTTTAGCTATAATATATATTAATTACAAGCGACTAATCTTGATGAAGAACCTGCACACCCTGTCATGCATGTGCCTTTGGTCATTGCATATGTATCTTGAAAACAATGTAAACATATTCCATTAAGGAGAATCTATCATACGTTTGATGCTGTTTCACATTTGTTGATTTAACAGTTACATCAAGAGGGGCACATGGTCTGCGACTATTCTGTCTATCTTTACGGGTTGTAAGTCTTCCTGCGTGATTGTAACGTATTGTCTCTTTGTGATTAAGGAAGTGGTTTAATGTTTGAGGTATCCACATACCATGTTGTATATATCTCTTTATAGTAGACCGCCTCCCTGGTCTAGTGGGTAGAGCGTCTGCCAGGAGAGCGGAAGATCCGCGGTTCGAACCCCATACCAAAGGACGTTAATAGATGGTACATGTTGTTTCCCTGCTTGGCACTCGGCATTAAGGAGCTAAGACAAGTTCTGGACGGCTCGGAATCAGTATACTGTGTCTGAGTTGGGTATCCATGTTAAACTGTGGTGTATCTCAGTGGGCTAGTACTATAAAATCGGCATACATCGCGTCTAAGATTATTGCACTTATAAATCGACACACACACACACACACACACACACATACACACACACACACACACACACACACACACACACACACACACACACACACACACACACGTGCATGCATGTCGCTATATAAGTACAATAATCTTAGACGCGATGTTAAACCCCATATCACCTCACCTCTTCAGTTTAGCAGCCTCATAGAGATGTACTATCAGCAATTTCGAATTTGCGTCACTCATAAATAGACCATACGGCAATAACTGTTTTGGTTAGTGATCAATAATTGCCCTATCACATACATGTATGGTTTGAGGAAATCAAATAAAAATAAAACGTCACCACCAGAGAATAACCAGTCTCGATTATCCGACGAAACATATTTCATCGAATCCATTGGGCGTAATACGCGAATCTGAACAATGGTAGAACATTGTAGAATGTAAAAATGCCAGGACATACTGTATTACATTACCTTCAGTTGTGTTTCCGTTATAAACATTCCAGCACCGAAATCCATAATTGTCTTTATTTGGTAGATTATTTGTCACTTTGACGGTATCGTTTTCGTTTTCCGCTGATATTATCCAAGTGCACTTTTGATTTCTGAAAAAAAGGTACATGCCTTACATGTGTGTTCAACAGCTAACAAACCTGATAGAATAAAACTTATATTCGACTGTGTTATAACCAGAATACATCAGTAAATATAATTTAAAAATGGCGAATTATTTAGGGCGTTATCGCTCACAAAGTACCCTTTGTCGTATGGTTTTAAAAGCTGCCAGTCGCGGACAAATGTAGGTGACGGACACATACTATCTTTACAGTTTTAATGAAAATTAATTCAAAGTAATTAGAAACTGTTAAAATCAGTGAGTTTGACTTACTTGTAATAGGTGTGAGGAAAGCCCGGGGATGTGAAGTTTGCTTCCTCTGAGGTTGCTGTTAAGTTCCCACCACAACCTGCAATGTTCGTTGACGTGATATTACATGTGACAGAATGACAGAGCGACTGGGATTGTATGTTACAATTTGCAATGTTTTACTAAGGGTCATGTGGACATTGATACTAAATAGTGGCTGAGTCTGATTTCACACGGCTTTGAACAGTTATATCAAGGCAGGTCGTATTCATTTATGTGGGTCGAAAGCCCTAAATGACGCATGTCGTTAATCAATCTGGTGCAAACTCCAAACAAGAAAGAGTGTGGTGCTGTATCCAATCCTTGCCCACTGGTTCAACCACAATGGTAAACGTCTACGGCCCGCATCCCGCTCAGTGTTATTTAACAGAAACACTCTATCTCTAACTCGCGTGTGTTCTTAATCAGAGCATACTCACTTTCAACGTCACTGACGTTCAGTCGAAATAAAACTCCATCAGTTATTGCACCGGTGGTGAACTGTATGTACATGGTGTCTCCGCTGCTGATGACACTGCCAGTACTTGCTCCATCGCCACACAATTCCAACAATATTTCAGTCGAATTATCTGGTCCTGGTCAGGAAAACAGCATTCAAATTAAAAATAACATGCACTCACTATTCTATATTCGCCGCCGTCATTAGAAATGTCATACAGTATGTAGATGGGTACAGTACATTACCACATATTGCCGATCAATGCATATAGAGAATGAATACAAAATTAGTTGAGAGGTAATGAGTTCTTGAAATATTTTTTTATGATCTGTCTGTCCTTATATTAATCTAGCTTAAGCATAATGTGCATAACATGTTCTCTGATATCATACTGAACGGGAGAGCCATGCTCTCTCACTCATAAACGTGTATAAAACTAGAACGGTGATGTTGGGACGGTGACATAAAACCTAAGATAATCAAGTAAAGATACTTATTTCAGTAGACATTTTGGGTTGCTTTGACTATGACATGGGTAAACTCTATCAGAAAGTATTATTATATTCTAATTTTGTTAACTCATGTATCAGTTGCTTGGATGTCAATGAAAGATAGTTGTTTAACAAACTGAACATCTTATAATTACAGTTCAAAAGGCATCACTTGACCTTTAACGCGGCTGATGCCGTGAAAACCATTGCTTGATTCCTTTATGTGCCTGGATACGTATTGCAATTATCGATGTCCTTTTTAAGATACTGCTGATATACTTCTCAAAGAGATGTAAGTCAATACCATTGAGTGAAATGGTGAGTTGCGTTTAACGCCACTTTGAAACAGCATATCAGTTCTTAACGGAATATCAGCTTAATGTGGGGGAAGGTGATGCAGGTCGAAGGTTTTTAACCTATAGTCGAAAACAATTAGCACGGGTACTGTGCTAACAGACAGATGATGAAAATCTAGATGATGAATGTGATTAGAACGACTCATGCCAGCTGTCAAACCGAGCCCCTATGAACTTCAAGCAATCCTTAGAAATGTCACGGCGCATCAATTTAATGTGGGAGGAAAGCCCGAAATAATGGAGGTATCAGACGTTTACCACTTTGGTGAAACTCACGAGCACGGGTATGGTGCTGACAAACCTAGATAACATCGTCACGGCGAATCTGAGATTCGAACCCACGATCTTAGGTTTCTTGTGTGCCTGTGGGGCGCAACTCTGCACACAGAATTGCAGCGCCTTAGACGACTGGGTCATCTTTAAAATTTGACGCCCTTTATACCAAAGATCCTACTGTCAACACATTTGTAAATAGTATGCTTACCATCATAGAAGGACAGAATATCACCTTGACAACGAACGGAATAATCCAATAATGCAACATATTTTACGCCTACAAGATGTTCCGGAAACGATGCATGTATCCTCCATCCGCAGGATATGTTACTGAAACAACCAGTTATGGGAATAATCATTATACGGTTCCATAGAAAAATAGATACTTTGTGTTAATAACGGTTTGCTCAATAAACTGCTGACAATTTTTGTGTATAAAAACAAAAGTAACTGTGTCTCTCTATCTTATCGTTAATCATCGTATTCTTTCTTAATCTTTGATTGGAGGAAGATGGGCTTGATTGGCTTTCAAAAGGAATTTTCCCAAATGAAATTCAAACTTATTCAAATTTACTTAAATTTATTTGAATTTATTAATCTGGAAAGCCATATTATCCACATCACCATCATTCCTTTTAGTTTTCAGACATCTCTCACTTTACATTTCAGCAGTTACTTTTGCCTTTGAGAATAATTAATTACATATTCGATAATTCAAAAATTTAGCTCCTGTTCATATGTCACGGCCATGAGTATATGTCATAGCTCGAGATGAGGGTGAGGTGTTTGGGGTTTAACGACGCGTACAAGATTATTGCACTCACACATGCACGTGTGTGTGTGGCTGCTTGTACCAGCCCGGACTAAAGCCTGAGTTACAAAGCTAGTTCACTGATATATGATGCCGCATACGTGGTAACAAGTTCCATCTTTTAACGTCTTTTGGTATCTATGGACTCAACCACGGAGGCGGTTCACTTCCCTTAATGTTATAGTGAGTGAGTGAGTCAGTGAGTTAATATTTAACGTCACATCGGCAATATTTCAGCCATATCGAGAAGTTATACGTTAAAAATACAGATATTTAGATTAAATCGATGAACAGTAAGATAACATGAATATATCAGTTTAATATTTAAAACTACCATACAACTATAAAGATATCACTATGTGACAAAACATAATAAAAAAAGGGCTATAGATCGCCAGCAGCTGAAGCTAGATCACCATGCTAGGGTCCATTGGGGCTTAAAGTACCTTTGATACATGCATGGACCCCGGCCGGATTTACATCATCCCTTCAGGTGTTGGCAATCATTGTTATTGAGAGAGCAGACAGAAAGAAAAGTAAGGTGCTCAGGGCTTGGCATGACCAGCCGATAGAAAGGATCTGGCCATTCCTACCACCCATCTAGATGAAGTAAGGGTCAAAGTGGTGTATTGGGCAAAAGAACGCTATTCCTGGAATCAGCGCCCGAAACCTCCAGACTCCTGTCCTCCGCCGACACAGGGACGCAACCCACGGCAAACGGGTTGCCCAATTCGGTCACCATTTACGACCAGCAATGGGGTGCTGAGGACACATTCTTATCTACCCCGGCTTCCCTCGGGGGTCAATGTTATAACACTAATAACACAGAAAACGTGCGAGAATCTTTGGCGACTCATTTTACTGAATATATTTGCACTCTACATCATTGAATACATGTAGTTATTTACGGGCCAGACGACGACGGGAAACCTGGGGATGTAATGTTCTCCACAACATTGGAAAGTTGGATGTCCTCGAAGCATGCATCTGTAAAAATGAAAAAATAACACATACTTGAACTATTATTAAAAAGGCATAGCGCCTCTTGCGTGAGTTGTTTAAACACGCTATTTGACCAATATTGAACGACATCAGATTACTGATATACCTGAAGTTTAAGTTCAGTTGCCAATCCGAGCAAATATCCTGACTTCTACGCACAACGAAACAGATAGGCAAAAAGGGGGACATGTGAGGATGCCTAGGCCGTGCCTATATGCCCTGTCCTCAAATTCCGTATAGACGTAAATGGTTAGAGGTAACTGAATCTAGATTGAACTGTGACTGCACAAATTCAATCAAATCCTTTAAATCTTTGTGAATTCACATAACATCAATTTCTCTTGTCTCAAATACGTTCTGTGAATACAAGGGAAGTCTCTCTCTGGTTGAATTAAGGATTATCAAGATCGATAGCATTACTGAGGGTTAAAAATCGTTATCATCTTCTGCTGTGAACAATGTGTGCCTGACGTCAACCGAATAACAAACAGCATGGCCTGTCAATATATAGGATTGTATGTTTACCTGTATTTGAGGCTAGAACTGGAGACAGGATACCCAGGAGAACGACTGCCGTTAGGTGTAATGCCATTGTATGTCTCATCAGCTACTGTGTCCAGTCTACCTCGCTATGAAGGTTACTAACGCAAATGGTCAGGGGTCGAAATCTATGACATCATGACCTGGCAACTGTGGCATGTTATCGGCTGACCCACATGTTTGATAAAGACACTGTGTGGGTGCGACGCGAACACTTACTCAAAGCAGAAACAGCTGGAAACGTGAAACAAAATGATTTCTGCTTCTTCTAACATTCTTACGGGGGGAAAATGCTTATTTTCTTTATTTTCAGTATTTCTGGCTCCAGTTACCGGCAGTAATTTCATATATCCATCCGTGACAGTAGTTCAATCGAGACTCACAAAGATATAAGTAATCTGCCCAATAATCTGCCCAATCAAACCTTAAGCATGTGTGCAACACGTGAGTATATTTACGACATTGGTCTCGATTTCTAAACTCGTCGTAACAATATTACAGTATCCTTCCTCATGACTAGTACGTCATGATACATGACGTGACTTGGGTGTTTGTGTCGCCATCAGTTGCAGATGTGTCAGTCACAAGCGTATGTGTTTATGCGTAGATTTGATTTAAATTATTGTCAGGTTTGATATGAGAAGGTGTTGCCTATTTTAAAAGCGAAATAACTCACTAATGTAAGGTCAAGACATATATACACATATATGCATAAGAGAGATCCTTGCCATCCATTTATCTTACTCCTGAAGTGACAGTTTACATTTCGACGTGGTCTCTATGTTGTCCAAACGCAGTAGGCATACAGATAATAACCCTTATAGCATTGGCTGACTCCTCCATTGCGACATAGTTTAAGCCTGGGTATATCAAAGGAGGAATGCGTGGGCAGCAACTACCACTTTCACAACACAGATAATATACTGACATGAGACGCCAACACTCCTTCTACCGTTTGGAATATACGAAATAGAGAGGGGGTGGGATGTTGAGCTCGTTCCATGGATATACATGTATAGGTGTGGGTATACAAATATAAACTAACTAAAGCTGTTAACGTGACATGACTTAACATGAAATTCTTTTAAAACTTTTTTAAAAAAACTTTTTTTGTTGTTGATATTTTTTATTCCTTTCAAAGGGTTGTACACCAGGTTCCAAGGTTGTACAGTAGGTTTAAGCAGATTAACATTTGCTGAAAGACAACGTGACATAGACCCCAATTTGTAGAGGCCTATTCATACATTTCGTGGTTGCTGCGTATTGATGCTTTCAACGATTATATTATTAAGCGTGCTTCGCGTAACGCATATGTGGCAATGTCTCTCATCTTGAATAATTAGTTTCTTCTCGGTTAAACCCATAGGTGTATTCCATAACTGGTCACAAATATCCGTGGTTTTCCTAAGGAAGGCAACTCGTGTTACCTTCATATCCATATTTACGTACCCACGTTCACATATGGTGATACGACCGGAGAACAGATGGTCCAGCTGGCTGATGCAGGGCAATACATAACTCTTTACGGTGTTACTTACATTAAGCCTGCTAGTATTATTAACACACTGATAATATCGAGTCTGAAGCTGACTGTCTGTAGAAACATCGACATAGACTTTTGGCATGCCTACGTGAGACCAGTGGGTTATCGGAAATCGTATACAGTAAAGCAAACCATCATTTATCTGGAAAAGCGTGTTAAAGGCAGCCATAAAAAGACACATTTTGCGCGTACATATTTTGCGTAACCTTATCCGAAAGTTGAATAGCAACATTCCATCACACAAATTCATTGCATAATCATTAGATCTTATTGATTGTACGATTCTGACATTATTATGAGTATGTGTTTATGAATCACTATCAAATAGTGATGATGCCAGATGTTCGCGGAAATGTGGGCCTATCCTTCCCCACCGGTGACAGCCGTCACAAACACATGCAAAGGCAAGTCACTTTCAGGAGGCATTCCATCGAACACACTGTACACTGAACACAGAATCAGCAGCTTGATTTGTCCCTGAAAGTCCCGGATGACATAGCGATCCACTTGTCCTCTGACTACAGTCAACAATCTCATATGATATATTGTTCTGTTGGCTTTAGCACTTTTGTTGGTTACCGTATTTTATTTTAATATATCGCTTTACCGTATCATGCCTCCATGCCCACTTCCACTCATAGAATGCTGGCGTTTCATCAAAAGTGACATTCACACCGCCAAAAATGTACTTTTGCGATCTATACGACCGCGGCCTGGTTCAAGTGTCTCAACTTGCATTTGAGATTATGTTGAGGAGAACATTCGAGTAACCCCGAGAGCTGCAAGTATGTCCTATGACTTAAAACACATTCCTAGCTGCATGTACGTTATCAAACATACAAAAAACATCCCCTCCTTAAGACTTTGACAAAACATTCTTTTGTGAAAAATATTTGAAAAGAAATGCATCTGCAGGCTGTATATAGGTGTTACAATCAATGTGTAGAATCTCGTGATGTGTAAAATGAAACTGACTGAAAAATCGGTCCATGTATTTATTATGATAATACCATGACTATGATAAACATTCCGATCACCCAATCACTAAAAAAGATAGAATTACAAGAAAGCGAAAGTGAATCTATTGTTTTATTTCTATTTCTGGTATAATTGGTCTATTGTGATGTTTGCAAGTCCGTTTGAACTTCTTAATACTTTTGAGTCAATCTGTCAAATATATAGACAGATTTTTTCAGTCAATTTATACAATGGTTGAAGTATTTGGCACACATCCTTGGATGGAATTTGGTTATTTTTCAAACACTGAACTATTGTGGTCCATTATTCATACTTCTTTGCCACAACGAGTAGATCGTGTGTTACAGACTTACTGTTACAGACTGTTAGAGACTACTTTCACTGTTTATAAACAAACATGGCGTCGCCCTCGTCATTCGGCGATGAGTCAGAATTAACCATCGGGAATCTGGAGAAACTACAGGGATAATTGCTCTCATTATCAAAAGAACAGTCTTAGTTAGTGAAAATCAGTGTCTAACTGTGATGTAGCTTAGGCATTTTATAAGTTTGGCAACTTTAGAGATATAAATTTCAAACAATTTGGCGAGGGCACTAGGCCTAGCCAAGCGGGATCAGTAGCCATATCTGTGCTTGTAGACCTCTGCGGCTTGAAACCTTCTCCACGAATTAAAATAGTTGGATTTGGCCGAAATATGTTTGAATTTTTACCTTGTTTCGTTTTGTCGCTGTGTGTACGTCTGACTACACTTCTTAACGTTATGACAGGACAGACCGACTGCCAAGAACGTCTGACCGTGGTCTGACCGTGGCCGTGACGTATTTGACTAGGGCACGGGTAGCTTCCCTTTGACAAGGGCAGTTACTCTAGCGGACAGACCGATGGATTGCCGCGAAAGGCAATTAAAAACAATTGTTGTTTTGCGTATATGTTGCTTCGCCACTGTATTAGAAACAGTTCAGTTGGAACTATATTGGCTACTGTCACAGTCCGACTGAAACATCACTTACCCTGTGACGTAATAAATATTAATGCGCGCATTCAAGGAAAACTCGCAACGTTTCGGTAATGTTTGTGAGAGAGGGAAAGCGATTTTGATGCACAGTATTAAATAATTACATTATATGATAAAGAGTTTATCACGCTTGTGTGTTTGGGGATGGTAAATAGCCTGTATTAGGAATAAACACTATCTATTTAGCTCGCCAGGGCTCGCTAAATACAATGTTTATTCCTAATGCAGGACATTTACCATCCAAAACACACTCGCGTGATAACCTCTATTTATTGTACTCATGCACATGCTCATGATATAGTCGGAACAGTCGGAATTGTACAATCGACTCTGCTTTATGCAGAGATTCCTATTGGATATGGAAAGGGTGTTTTCGCTTTATTTATGTATAACCACCATATGAGTTTGATCTCTGCATTAATGCATTTGTTTCAAAGTATGTGACTTTTCTGTGTATTTATCAAATTCAGTCATATAGATTGATAGTGGACACTTTAAAATTGTGTACATTTTCCTTTATGCAGTCCGTGTAAATTTAACGGGTCATTGCAATATTTATCAAATAGTACACTAACGAGCTGCTAGATACCCGAAGCATAACAGAAGTAACTTCTTGAAATATCTCCCTGCGGTAATAAAGCAACTGAAATAATACACGTTTTGACGATTACTATTAATTTTTCAAATGAAACTTTCCAATGACCTCAGGTCAAAAAAGAAAGTCACGACACTGAAAATATCAAGCCATTATGTCCTTAGTTATTGACCTCACTTGTGTTAATATTTCAAGTATTTAGGACATGATCTCCAAAACTTATAAAAGAACAAAAGCAATTGAAATAATACAAGCAAAAAAACTGTTAAATGTACAGGAATGATGAAACCGTTTGCAGTCTTGAGAAGATGTTCATGGGAGGCTACGAGAGACGTTTATCATCAAAGTTAAACAATTTCCTTGGCAACACAGTTCCAGGTATGATGTGTTTGAGAGATCTGTTTAGTGACCGGAAACATGTACATGTACCATTATTTCATGTGGCAAAAGAAGTGATATTCATGCTTGGAAGCAAGCGCATATATACTATTACAAGTAGAAAAAAACACTTCCAAAATAAGTATATCTTTAAGTTCAAGCTAAACGTCATGACTATTTTGTTACAAATGTAAGCTTTAACATACATAGATCCGTGAAGATCCGGGTTAGGATGATATGTTTGTTTTGTATACGTATTTTCGTATTGTCCCTGGTCTAAGCACCACAGTGACGTTCAGGCATATTGAAAGTTCATCCAGCACAAAGTGTTACTTCACTCCATTTTATATTTTCTTATCACGGTACTGTAGTGTTCCTTTTACTAGAGAAGTAGTTAGATCTGTGCACAAAAGAGACTCAGAGTGACAAAAATCTGTTCACAAGACTTTGCGACAAGAGGGATAACTTCAACATTCCAATACTCAACTTTCCCTTTATGTCGAGCAATATTCCATCTGCTACAGCCTTTGGTGTCTACATTTCACAAAATTGAAAGTACGTACAATCGAGTTTGCTCTTTCTGGTAATACTTCAAAGAGCCTCATACGACTCTTGCTCAAAAGTTGTTTGTTTAAGGTTACATCCATTAAGACCTCATTAAACCTTTTAATGGTTTTATGGTAGACAAGTGAGGACTTTCCAAATTTGACGCATCAGTGACAAAACAGTACTTGTTACTTGTTGACTTACCTTTGCATGTGTTAATGACGGGTACCACAGGTTTGGTAGCATTCGCTCACCTTTTCGCGAACACCTGGTGATTCATGGACGAGAGATGTCTGTAGCTATGGACAGGGTTTTGTCGCTTTTATTCATTAAATGCAAACAAATGTGGGTTGTTTAAATTATTCATTTGTACTTTGAATATTATATGTGAATGAAATACTGCATTAATGCATTACCTTTGTTTAGCCTTTTCTCGAACACCTGGAATCATCACTGACTATCAGTGACTCATTTATATAAGTTCCTCACTATTTTGCCTTTTTCGGCCAGTGCAATCTGTTTCGGCAGGCAAAATTATCTAACTATAATGTACCAATGACACTAATTAGAATGTCTGATAGTATGGGTCTTGTGTACCACTTGTTGGCGGTCGGATTGACTTATGGCAACGCCATTCGCTCAATTCCCCACTTGGATATACTGTGTGAAAACCTCTATCTCACATGTCTGTTGAAAGCGAAAAGCGGTGTAAAACACAACTCGTTCGGTCATAAATGATGACATTACCCAAATCCATATGAATTTGAACTGTAAAGTACTTAATCCCTTCAACACGTACGAATCGTGCATGTAGCGCAATGTATGTGAATCCATTGATTGATATAATTCACACATTTCACTGAGTGATTTTTTTCTCGCAACAGTTCTCGTCGCATAGACAATATTTTGGCGCGACAGTGATTAGATCACACATCAGATTCTGTTGTCACATAATGTATTCACATGAACATGTTACTTGCCGTTACATGTGTTTGTGATGGCTGACCCCGGCGAACACCTGGTATCATCACCATTGATTGTGATTCAAAAACACAAGTTTATGATATAAACGTACACGGGACTCGGGCACTGGCAGATATTTCTTACCATAAATCAAAGTGGTTTTGTTGATTTTACTTAAACTCATTTTCTATTCATTCAATATGTCTGAACTATGAATTGCATTTGTTCATAGCTTCAGCCTCTGATGGCTGTATTGCAGGTGGACTTCCTTGTCTGTGTGTTACAACACACGTGTACACACATCAATAGTTTCAGCAAAGACATCATTATTACTATGTCATTACAAGAAATCTGTACACACATTGATTGTATATATCTCTAATTTATCTCTAGCGTTCTATATAAAATATTTCACAGTTTTCGTATTTTTTGCAGTCGCCAGCATTATCGCGGAACATAATTATGGAATCTGAAGCAATCCACTTGTTCATAGAATGCATATAACAGCAAGTACAATAACAGATACAACTTTGCAAATCTTCAATGGTCGCTTTATTGAAATCTTAAGACTGAAATATATAAAACCAAACCAAAAGCCAATAAAATACCCTGCTGTTACATAGGTTCATTAAACATAATTTCCAATTTGTTCCAAGTACGAATATGTAACACACACTTCAAACATAAACATCTCACTTAAAGTCCCTCGGGGGGGGGGGGGGGGGACAAATACACGTCACAGATGCATTGACACTATCACTGAATATTGATATTATACAGTTCTATACAACGTTTACCCGCCGTGATATTGCTGGAATATTGCTAAAAGCGGCGTAAAACCAAACTCACTCACTCACTATACAACGTTTAAGTACACTATTGCAAACATCAAAGGACTATGTACATTCTCGTTTGGATAACTGCCGCGAATCATATAAGTTCAATTTTCCTGAACATAACTGAGATAACAGGTACATTTCTTTATATGTCACATCATGCCGTATACTATCATCGATTATCTTGTGTATAGATTCTTTCTATTAGGATACATTCCCCGGAGCTCGAGTTATTCGCCACAGCTTCATCTTCATCGCTCCTATCTCTTCTTAGCTATCTCTTATGCGACGGAATTAGTCCGTATTGTATTCTTAATTAAGAGTATGGATATTTTAATATACACATGATAATCGATGATGATTGTACACATGGTACTTTATAATTTGTTGGATACGGTTTCGGAATTGAGGTGCGCTGAATGAGGCGTGTCAACGGCCTGGGCTGACGTTGTGTAGGACAGAGGTCCAGTGAAGGTTGTTGGGGGCATAGTGATGGTCATCGGTGCTTGGCCAAAATTGCTGGACGGTGGTACATGGCCTACGGTATAATACACTGGAACGTTGGTGGTAGGAATGCGTCGACTTTTTTTGTAGATGAATATGGCGATTCCACATATTATGAGTAGCATCAGAAACGCGCCACCAATTGAACCCCCAACAATTGCTCCAACATCAGTATCAAAATCTGTAAAATAAGATGATAAACTCACATTATATCATACTGGATAATGCATTGTTAAGTTCACGTCCAAAACATGCCCAAACCCCCAACAATAGCTCCAACCTCAGAACCCAAATCTGTAAAATTAGATGATAAAAACTCACATCACATCATTTATTGTTTGGTAAATGCACCAAGTCATCACAAGCGCCAGAGGTACTGTGCAGGGTTACGTCTATTCCCTTCCGATGATTGCGGGTTCGATTCTCATTTTCACCATCGTATCATTCTTGGTTTGACAGCACCATATCCGTGCTGGGTGGTTTCACCAAAGTGGCAATCAAATATTTTGTAATCAAATAAGATTTACCCAATTAATATATGCGCAGTTTCCCACATATGAATTCTCTCATACAATTTCATTTTATGAAAGCAACATTGTTGATTTTTAAGTGATTAGGTTCTATCAGTATTAATCATGGTTTGTAAAGGTCAGAACTCTCCTGAGATGTAATGGTTGAAATAATCAACTACTAGTATCATGATAATGTACATACTTACTTATGCATGCCATGATGTACCTTCTGCATCCCAGTCCCTCCATAACAAAATTATTTAATATATTTTATTCGTTATTTTGAGATTTCCTCCCAGAGTGAAATATTGTTGACAGACTTAACTCTATTTTAATAAGAAAAACGTTGAAGTAAAGAAATTCGAGTAATGTTACGATTTTTGTTTACATATTATATCTAGGACAAGTTGAAATATCTAACGTTATTCACATATTTGGCACCAATGAAATTGATACTGTGAAGGTATTTGCACATGCACATGTACATGCCCATATACAAGTAATATAATAAAACATTTGTACAGAATAACCTTTATCGATCTTTAATGTTCAAAAATTACAAACAAATGGACGGAAATCATTAATTAAGTTGTCTCCCTTCAATTGTATTAGATACAAACGATGTCTGGTTATATCATACTACTTTCAGACTCCCTCTCTCGTTGAAACAAGTAGGAGACAGTAAAACAGAGGAACCTTATCATTCATATCTGTGCAACAAAGCTTGACATGACATGACTGCACAAATATGTTCTTCTGTCAAGAAAAAGAAACTTCCAAAAGTGATCCTCCAGGCGATCTACGCAGATTAGTGTTTGATTCTTAATTATTCGAAATTAGTATGCATGTAGCAAAGAACAAACACTCAAACAATCACTGGAACCATGGCACAAATCACAATAGGGTACCACGTTGGCCGCAGACGCATCAAACTTGGACATGTCCTCATAATGTATGCAACAAAGCCATTTGAACGCCCCACTGAGGCCCGACATGCTGCAACCACGATCAAAAAACTTTTGAGCAAGAGCTGTATGATGCCATTTGAACTCTTCGCAGACGTGAGATCTAGATGTTTACGTTACTGAACCCCCCACCCCAAAAGCACCAATATATAGTTACTTACTAACTCATTTCTTGTAAATACCTTTCTCCAAGTTCAGATAAATGAATAATTAGGTTCAGATAGTACCAAACTTACCTGGTGATTTATAATTATATTCGTTTGTATACTTGATCTTGAAGCCACGATCAACACCAGATGAATCCGACTTGAATTTCAGGAACATAACAGATCCAGAACTTGTTTTCACTGGTTCATTTTTTCCACACCAGCGACCAAGTGAGGGGGCGAAAGGGCCCGAACCTTTCAAAGACCAAATATATTATGTTTTCTTCGAAAGATGCAGGCAATTGTTCTTAAAGTCCTTCAGTCGTATCAGGGAGTTGCATAAGTGTCATTTAGTGTCATTCATAATCTCAAAACAGGACAATAGTGGCAAAGGAAACTGGTAGATACATCTATTGAACACACATTGGCGCGCGCACACACACACGCACGCACACATTGCATGCAGTTTGCAACAAAAAGAATATTGTGGACAAATATCATTCAACTAACCATCGAACGCCTCCATGTAATCTTCAAGACAGTTATACGAGTTTTGGAGTCTTGATTCCATTACGTTGATCAGGACACTGTAGTATTCGTCCGCCGTGATCTTCCAGCTGGACTCAGTGTCACTTGAATAAAGAACATACACGAATTGTTATTGTACGAATTGTCAAAACAGTGAACGCAGACGATATGTGAACCTATCACAAATGATGAACATTAATTTATTCTATTTTCACTTTCGACTTCATAACATTCACAAAATAACTATGACGTGTATGTAATAGTTAGGACAGATAACCGGTGATTGTTCTGACTATGGATTTTATGAATATAAACTACATTTTTATTATTATCATTGTGTTGTCATCTTCGTCGTTCTTGTTGTTCATCTTCTTCTTCTACTTCGTAATATACGCATCAGTATTAACATACGATTGTGCGATTTGCAATAATTACTTTCCAACGTTGTCACACCTTGTGACATCCTCCAAGCAAAGAGTATTTTTGTGTGCTTTTTAGGACATATTGACCCGATATTGATTGATGCCTTTCATATTTTAGCATGGTCGGAATCGATAGTCGGAAGCGTACAATGGACCCTTCTTTTGGCAGAGATTTCTTCATGGCAGTCGAATACAAGTACTTACCTCGGGTAATTAAATGGGTAATTAGGAGAATATATGTATTCGTTGCTATAGGAGGCTGAAAGCTCCTCCGTCTCTGAACCTGAAATGAAATAAGACACAATCGTGTATCCATATACACACTTTAATGATACAAACTATACCACATTTGACTAGGATCAGTATCCTAATTCGAGAGAGAGGCCACAGTATCCTAATTAATAATGGGGTGACAAAGATAGTCACAGCTCAACTTTCTGTCATTTTACACGGCTGTATATACCCTACTATGAATAAAGACTGCCAGACAATTCATTATATCTTGTATTCACAAAGGTGTTGTTCAAATTGAAATTTGTGTCAATTTTCAAATCTTAATATCAAAAGAAAAGATCCCCGGGATCATGAAAGTGGTCTTAGCTCAAATTTTGCTAAGCACGAATTTTGTCTTAAGTTTTTAAGATTTTGCTTAGCTAATATTCGGTCTAAGACTGGATCTTGAAACAGGCTCAGCAAAATCTTAGCTAAGTCTAAGTCTAAGACCGTCGTCATAGGGACACGCGCACGTAATAGCGCACTACGGTAATCATTGGATGCCGAGGTTATTTTTCTGACGCACATTTTCCTAAGATCGGAAAAGTGAAGGTTGTGCGAAAATTGCGCTCACTCGGCACTGGATCTACCTCCGGCTATAAAATTACGCAGCGATACAGAATATTGAATTTCCTATCTGATGGTGTAAATGTAACTGTAAATGTTAAACCGGTTTGAAAAAAGACGCTGCTAAGTTTTGTCCGAGAATTTATTCTGCGTCGAAAAACAGGAAATTTCTCCGCTATTTAGCGCACATCGATTAAAGTACTATGCGACATTTTTTTTTCATTTAGCAGCTTAAGCGAAACTGTGAGCGAACAAAATACTGCCTAATATTTGAAAGACATAAATATATATCAAATGGAGTTATATGAGTATGTATAACGACATAAATTCAATGGAAAAAATAGCCTGCCGTAAATGACGAAAACTGATTTACCTCTATGACGTCAAAAGGCGACAGAGAGGTTACACACGTTCAAAGGAAAGGGGGCATAACTCTGCTATGCTTAGCACTAGTTTATTGTAACTCAGGTCACTTGGTGATAATAACTGTGGGTAAGGACAGTGTATTTTGTGGTGTTTTGTTCACGAGGAACCAAACTATTCCAACACAAATATCGATATTGAAACTGTATACGTTTAGGCATAAAAAAAACATCAGAAATGATGAAATTGTACTTCATAAAAAATAACTGATAGCGAAATGGATGGCCCTATGTAACCATAAATTATTTGTGCAAGTGTAATTTGACTAATGTTGAACCTATATAAATGGATCACTTGCAGTATCATCAATAGTAATGAATTACTAAGAAAATGACACAATTCTATTTGACGTCATGGCTCCTTGTATGTCTTTGATAACGTCGGAGAAAGACGACACTGGTATTTTGATTGACATGTATCTCCCCTAATTTTCGTGCATGGTATGGAAAAAGTCCATGTTTAAAACGGAATATGACGCTTTTTCGACACAACATAAAAATACTGCGTTTACCATGTAAATGATGTCTTGAATAGATAAACATTTCGATAATGTACAGTGTAATTTAATTGGACATGACACGCACCTGTTTGGCATCAATTTTACGTAATCAAGTACTCAAAAGATTATTTCAAACTAAACAAAATTATTATTCAATATTGGACATGTATCTGTTCATTATTATGTAATTATTTCTCATCATCTTGTTCCAAAATTATACCATAAGAGATGCGAAGAAAGCTCTCTTGGTATAGAATTGTCAGGATAATCGTATAAGGATAATCGTCCACCAACGGGGTACATGGCACGGGTTATATTTTAAAACCTTTTTACAATTCTTGGAGAATTATATAAAAACAGTTTAATATCCTGTGGTCACAATATTTGATTAAGGATGAACACATTGATTGTATAATGCAAAACTAGAAGAATAATTCATAAGTCGTTTGTGACTAACGTGCACCTGGCGAATCGTTAGATATCACTGTATATCAAACGGCATAAAATAAATTCCAAGACAAAGACAATTCTTCTAGAAATGTGTGCATATATTTTAACGAAAAATAATATCAATTTTCTTTAAGTTATAACTTCAATTTACTTATACGGCTATTCGTGGACACTGTTTATATGAACTTATAATATTGACTATAACACTCCCTAGAAATACAATCATGTTGCAGTTGTATTTACATTTCATCTAGTATCACTTATCCAAAATAAAGAAATATCGTATACGACACTATAAACTTATCAATTTCATATGTAAACATTGTTCAAACAAACAGGATATTATTCAAGGTTCATACACGCTGTGGCCTATATCTACTTATGATATCATATTGAACATTGATTAATATCCAAAGTGAAATTAAATGTGTGAAAAAATGAACAAAAGACATGCACGATCTACATCATAATTGAAACTGTAAATAGCAGGACACAATGATCTTGTGTACTATGGTCAGGCTCGCTGACTTGGTTGATACATGTTATCGATCCCAATTGCGTGGATCGATGCTCATGATATCAGTCACTGGATTGTCTGGTCCAGACTCGATTATTTACAGACCGCCGTCATATAGCTGGAATAGTGCTGAGTGCGGCGTTAAAAAACCAACCAACCAACCATTCAAGGACCTTCACCTCAAAGAAATTACTTAATATGTACAACATATGTTGACGAATGACATCACTACCTGTGACCGACTTTTACAAAATGGCGTGTTGACTGTCAACAGTACGCGGGATTTTACAAGGGGACTTTCGTTGATTCAGGGTTCCTATATACATAAATGTGACATGTAAGTAATCAGACCCATTCTGACAATCTGTGTACTGTTATTTGTTGTTATATTTTTCATTGAAACCAACGGAAATAGTCAGAAATTCCGATAAATACCGTTGTCGTTGTGCGTGATTTTGCGTCAGTAATCGCGTAATACTGGACAGGAACTTCGACAAGTTCTGTTGAAAATATCAAATCATTGCAATGTATCTAATTTTAATTCCCTAATTCTCCCTACGATTCTCTTCCCGTGTATATTCTGAATAGACGAATGGCTTTGTTTACATTTCCAACAAGTGCACTTTTTTCAGCGTTCGTTTTCACACCTCATTTATTTTGCTTCATTACATCTAAACAACTTGTATTAGTGACAAAGACCATTTGGCATTTGATTCTAAAATGTATGAGGAATTCAAGGATGTAGGTATCGCAGCTGATTTTGAAATATACGTGATGGTATTTGCGTCTCATTACCGGTGTACGTATAACGTGATTTTGTAAACACTATCCAATATGGCTGACACAAAACGACTGAGCAACTTAAGGTGAAAAGCCCCAGTGGCAACAAACTGAAGGAATATCAAAACTTGAATGATAGGTGGGAGACTGTGGGAACGCTGAGCGGGGTAGAATCTATGCCAGTTAATCACCGGTTAGACCGACGATGAAAATTTTTGTAGAACGACGAAATCTATATCTCTCAAAGAGCTCTTCGTCGTTGTACAGATCAAGAGGGTTGAATCGGTCTCGAAATGTCCGATGAATTGCTATTTTGTCCTTGGGGCGAACGCATGAGGCGAACAACCTCCGCCATCTTTCTTGCTACAAATTTTGTCTTAAGTCTACTCAGGGGCAGTCTTAGGACTTAAGATCAAATTTTGTCTTAGGCTTAAGATATTCTCACCGATTGAGCTTCGTGATCCCCGATTTAAGACAAAAGTCTAAATCTTAAGAGTTAAGACAAAATATATGGTCTTAAGTTAGTTTCATGATCACGGCGCCTGGAAACATATTGTATCGACTTCAGCTACGTGCACTTAAAATTCCTTTTGATAAAAGAGAGTCGTATTAAACATGCATGTTCTAAATCGCAGAGTGTAATATACAAGAACATGTCCGCGGTTACTTTGCCTTAGAGTATACATGCGCAGGAAAGAGTCAGTACTCGCCAGGGCCGTATACTGCCCTGTCACATGTACTGCAAAACGTGTATACAAAATCATATGTTTCCAATGTTGGAATTGCGCATCCACGTTTCGTACCACTGAAGTGTCCCGCCTTGAGAAGCATTTGAAATCCTTTGCTTCTGGTCGAAGAGTCAGAGTGGAACCTGACGCTGATGATGTGACCGGAACTGATGTAGTCAAGGTTGTCATCCCCACAGTACCTCCCTGGGTCCGATACACTGGATCTCATGCCTGTGCATACAAACGTGTTAAGTCAGCTATTGCAATACCAATCATCTGAATGATATCATAATGCATACTATTTAACGCTGCTTCGAATCGTAATAACACCAAGCTTTGCACACCGTCGGCTGAAAAGCCTCAAATAGACGTCACATTAATGAAACTCATGAGCCCTTCATTCACTAACCAAGAAAAACATAATTGGACGAATCACGAATGAGACCGAAGGAAAGCAAGACTTTAAATTGCAGTACACTCCTCAGATAATGCTTTAACCACATGGCACAACCTTGAAATCCGTCGAAATGATGAAAAAGGATGTATTTTCGTTTAATGTGCTGCTGCTTCCATTTAATCATATTGTGTTTACACTGTTTTGTTCCAATTACTCGTTCTATATATTGGAGTATAAGAAAAAGAACATGTCAAAATATACAATTACAATCATAATTACCGTCGCATATTTCCAGGTAATCGTAAGAGCATTGGGATGTTGATTCAATCAGTGTGTTTCTGACTTTAGCTTCAATATTCGTGTTTGGTGGAGCATATATGATCCAGTTGCAATCCTGGCGGCTGAAATTACAATCATTACAGACTGGTGTATTTAATCCTAGTCAGTCCACTCTGGGAAACATAAAGGTATCAAAGATGTACCAGTTCATGATGTAATCGCCTCAGGTGGTTTTATGTCCACAAAATGTCCATCTGAGATAATGTTTTTAAACAGTTTATACTCAAACGTTACTAAAAATGTAGCGACCGTAGAGAAAGTTGCATCTTAATCTTCAAAGGTCTTGTAAAACAATATACGAAAGCTGATCTTCCTCTTGTATAAAATCAACATTATATATGAAATTGTGCCCCGTACTTGCTGAGCCGTTGCTTTGCACATACAATTACTTATATAATAACCTGTAATATGGCCATGTGTTCCCGTGATTTTCATTTGTACAATTGATTTGCCTTTGCATGTGTGTGATGGATGCCACCAGTGGGGCAGTATATGCTAAACGTTTCGCGAACATGGTATCATCACTATGTGACCGCTATTCGTAAACACACGCTCATGATTTAGCTGGAATAGTGAAATTGATTTTGATTTTTAAAATAGTTTTGTCGCTTCTTTCAGCATAACTTTGTTTGTTACACAGTCTATTTTTCCATTACTTAGTTATCCAATTTACTGATCAAACACATTTTATCTAACAAAACTAGTACATAACAGCAGTTGGAATAAATAAACAAAACATACGAAGAAACTTTTTGAGTGCTCTGTGTGCCTTTCCTTGTGTGCCTTACAAAGTTGTTTAAGTTGCTTACCTTTTGCTAATCTTCGCAATATTAGTAGACATTAAAACTTTATTAATCATCTTTGTGATGGACTCTTGGGGTTCATGAATCAGGTGATACAACTTGAAAAGGTATTGCAACGAGCTGACTATAACTGGTACCGTTGACTAGCACTAGTGAATATTATCTACCCACTACCGCTGATTGAATTTCTCTATTTTGTGATTATATTTTTAGGATAAAGTTGCTTAATCTCTCTGTCTTTGGTGAGCCAAGAAGTTATTGTTAATTTTTGTTTATCTGGGGGAAGTATGTTGGAATATTTTCTATATCGCCTGTTAGAGTTTTTGATAGCTGAACTGAATGTGAATAACATGACTCATGGACCCGAGTTGAAATTATGGTGATGCATAACGTTCAACATAGTTCAAGTTATATTCTGGTGTAACAAATTGTATATTTGGGATAACACTTTCTGAGTAAAGTACAGATTCTCGTACTTTTGGGGGTCCGGGATTCGTACCCACATTGCCAGAGTGAGGCACCTAATCGCCAGCACACAAAGTCAGCGATCTATCCGACTCAGCCGCCGAGACTTCCACACGAAAATGAAAGTCCTACAACTGGTAGTCTAGATCACGTACTTTGTGTACCCCTCTGACCAGTGTGCTGACGATTAAGTGCCTCACTCTGGCAGTGTGGGTTCGAATCCCGGACGGGACTCAACCCCCAAAAGTACCAAAATCTGTACTTTACTCAGAAAGTGTTATCCCAAGTATATCATTTGTTACATTTGACCACTTTCTAAATGACATTGTGTTTTTATATTCATATGTTCATTTCTAAAAATATTTTAACAAGCTATATATTTAAATTTCATCAATTACTGTCCCCACATGTCCCAATACGACAATCCCTATCGAACACTGAGTATTATTTTCGTGTGTGCAAATGCTGCCTGTCATTACTTGCAAGGTTGTATACATTTTCTTACTTTGGGTATGGCCCAGGATAGTTAGGCGATGTCAAGGCTGTATAGTCAGCCGTAGTAATATTCAATGTCCTTCCGCAAGTATATGGTTCTGAAAAAGATTTAGTTAGTTCATTTGGAACCAACACCATTGAATGGACATTATTTCATTTATATCACATATATATTTCGAAGCGAGTCGTAAACATTTGCTTTGTGGAAACCAACGAGCACGGTTGTGGTGCTGACACACTCAAGTTTCAAAATAACGGCTAATTTGGAATTCGTAACCGTCACTAGCAGTGTCTGTCACGACTAAGGCGCCTAATTCTGCAAGCAAAATCCGGCGTCACAGACAGCTGCTCCATCCATGCGCTTGACTTTTAAAACGCCTTTCACTCTGTGTGCTATGTTGTATATAGTTACGGACATTTGAGTTGTTCGTCTATTTGACAACTTTGAAGTTAAAAATTATAAAAACGTAAATACCATGCGTTTCCAAATAGGCCAACTTGAAACCTCTCTGATGTCCAAACAAATATGTATGGAACTGAACCGTTATAGCTGATCCACTGCTTTGAAGGGTCGGTCGTGATTGGCCGCACCAGAATAATAACGTGTCATTAAAGATCGAAGGTCCTGGAATGAATGATTGTGGCAATGTAGCACAAGCAAAGTATGAGTGCAACTGCAAATGAGAGATTGAGTGGGCTTAGCGCTAAGAGGAAAGTCTCAGGTGATGCTTTACTTAAACCAAGAGGAAAATGTAATAGTTTGTTCTAATGAGAGCGGATCTGGAATCTAACAAGAAAGACATTCATTAACGAAAAGTATTCAAGTCAAATATACAGTTGGCCAGTTCAAGAATGCTTATTTTGTTGGTTTATGTCACAATAAACTTACTGGTGCAAAATATCAACATCACACGTGGAAAACAGACAAAATTTACAAATTGGTCAGGAAAGAGCTCAAACTTATGTGTATCATAATGTCAAGTCAGACAAGCTTGTTCTTTTAGATTTGAATGCCAAATTTAAAGATCACTTTTGTAAATATGTAGGTTTCATAATGATCAGGACAATTGAATGAATTTCCCGCCACACACATGGAATTCGAAAAGAAAGCATGAATTTCCTAAATATCTTTACCCCATATATTTATTTCATTTTTGAAATTGCCATACTCGAAAGAACTTGTAAACAAAGAACTAGATAACTCTGATAGTTAATCATGTCGGCATAGAATCTGTCCGTAAGATGGCTGTGTGCCGTTGGAGCCGGATAAATCTGAACGTTGTCAAAAAATGAGTTATAACACCATATTTATCAAAATGCACATTAACAATTATTGCAATTTTGATGTTTCTGGACTAAGTGGGTATAGATGAACACAGTGGATCATAGAGATGCAGAAAGTACGCATCACTATGTAACGTTTTCTCTCCATTGCATTTTCACAACAGACTCGTATTGAACTGTAAAGGTTTTGTTTTGAAAGTGATACACATAGATATACCATCAAATAGTGTTTGTAACTCACCGTCGTAAGCCGTAACACGGTCAAATTTGCAATTTACGTAACTTCTATCTGTAGAGTATATATCCGAGTCAATGACGTCGATGCGCACCATCATATTAGGATTAGAAGCCGTAATTGTCCACAAACATTCTTCATTGCTGCAACATGTAGGTGATGACACAGTTAACTTATGGATTTCAACTTCTTTATTCTCTATTCTATTAATTCATTTTGTTTAAAATCGCATAATGAAAAAGAAATAAGATGTCACGTGATGATATATGTAAAACAACATTAATTTTCATGACAATTATGTGTTGATTTCGTAGATACGTTTTGTCCAATGTAGACTGAAGGAATCGTACTTTGTTTCTGCAAGCATTCACGCACGCACACATGCACTCATGCAATCACGCACGTATACACACATACACACGCATGTTGTAGTTGATTGCTTACCTTGGATATCGTACAGGGTATCCAGGGGACTGTAAGTGTTGTGGATGTGTGGTTGCATTAAGGAACTGAGAGCCACAGTCCGTTGACAGGGTCGGTACAACTGAAACATTGACGTATTCAATCGTATTGTGTCAGAAGGCTGTACAATATACAAAACACAAAACTGTGTCTCTTGTGATGTCCTAAAATCCGAAGACTGTGTCCGTGCCAGGTGCTGATTTACCTATATTTACATCAATTTCGGGTGATGTTTCAGTTTTGTTTAGTTTTAGTTTTGTCATCTAGATTTCTTTACCTACCTTTCCGTACACTGTGTGAAGCTTTGATTCGAAAGCCCCGACCACTAGTGTCATCGTTGGTTTTGAATACCATTTTCATAACCATTCCATTGGAGTAGTACGGACCAATTGAGGTTATTGAAGAATCACCACAAAACTCTCCAATGCGACTTCCACCTAGATTCAGAACATATATTCTCCTCACAAAATAATACGCAACAGAGATTATTTTGTTGATAGCTTCGTCATTCCTCGCACCTTAATTGTACAGTGAATTTTTCTGCCTCTTTGGTATACTTCGGTGCACACATTTCAGAGTTGCAAATTGCGTTGATGAAAACGTTATGCAGAAAAAAGTAACTTTTGTTGATATGTTTTTGTGATGGGTATATTAGAAAACTTCCATCAACCTAAAGTCTGTGCAAGATATTTTTTGTGAAATACGCGCATTTATCTCTGACACGATTCACCCAACTTTAACCTAATGAGTGGGTGTTAGCTTGACGCTTCATTTGACACTATTAAGTAATTTAATGGTTAAATATGAGAGGAAAGTGATGCAGGTCGAAGCAATTCCTAGAAATGTTGTATACTCAATGGTAAACGTAGATGTCATCGAATACTTTTATTGAAGATTATGATTATGGTGACGTGGACTTCTAATTGTGTTTTACTACTTGTCAATGGCAAATTCGATGACGTTTCAATGGGGTAACACTCAACTATTCGTCACTTTCAAACCCCCATACGCCTTAAAAATGTGAGAGTATGTAGACCACAGCCAGGTCAAGATCTCTTGTTTGTGAAACTCTGTCACATACCTTGATAAAGTGAAACTGAGTCATTATCGCAGTGCGGGTAGGCGCCATCTAAATCAGAGTTGAGGATGTCTAGTTTCAAGTTTCCTGCCATTGAATGTCCGATATCGGCCAGTTCTATGACGCATTTCAAGTTCCTGAAACAATGGTAAACGTTATAGATTCAAGTCTTAACATAACACACTTAAACGTAGAGTACAAAATGTCTCTCACAGATTCCATTTAGCGTGACTTTACAGGAATATGCTGATGTGGATTTAAACAAAATTCTTTCCACAATCTGAAACAAATCTCCATTGCGCGAATACGATTATATCAAAAGCATATGTTTTTTAATCACAATGATATAGTGTTGTTACCAGGGGTTCGCGGATAGGTGAGCACATCCTTCCCCACCGTCACAGACACAAACAAAGTAAAGTAATTTGTTAACCATGCAAAAAACACTGGAACCAACGGCACAAGTAAAAATATAACATTATATCGGACATCAAGTTGGCCATAGAAAAGTCAAATTTGAAAAAAATGTTCTCCACGTGTCTGCCATAAACATTTTGAACGCTTTGCTAAGGCCTTAGATTTTGACAAACAACGTTTGAGCAAAACTTATATGGTGTTCTTAGAAATCTTCGAAGAAAGTAGCATGCTCGATTGTACTTCAACAGTTGTGAAAATTAGAACACGTAGGCTGGAGCTTCTGGAATAATGTTCGACATTAAGGGTTAGTTTGCTTTTGGAAAGTTGAATTCATCCCTCGTGTCCTTCTGTTTTGTAGACAGTTTTTTTTGTCACTCTGAATCCTTATGCATATTTCAAAATATGAAGCAGATTATGTGGTTTCACCGGTCTCTGTATTTCGAGTTCAGATGGGTAAGGTAAATTAGTGTAAGAGAACTGGCTATTTGACCGTTACTGAACGATATCGGGACATCGATGTACCTGAAGCACAAATGTAACTTAACTGCTGAAATTCTGTTTCATATGCACAAATCTTCACAAAGAAACAGATGAGAAGGAGGGGGTTGAATTTGTACCTACAGGGATACCTACTTCTTGCCAAAATGTCTCACCCCGAGATTTCACATAGATGTTCTATGAGGTCCAGCATTTCACATATTGTTTTAAAGGTAAATATCGGATGATATTTGCTTTCATCTTTGACAATGTGTCCTGAACATTTGTAGATAGAGACCAAACTCGTGGTCATCACGTGATGTTCATTGGCCTATGGAATTAACATTTTCTTCAAGTTTGTCAATGGGGATATAATTTGACAGAATAAATTGGTTCTTTTCTTAGATTGCTACAATTCAAGCAAATCCTTTGCTTTTTAGAATCAAATTTGTATTAATCCCACTCGTGTCAAATTCTTTCTGTGAATCTAAAGAAAGTCCTTCCTCGATTGTATTAAGGATTATTGTCATTCTATGCGACAGGGGTTTTGTGAAAGCGTGAGTGAGTAAGTTTTGAATATTATTTCATTTATATCGAACATTGTAGGATGGAATCCCAAAGTGATGCAGGTTTTAGTACACGGTAATGATGCTGACAAACCCAGAAATGTATCAGATCGAATCTGGAAACCCTGTAAGACGATGTCCCGAATGTATACTTCGCAGAATTAATAGTAAACATCACTCTTCAGTGATATGCATTAGTTCTGACAGTGAGTGAAAGTACTTAGTTATTGCGCTGTTTAGTGTCGAATCGGCTTAATGAGGGAGGAAGCCCAAACAAGTCAGAAATAAGACTACCGTAATAGTTAAATTACACCCAACTCGGAATCAATATTTATGAGTCCCTCATAGAATAAGCATTTTCAAAAGTAATGATCATTATTGATTCATAGATAAAACATAATTCGCATATCATAGGTTATTCACTCTTAATGTGACGTTGTGCTTATTATCCTTAGGATTACGGCATCAAACAATGACTGATTGGCACGTTAGTCATATATGAATACAATCCTTTCCTTGAATACTCTGCGGATGAGAGGGTTCATCACATAAAATAAAATAAAATGTCCATGTGACTGCATTATACCGTGAAACCATGTTTATTTGAATTCTCGATAACTGTCTAGATGTTTAAAGATGCGATATTACGTGAATTGATTCGTTTATCCAAACCTCTATTGATCCGAACGTGCTATACGAATGACAAGGTTTTCCTGTATACGGGTAGTAGAATATGTGATTTAACATACCTGTCATAAGAGTCGGGGTATCCAGGTGACAGAATGATGATGGGTGTGGAATACACAAAATACGTATTATTGCAGTCGCCCTCTGTAGCAATGCCAAATGTATTTGATTAATTTCACATAATTTCGATATTCTGTCGTTAGCATACTCCATTACATAAATACAAATATGAATATCCAAACAAGTTCGTGACTATAAATATATACGCAGAGATCCATTTATTGTTTGTGAACTAAAACATCAATGTCCATATCATATATATACATGTTGGTAATGTTAATTCTGAACTCGTCTTTAAAGTGATGCAAACTGAACAATGGACTATTGCCTGATCAGTGTGTGTCCATATCTTGTAATCTTGCAATGTGAGACACATTTCCATTTCCATGAAATACCTAATAAACAAACAACCGTTATTGTATAATGACTTAATATAATTGATATTTGCATAGAAACGTGAATCACACTTGCTCCGATTGACAGACGTATCAAGATTAATGTCAACAACAATGGCAAGCCATAGCAAAGAAGCGTGGATATCGGCCCGTACATTACAATTGGGTCTTGTCGAGAACATGACAACCCCGTCTCGTTGGTGATAAGCCATAGGTTGACAGAACATGTGTGGTGAAGTATGTTGGAATGTTGGCTCATCAGCACGTCTATACATATTGTGAAGTAGATATTTATATTATCTTCCATATTCGTCTTTATTATCTGATACATTTACTTATCCGATTTTCAGATCATTTATAATATATGAATCTTTGATATCAAAACGTATACAGAGAAATATTACTTTGATAGGGTAGGTACACGTAGGTAGAATTACAAATGTAGTTGTCAATCAAATACCTTTTCGTGCAACATATTGTAGCATAAAGCCTTGCTTAGTTGTGCTCCCATCGGTGGTGAACTGAACCAACAGTGAATTCTTCGAACTTTGGTATATTGGCATCTGGTTAGAACAGGATTGTCCAAGATATTGATCAGCTGAAACATTAAAAATGTTAAACTCACCCTTGGTATATCTATCCTTATATATAAAAAGAAAAGGTGATCTAATACTAGTATTCACACTGTAGTGATAGACTAAATATAAACCTACACTGCATAAATGTTTCCATGTCCACACTCTCGCATCCATATACAGAATGCTCATGATCAGACATTTGCCACATCCAGTGGGTTTACGCCTCCTCGCCAGTCCTAAAAATATTTCCTTCGTTACTACATTATCAGCCGTTATTATCTGTTGCAAAATGAAGTCAATTCTGTTTGGATCAATTTAAATAAACTATGCCTGTGTGTTTGTTATACTTATTGTATAATGACGTAAGTATGTGAGTGAGTAGATGTTGCCAAATGCCCCACTAACAATGTTTCCAGCTGTAAATAATCGTGTCTGTGACAGAAAACTCAACTGTTGATATCACGAGCACGACATCAGATAAGTTCCTGCCTAACATCCTGACAACCAATTAGTAGATTATTAAAAAAATAATAAGAAGAAAAAATAATAATATGATTAATAAGAAAAATATAATCACAGATTACCAGAGAACTTCTATGACCCTGAATCTAAGAGATTACTATGCTGTAATTATGATTGCGCTTATTGTTGTACATGCCAGGTACATGTATACATATATATCCAAGTACCTTCAGTTGTATTTCCGTTATACACACTCAGGACATCAAAGCGGCAGCCATGTGAGGAAGAGACCTCAATTTCTGAATGTAGAGTTGTCAGTCCAACTGTGTCGTTTTCATTTTCCGATGTTATGACCCACGTGCAGTTAAGACCACTGAAATAATAGTTTTGAGTATTGCATGTTCCCCTTTAAGATAAGATGTAGGATGAAAACATGTAAAACAATCTCTTGCTTTAAAGTTCTTTGCAAAAATGTACATTATTAAGAATTGACTGCATGTCGTATACAGCCCATTGCACACAACAGTCGGTGTTTCTTGGCAACAATACAAATATAAAAAAATCTAATTTTATAGTGTAGGGTTCAGTTAAAGCCTCGTTTAATTTATAGGCAATATCGTGTTCCGATTTGTGTAATAGAAATAAACAAGTATCTTACAGTGAAGTTTCCTGAAAACAACAGAATCTAAATTCGAATTTAGGCAATTAGCAGATATTCGACAGCGGCAATGGGCGAATTTCATCCTCAAGCATCTTGTTTAAGGTTTACTTCAGTAATTTGAGGTCGCAAGTGTACAGTTCCTCTTCGGAACTGCTGAATTGAGTCTGCACTCAGTAATAATGACGAAGTTGCTAATTTCAGAAATAGTTTGTGGTAGAGCAATGTCAAGAACTTACTTAAAGTAGGTGTAAGGATACCCCGGGGAGGTGATGTTTGCCACTTGTGATGTTGCTGTCAGCGTTCCGCCGCATTCTGCAAAAATAACAGCTTTCAACATAAAGGTAGATTGGGTGGATACCTAAGGAAACATTTTTCAGGGTTTATTTTATTTCTACAAGGAAGTCTAAACTTTGATTTTCCTGAAACGTAATTGATAAATGGTAAATAAATTGGGTAAGCATCTTTGAAACGAGTGTTTTTTATGACAAAAGAACATTTCTGTATATAGTCTTACAATGAATATCCATGTCACAGTCCCCGGGTGTCTAAAACTTTATGTGTGGCTTTACGTATTTTTGCTATACCCACTGTGAAGTATGTCAAACTATAGTACATTTGAGTAGCTACACATTATGGCCATGAAGTTGTTGAATCGGTCGGTTTAGACGAGGTAATATACATGTATCCTTTGAGCCCTGAGTTTTGTGGAAACCCAAAGTAACACTTTACTTTGTTCTATTTTGCAGATGTAGCGGTGGTCACACACTAGTTACAAAACGCGATTTAAATCTTCTAAACTGCCTAGAGAGTATTGAGAGATGCAAAACACATTGAAGCTATTCACATTTCATTTTCATTATGACCTTTGTAACTGTTCGGTAGAATTCGCATACCGAAAACGTATTAACAGTTGCCACCATTCACGTATACTCACTTTCAAAGTCAATGACGACGATTCGAAACCCTCCTGCATTCACGAAGGAATCAGAGGTAAACTGTATGTACATGCTATCTCTGCTACTGAGGAAACTGCGTGGGTCTGTGTCAGTGCCACAAAATTGGAACAGGGGTCCAGTTGAATTGTCTGGTCCTGGTGACAAAAACATCTCAATGATAACATTTATGTCTGATAGTTTCGTCCAGACAGGCACACGCATACACGCATGTTTTCTTTTTATTATAATTACATTGTGCATCTATTATTAATTGAAAATTATATCTAAGACAGTACTAGTAATCTTAACATTCGTGTAGAAGCTTGTTTGAAATCTGCAAGATTAGTGTGAGTATACATTACTAATGTAAATTGGCCAATCGTCATCTTTACCCTCAGGGTTAGGCATGCTTACCCTTTTCGCGAAACACGCAAAACATGCTCATCATTATGGAAATACCTTCTTCAAATCTCCACAAATTGTAGCTTCCAATCTCCAGATCATGGTATCACGTTTAGATTATTTTAGAAATTGTTGTGCTTACCATCGTAGAAGGACAGCCTGTCGTATTGACAATGACGGGACGATTCCAAGGCAAAGTATACAATGTCAACGCCCACTCGGCGGTCGATGCTCGAAGCATGTATCCTCCATGCATATGTTAAGTTACTGAAATAAACAATTGTCAATATTATTTAAATGCTTCCAGATCGCGTAAGAAATTATGGGTTTGTTGCTGAGTAATATAATAATGTAATAATTTAGTTTAAATAAATGATAACTCAACATCACTGATGGATTGGACATGTTTTACCTCGGAAAACAGACCGAATTGTATTCGTGTTTAATTCTCAGCTTCCGGTGAAGTAATTACATATATGCTGTTGACATAGTGGTTTGGTTGCCGACATATATTCACAGTGTATAAACACTACCACCTTATGATCAATGCAAGTGCATGAAAGGTGGTCCCATTTATACATAATAGATATCTGATTGGTCCATATATATAACAATATCCACACTCAGTTGTATAATTAGCATCCGAATTTTCATAAAATATTATAATATGTATTAAGCATTTCTATGTACATCTTATGTTGGACTCCCGTTTTACATAACTACTTGTATTGCACCAGAAAGAGAACACATGTTTTTGACAAAAACAATTGATGCTTACGCGCCATATTGTTTGGGAAATCCTGGCGATGTAATGTTTACAGCTCCCCCTGTAAGTGTGATTTCCTCGAAACGTCTGCCTGTAAAGATATTTAATTACGCATACAAACATGCATACACACGAGAAATAGAACTAGAGCTTATGATATTCGCACGAGGAACTCGGGTGTTTGCAGACGTTCCTCACTGTTATGAAAAGAGTTTTGTATTTTTATAGGCATATGTACTTATTTATCATATTAACCTTACGTCCTCATTGGTTTAGTTACCGATTAACGTGTACTGATATTTACTGGTATATGGGCTTTTGGGCGATCTGTAAAATGTCAAATGTCATAATTATGACAACTTTTTAAAGCTAGTAAAAAAGTGTACATTTCTTGCCCTTTATTTATATTATATTCATCTTTGAACTGTTTCTAACAGTGTCTAATCTATGACACAGTGTAGCCTAAGGTATACAATGACGTGCATGTGTTAAAGTGTACAAAATCTAGTTTTCAGTCAGATCAAATGTATCTGATAACAACTTTCTGATAGTCCAGAATCTATAATTTTGTACATCCTGTGGACCAAAAAAAGGCACTTGTCACACGTTGTCAGTTAACCCTTTCATTTTTTATGCTCCAGGAAACCTTGGTGTTCTGTACACACTCTTTAGTTGTACCAGTGAGTAAAGCTTGACAAGTCCAAAGTATAGGGAACGCCTATGAGCATTCAGTGTACCAATGTATAACTTGACAAGTAGTTTCTTGAGGCATTTCGGCAAAGTAGGGATATTTACATCTGGGCACTGCAACTGATTCTGTTTATACAGAGAAATAGAGGTTATCCCGCGAGTGTGTTTGGGGATGGTAAATATCCTGCATTAGGAATAAACAAGGCTCGCTAAATACATCGTGTTTATTCCTAATACAGGATATTTACCATGCCCAAACACACAAGCGTGATAACCTCTTTATCATATAATGTCATTATTTAATTCTGTGCTTTAAAATCGCTTTCCCTCTCTCACATACATTACCGAAACATTGCGAGTTTTCCTGGAATGCGCGCATTAATATTTATTACGTCACAGGGTAAGCGGTGTGTCAGTCGGACAGGGACAGTAGCCAATATAGTTCGAACTGAAATATGTTTCTTATACAGTGGCGAAGCAACATATACGCAAAACAACAATAGTTTTTAATTGCCTTTCGCGGCAATCCATCGGTCTGTCCGCTAGAGTAACTGCCCTTTGTCAAAGGGAAGCTACTCTAACCCTAGTCTATGAGACATCACGGCCACGGTCAGACGTCGTTGACAGTCGGTCTGCCCTATAACGATAAGAAGTGTAGTCAGATGTACACACAGCGACAAAAGGAAACAAGGTAACAATTCAAACATATTTCGGCCAAATCCATCTATTTTAATTTGTGGAGAAGGTTTCAAGCCGCAAAGGTCTACAAGCACAGATATATGGCTACTGATCCCGCTTGGCTAGGCCTCGTGCCCTCGCAAAATTGTTTCGAAATTTATATCTCTAAAGTTGCCCAAACTTATAAAACTGTTCTTTTGATAATGATTGCAATTATCCCTGTAGTTTATCCAGATTCCCGATGGTTAATTCTTACTCGATCGCCGAATGACGAGGGCGACGCCATGTTTGTTTATAAACAGAGAAAGTAGTCCCTACTTGACCTTTGATATTTGCATCTCTGTCCGCATATGATCCCAACGGATATCGTTTTTATCCGTTGGCTTTATCCTGCCGAGAAACCTACCCATTATATGATAAATCATGTTATCAGGTCAGTTCCGACTCCAGTGCAAACTAAATGTAAGGATCAAGGAACAATTTTTATAGAATTCCCTTTTTATGACATAATGATAAACGTAGACGGAGATTGAACAGAAAGTTGAATCTGGTCAAAATGAATTCAACGGCATATTCCTCATATTACTGTTTTCAAAACGGGTAATTATAAATGTCCGTCTTTGGCAACCTTGTGTCAATATCTACACGTAGAATCGTAAACAATTACCTGTACTAGCCTGTACGGCTAGTAATGACGACAGGGTACCGAGAAGGACGGCTACAGTTTTGTATATCCCCAACATTTGTTTAAATCCAAACGCCAGCTACCTGTACATCCAACAAACTCGGGTGCTCAATGTAATGGCGAATTCTCCGTGTATGTAGTGTCGATATGAAGGACAAGCTGTGACGTCAGCGATACGTTATCAACTGACTACCAACTTTGTTTGCTCAGTTGTCAGGTTTGAAGGCGTTTGAGCGATTCATGGTTTGCTTGATAACGGAAACGTAGTTCTGTCGGTGATTTGGCATACAATCATCATTCATACAGCATCAATAATTAGCTCGTCATACCGATTAACGGCATGGTCTACATTTATAATAAATCTGATTAACCTGGACAATTAGTTCATTGTACCAAAAAGCTAACTATTTGTTGATGAATAATGTCTTGGTTACGAGTTTAACGATACTGTATTGAGAAAAATGAAGTTTCTTGTCCAAAATCATCACGTGTGGCGCGGTCGTCGAAAGCGTCGCAAACCGCTGTGAAGAGTTGAGTCCCTTGGGCACGCTACAAACCTGTGATTAAGTTTATTGATTTGCCAGCACGTTGGTTTCACCAAAGTGTGGCATGCATCACTTCCGGCTTTCCGCCCATATATATGATATATATAACTGGAATACTGTTCAAAGCGTAGTGGATACCCAACTCACTCACTCATCGAGTGACCTGACAAAATTGATATTTACCTGAGTGGCGCAGGTAACGAGATGAAATAAACATCATGTTATTTGATATGAAAAGACAAATAATCTATTCGAAGTGATCTTCATGATCTTACTCTGAATACAATTGTCAGGAACGCAGACTGAACGTAGTTCTGTGCTTCAGCGTCACTTAACACGAGTGACATATCGATCTCACATTTTTAGATGTATGTACTATATCATTCTTCGATAATTAACTGTCATTAGCCACGAAAAACTCTTAAAGTAATGTCGCTATATGGTATCTTATCGGCATTCGATTGTGTCTAATTTTTGATATCTCGATTTATATTTGATGGACACGGGAACTTTGACGTGCCATAATCACTGCTAATATCTTTGCCCATACTTAACTTCCGTCATTTTTGATGCCGTTGTTTCCTGCAGCATGGATGGTTTCGAATCCTAATCTTGATAGCTATAACCATTATGTTTTCGACACGCATTCATTTTCTCTCCTACCTCGTTATTCCTATTATCCTGCCTATTGTCAGTGACTCAGTGTTGACAGGATGACATGAGATTTGACCCCAGCAACAGCTCCGACTAGCAAGCACGACATGATAAACACCATATATGAATGAAAGTCGCGGTTGTTTCATTCGTCCGAAGTGATTATAAGCTATGCATTTAAGTGTGATAGTTAGTGTTACTTTTTTAGATGATCTTAATGCGTGAGTGAGTGGGTTGGGTTCTACGGTGAAGGGAACTACATCTTACACGATGTGCAAGTGTCCACGGCTAGAGTGAGAGAGTGAGAATCTGCGTTTTTAAGGCATCGTTGTTTTAAAATGGGATAAGTGACACCAGCAGAGATACAGTTAAGCTACGTATTTGAGAACAATACGCAAACTAATTTATATCATTCACCATTACCAATTTAATTTTAAGTTACCTGGGTACAAATACGCATGATTATGTTTTAAAAACTCAACAGTATGACAACGCTCTACGTAAAACCCGATTTATCCTTTTCAATTTTCATGCCTATATTTCTGTATATATCTTTATTTACTGACAGAATGCAGGCACACCACATGCATGAACCCTTCTCAACTGTTAAGAATAATGCTTAAACAAGGCTCCAGGTCTTGAGTTTTGTTAACTAGGGATGTATATCGGTGTTGTGACTTTATGCATCATGTTACATACTTGGGACAGCACATGAACAGATACTAATCAGAAGTCATCTAAAACAGCAGAATTAGTATTAAAAAATGTCCACTAACCTGAATGTAAATATCTCGCTATACATTAGTCAGCCCTTCTCCTGATGAGGGGGCACGGGTGGCCCAGTCGTCAAAGGCGCCGCGATTCGCTGTGCAGAGTTGCGTCCCTTGGGCACGCCAGAAACCTATGATCGTGGGTTCGAATCCCGGTTCGCCCCAATTATGGTTCTAGGTTTGTCAGCACCATACCCGTGCTTGTGGGTTTCACCGAAATGGTAAACATCTGAGACCTGCATCACCTCGGGCTTTCCTCCCACATTAAGCTGACAGGCCGCGATATAACTGGAATACTGTTAAAAGCGGCGTTAAACCCAACTCACTCACTCACTCCTGATGAAGGTACAAAACGTAGCCCCGAAACGTCGTTACAAACATTGAAGAAGTTATTATCCATAACATGTTTGCTGTGTTGGTGTTCAATCAACTTCTAAATACCTGTCAAGGAGTTTTCTATAAAGCAAGTTGGGGAAACTGAAATGAATTGTGAAATTTGCATGTGTCGGAATAAAACGACTTTGTGTACGAAATGCTATGAAGTGTCGAGGAAATATTAAGAGCATGAGCAAAAAATATGGAAATGAAATATGTGGATTTGAACTCGTGATGCTGTCTCAAAAGCCAGGAGAACCTTGTTTCCGCGTCCACTTTGTTATAGGCGCAAAAACGCAAGTACACACATGCATGACACATACCCCGCCACCATCTACACATTCTGTGATTGCGACACTTTGTTATCTTGATATGTCAGTGTGTGTGGAATATCATGGGTAGTTACCTCGACACGGCGTATACTCATTTGACAACAGCTGGAATGTCAAGCTCAGACACTCCTTCACTGTGATTCAAAGAAGAAAAATTGCAAGAATACGTTAACATTTATCATTGTGAACCAATGGCTCACAAAACATTTTTTAGCTTTGGACGTCCTCCTTATTATTTCATGTGACATGTTATTCGCATGTGTATTTGATAAGGCTCTATCGTTCATATAGTTACTCATCAACAATAAATGTAGTCATTGATGGTTGCACGAGTAACCAGTATATCCCCGATGGAAAGATCATGGCTCGAATTCTCAACTGTATTTCCGACTTTAGTATCAGCACAATAAATATATACATGAGTCTCCGAGTTACCGCCCGTCCGTCCCCCACCTTACACTCTTCCACGTTGTGACTTGCTGACATACTATGACGTGGCGTCAACACAAGCTAACTGATAAAGATGCAGTGTCTCTAACATACATGTACATGCTTTATACACCGTACATGTACCTGTATTTAGAAGCACATTGACTTTAACATAAGCCATTGTTTATGTATTGCACGACTTTGATATATGCGTTTCTGTATATGTTTGAAAGTATGTGACTTTTCAGTATTGTTTAATCATACAGATTCTCAACCTCTATTTAACGAACCATGATTTAGAATTATAAACATGGACACTTTAATTTTGTATATATTTTCCATTATACGAGTTGCGTGATACCTAAAACATACTAGTGTCCCTGTGATAGTAATGGTACTGAAATAATACACGTTTTTCAGTGCCAGTATGTTTCAAATGAAGGTTTTCCAATGACGTCAGGATGAAAACGAAATACATGACAATAAAGCTATATCAAGCCATTGTCTTCTTAGTTATTTGCCTAATAGTGTGTTAGCAATTTAGGTATGTAGATCATGCACTCGCAAATTGTAAACAATACATGTTGTTTTTGTTTTATGCAACATATTGGAGTGCAACGGAAATTGGAGTATTACTTGCAAATCAATACTAAATGTACATGAAATGATGGATACGTTTTGCAGATTGTTGAGCAGTTCATTTGGGGGCTACGAGAGAACTTTATCAGGTCAGGAAAGTTAATAAATTATCTTGGCAACACCACGTCCAGGTATGTTGCGTTTGAGAGATCTGTTAAGTGACCGGAAACATGTCCATGCACCTTTATGTTTTTGAATATTCATGCTGAGTAGTATGCGCTAACATAAGCTAAACGTCCTGCCTATTTTGTTACAAACGTAGTTTTTCAAATACATTGCATGATGGAAAAAAGACTGAGATGTGTTGTGTATTTACTTATTGTTCTTAATCTCACACTGTAGTGTGTTCAGGCAGATTGAAGGTACATATGGCATAAAGTGTTATTTCACTTCATTGTATAGTTTCTTAACACAGTACTGTAGTATGTCATTTACTACTGTAGTAGTTAGATCTGTGCATAAAGACTCAGGATGAAAACAAACTCTCCCAAAGACTGTATGACAAGAGGGATAATTTCAACTTTCCAATATCTTAATGTCGAGCAATATTCCAGCACCTCCAGTCGTTGGTGTCTACAAACGCTCAAAGTTTCTACAACATGCAAGGCCTAAGTAAAGATTTCTAAAAGCTTTATGGTAGACATGTGGAGGACATTTCCAAATTTGACGCATCAGTGACAAAAATTATGTCCGATGCAATTCTTTATTTTGACTTGTCATAAACACTCTTCAAAAAAAAGAAACGCACAGGTTGCATGTTGTTCATTGAACCTGACTTCACAAAACATCCTGTATATTGATTTGATATATGTAATTGGAAAATGCTAGTGGCCTGATACTCGACAAACGGTGCGTCAAAACGCAACCATTGTCGATTTGCAATGTCTTAATCGGCATTGTTTCATACTTGTTTAAAAATGTCATGGAGGAAAACAGTACAGCAAACTGCACGTGCACGTTATGGCATTAGTAACTCGTACTAGTGGCGATAAAAAGGCAAGCATAAGCCAATAATTTTGCATTCAATCAATCAATCTTTATTCATAGTACTTATGAGGCCAAAGGCCTATAGTACATTGTCTGGGGCGTGTAACAAATTCATACATTTTCTTAGTTTTATAGCATGATAAATGAACATTGATACATTTCTAATATTTTCTGAAATCGAAATCGAGAAAGAGCTGTTCTAAACTTATGTAAATTCACACTTAATAGATAAGGTTCTAGTATAATAGTAGTCTTAAATGTAGTGTAGTAATTTTCTTTTCTAGAACTGGACAAAGAACCTTGCCATTTTTTAATGTACATATCTTTTAAGGTCTGTGTCAAACGGGAGAAGAACTGCTGTGGCATATCTACATGTTGCTGTAACCAAATATAACCATATCCACATTCGTATTACATGTTTTTAACTGTTGATGACTTTTG